CCAAACTTCCCACTAATTGCTGGGATACGGCTCTCTGCATCGTGCCCCCAAAGACGCTATGGCCCAGCATTGAGGCATTGCGGAGCCTTTACGACCCAGCATTTGAGAAATGGCCTCCTCATGTCAACCTCATCTACCCTTTTGTTCCAGTTTCGGCTCTGGACCAAGCGGTAGATAGAATAGTTTCATACTTGGAGAACAGAAATTTTGCGTCGGTTTCGCGGCCTGTCAACATACGCCTGGACGCTGCTGGCATGTTCACGCATAAGAAAACAAACACCATTTACGCCTATGATGACAACCATGATCGCTCTTCTTATCTCACCGACCTCCGTGCCGGGATCCTGCGCGCTCTCGGCGAGGACAGTATCTCAGCATACCAATTGCACATGTCTCTCGCCTTGGTAGACGCTACAGAGATAGACATGTCCGAATTTATCCTGGACAAGGTGCGGCTCCTGCCTACGATGGCATGGTCGGTTGACCATCTTGTCGTTCTGAAGCGGGACAGGGACGGCGGCCCACCCATGATGCGCTTCTGGAAAGCCATCGGAATGGAGTCGTTGGACGTGATACGTGAGCCTAAGAGCCTCGACCTCTACGAGGACAGGGTTCTTGAGCTCAATCCCGAATCGGATGCACCTACACCCCGGGAAACCTATCGGCACTCCTCCACCCAAACCCGGTGGACTGTGTGGGACTCTACACTTGCCAAGAACTCTCCGAGTCCCGGAGAGATACCGGAAACCCTGGTAGTCGCATCTTACAATGTCCTGGCAGAGTTTACCTGGCCACCTAGTCAGACAAGGCATCTATCTCTGGTCCAGAACCTCCTCACAGAAACAGCAGTCTCAGACATACTAGTTCTGGAGGAGGTCACCGATGATTTCCTATCCTACCTTCTCGCCGATGATCGAATTGCAGAGCGATATCCATTCTCGAGTCATGGTCCGCCCTGCCAAACGGATCTGGGCCCGTTACCAAGCCTTCTTAACCAAGTTGTCTTGTCCAGAATACCGTTTCACTGGAAGCAACTGAAGTTAAAGAGGCGTCATAAAACCTCGGCAATTGTCCAGTTTCCCAGTATTGTCATGGGAAATGGCCAGCAGCGCCTGCCGCTCGTTCTTGCTACCTGTCACCTTTCGCAGGGCTTGACCGATGGCGCAGTCGCCGCGAAGATAGGGGAATTGCAGAGAATAGTCGACCATCTGCATTCCATGCACGCGAATAATCCATGGATTATAGCTGGTGACTTCAATCTGACCACTTCTCGGTGCACCATAGACGCTGCGTTGAAGAAGAAGGCCATTTCCAAACCAACAGCGACGCGTATCGCTTCATTTGACGAGATTTTGCGCGACTTCGGCTTGCTTGATGCCTGGGTTACAGCAAGGTGTGAAGTGGGTGAGTCCTCGGATGATATGCGCCATCCCAAGGATGTGTGGGACGCGTTTGAGGGGGAGCAAGGCGCCACTTTTGATCCCTCCGAAAACTTACTTGCATCCAAGTTGGTTGGCGATGGGGCAGGCAACCGCCCTCAACGATACGACAGGATCCTGGTTAAGACCGAGAATGCCTTTACCGTTGCTGGATTCAATATGTTCGGCTTTCCTCTCCGGAGACAACTCGATGGCGAGAGTGATGCACTTCCGGCTAGTGATCATTGGGGCATTCGATGTCTACTCCGCCGCAAACCGAGTACCCTAATTGACAGGGCCGATACTACAGGCCTACGCATGGACCCCGTACCGTTGCCGTTGAAATACGCTTCTCCAGAGCTGCGCGACCCGGAGAGCCTAAAGACATACTTACAGACGTTGGGTAGCTTCCCCACCGAAGAAGATGAAGCCCTTCGCAAACAGGCTTTCGGGTCTCTGCGATCTGCCATAATGGACGCCATTGGCGTCGATGGCGTGCAAGGCGATGGTTCTACACGGAAACGACCTCCGTTGGTGATGGATTCCGTTGGCTCATATGCACTTGGAGTCTGGAGCCGCGACTCTGACATTGATTGCCTATGCGTTGGGCCTTTCAGTTCTCGGACTTTCTTTTCCGTCATTGCCTCGCACTTCAAACAATCGAGCGATATTAAGATATTAAGAAGAGTGAAGGCAAACACTGGAACCATGCTCGAGCTCGAGATAGCTGGGATACGGGTTGATCTTCAGTATTGTGGAGCTACCTCGATAGCAGAAAAGTGAGGACATCCCTTCCATCATATTACCGCTCATATGGAATAGTTCTTTTCATTTTCTTCCATTTTTTTTTTTTTTATTTTTAAAAAAATTTTTTTTTTTTTTGCTCTCGTTTCTTTTTCTTTCACGTATGGCGCGCTAACGATGTCTAGTTGGCCGGATGTACTCAAACGCCCGGCGAACGACCCAGCTTTCGCCCTATCTACCCAGACCCTACTCAAGTTGAAACCAGCCAGAGATGTAGCCTACCTCCGAAGGTCCATTCCGGACCTCGCCCAATTTCGTCTCGCATACTTGCTCATTAAGGCATGGGCCAAGGAAAGAGGGATCTATGCCGCTAAGTTCGGATATTTGGGCGGCATTCATATTGCGTCAATGCTGGTCCCGATCTGTAAGATGTTGCGGCATAGCGGCGCCACTGTATCCACGGCAGATGTCATTGTGACATTTTTCAACTACTATGCGGTGTTCAAATGGAATGAGAAGGCTGTTCTCGATCCTTTTTTCCACAAAAAATTGATGTATACAAGAACGCCCAGGGAGGCGATGTGTCTTCTGGGATGGCATGCTCCTTCTCTCAATACTGCACTAACAGCTTCCCCATCAACGACCAGAACAATCTCTACACAGATACAGAGAGCCAACGCTATACTCTCACAGCAAGGGACGTCGTGGCCCGTCTTTTTGGGTGTACAGGAGTCTGAACTGCCTAGCTTAGGATTTGTCCCAGGGCGCAGTGGAGCAGCTGCATTCCTCCGGGAGTTCAAGAGCTATATCAGGATCGACGTTCAATACTGGGGCAAGTCTCGATCAAAAGGAAAGCAGTTCGTGGGATGGTTGGAGTCACGGTGTGTGATAGTGCTCGTTGGTACGTATATCGTTCTTCGCCGTAGCCTCATTCGCACGACTATGCATGAAGTCCATGGCCTGTCGGCTTGTATTAATCATGAGTCTAGATATCGATCGACGAATCCCTGGGTTAGGAACCCGGATCTGGCCAAGCAAGTTTTCCGAGAGCCACGAAAGGGAGGCCCGCGAGGGAGAAGATCTTGACTTCCGAGTATCTATTTTGATAGGGCTTGAATGGCACGATGACGGCGGTATTCGAACGAAGGAGGATTTGAAAGCAGCCGAAGGCACGCTGACCACGGTTCTCAATCAGTTTGAAAGCCGTATACGGGGCGATGAAACCTACTACGATGCTAAAACTTGCTGGATGTCTGCAACGGTGGCGAGCCGGAGAGAGATCAGTGAGTTAGAGCTAGACGGGCGGGAATGGGCGGAGTACACAGGCCGTGAAGATGATAGCGAGTCTGACCTTGACGATGAACCTGTTGGTCCGGAGGAGGAAGGACACACATTCCCACAAGCATGCATTCATGAACACCACGAGCTACCGTCGTCCGAGGGAGGCGCAAGGGCGGGAAAATTCCGCACTGCTATGGACGTTATGAACCGTCTAAGGTGGGATGAGAATATGGATAGCACGGATTACATAGTGGGTTACGAAGATAGGTTCCTCGGAATCAAGGAGAGGGCCTTGGATGAATGGACGGGCGAGCAAACTGACGAGGAATTTATCCCACAACATCGAATCCAGTACTTCAAGCGGAGGGGTGACGGGGTGATAATATGGGATCGAGGCTCGAGGGTTGATTTGATATTTGGGAGTGGCAAAAAGGCTGCAAGGATAGATGATGAATAGTTGAAGTACGGGCTTACAAAAATACCGAAACAGCTCAGCATTGGTATTGAACCACAAGGGGGAAATCTAATAGATGAGAGTATTAAAACTGCAGGCCCTAGTCCTAGCATCGGACGCATGGTATTGTACCGCGACCTCTGCACAACATGAGAAACTGCTGCCAATAAACAACTCCAGAGATATCGCATCGCGCATTTCGCTACTCATTGACTGACAGGCGCCACTGTATTTGTAGGGTCGGCATGTAGTATCGAAGGTACAACGTTGCTTCCGGTGCTGCCAGGCGGCTGCCTCGCCCGCAGCTCGCCTGGGGGCATCTAACAACCGCAGCACCCTCGGTCGCGTAACTGCCGTATTGGTGGTGCCTGCGAGATTGACAAATTTCGGGGAAGCGGTAAAGCCTCTTGCTGCCAGGGCGCGCCCAAGTGCATCACCGGGGTAATAGCCTCAGGGATGGTAAAAATTTGGGGGGGGGGGGGGGGGGGGGCTATATCGATGATCCACAGCCAAGCCCTAGGGGCCCTCGACTTCTTTGCGCGGAGGGGGCGAGGCACCAGAATGCAGTTCAACGACTGGGCGGCAAACAGCAACGTCGGCGTTACCGTGTACACGGTCGCCATATCTGTGAAGGACGCGATCGGAGAGTTTAAAGTCCACGTCGCGTATCATGCACTTTATAGAGCAGTACTAGAAACTAGGCATATCTAGTCTCATGTTTGCTTCCTGTCAAAGTTTCGAAGCAAGTGCATTATGCGGCGAGGGATGAGATCAGCCTCGGGCATGTGTGTGGATCAGATCAAATGTGTTTGGACTGATGGGAGATAGGTAGTGCTGGGCGTTCTCGTTGAAGTTCTGGATGCGAGCCAAGGTCTTCTGTTGAACCGCTCGTATTTATTTTGGCTTTATATCTGTATTTGCTGCTTCGAATCCCAGGGGCTTCTTGACTGAGAAGTATTTAGTACCCCTCTCACCTAGCGACATAGGGAGCCGTGAAGGAGCGAGGTATATGGGCGCACCAACAGTTTGGGGTTTATCTCAGAAAGCTATAGTGTGGTCCAATTCCCCGCACGCGCTGGGATAGGGATGAATCTTCAGCCAAGCTAGTAAAGACTCATAAAGACTGCGGCAATCGATGACTTGTCATACTTGACGTGTTTACCCTTCCCTTTATCAATTTCGTGGTACCGATCCCAGAACCGATTGTATAAGGGCTCGAGCATTTGCTGAACTGCCCTGGCAAACATCTGGCGGACCTCTCGCTCCATACTATACGTCCGATGGCGGGCAACCATCTCATCAAAGCTGGTGTTGAAAGCCTGGAATTTGCTCTTGATGCTATCTCGGTCCTTTGTTGAGAGTCCCTTCAAAATGGACGCAGAATCCGCTTGGCTCGACGTGGGTCGCTGGGCGCGATTCGTATGGATAACGTCGAATAAGTGTGTTGATATGTCTTTGCACGTGTCGGTGTAGAGGGCTGTCGCCTTCTTGCGCCATTGATCAAGCATCGCCATGCGAGGTTCCAGCAGGGGTAAGAGGTCCGAGTCGCGCACCATACGCTCGATAATGACCACGCAATTACCAAGGAACACCCCCTGTGTGGATTTGCCCCTAAGCAAGGCAGTTGCCTTTTGACTAAGAGTGGTGAGGAGAGTGTCGATGGTGTCGATACAGTAGTTTACAAAAATCTCTTTCCCATCAGCACCAATGTCAAAAGAAGCTAGGCTCGGGGCGCGGTCGCCTGCACGCTTGGCCATGGCGCTTGACCTCCATCCGCCATCTCCAATTGAGATCATGATGCCGGAAATCGCGCCAAGAAACTCGGCCATGTTTTGGAGCCTCTGCATGGCTTCGGAGACGAGAGGAATCGGGGCGCCGTCTGGGGGTAGAGTCTGAAGTCCGATGGCCTTTCTTCGAGTCTCCTCCAGAACTTCAGCGAACGATGCTTTGGCTGTTTCTCTGACAGGTTTGAGAGCTGCTGCCAAGGCCGCTTTTAGTTCACCAGTGCGAGTCTCGATGCGACCAGAAAGGTTGGCCATGACCTCGGTGATTTCGTAGGCCAAGAAGCAGTCAGTATTCAAATGGGCCTTCACATGCAAGTTAAGTTCTCTCAAAGTTCGCGCAAGTTCTGCGATCGATGCTTGGCATACAGCCTGGAAAAGGGGACCCCACTCGTCCCGCGTAAATATGTTGCATATATTATCGTACTCCGCAAGAAACATGCCTTCCATGGCCGTGGCGTATGAGCCGATGGCGTTAGCCCCTGCACGATATACGGCATCGAGTGTCTTCTTCTTGGCCGTATTGACACTTGCCGTGGCTAGGTTGGAAAGGCTCGACAGTAGGTACGGACTGCGGATATCGACGTAGACCTTGCCAACCGACGAGTCTTGAGGGGAAATCGAAACACCAGTCTGGCGCAAACTTGATGCCATGTACGCGTTTATAAGGCCAAGTCTCGCGAATTTATCCTGGGAAAGGACAGGGAAGAGTTTGTCTTTGGTTATGAAATTAAGCACTTCCACCTTTGGGGGAGTCTCGCCTTGGACGAGTTTCTGGAAGTGGGATTCGAGAAGGTTGTTCCCGAACTTCACGAGCCGGGTCAAATCTGTCATTGTCTGCTGATTCGCCCGGAGATTTGAAGCTTTCATGTCGGCGAGCGATTTGTTTAACCTCTTCATCGAGGCCAGGTAATTTGAGAGGCCAATCTTGTCCGGGCCAGCCCGAATAATTTGTTCCTCATCGTTCTTAGAATCGGCCGGTTGCCGTAGTTTCTCAATCGCGGAAATAACATTATCAATATCTAGAGAGAACGTTGAGAGAGTTAGGATACATCTGGGAAGATGAGTTGGGTAGGGGCCGGGGGAGTGGGAGGGGACGCATGCGACAGACTCTGGCTCAGTGTTTGTAGCCGCCTTGTTTCACCGCCGAGGGGCCCAACGACGTCACGAACGCTTTTCCCACTATCTTCGAGGCGGCCGAGACTGGCCTGGATCTTTTTAGTCAACTGTGTTGTCTTCTCAAGGCGTGAGTTGAGAACATCGACCTCGGCGCGAGCTTCCTCGTCAGCTGCATTGCGAGTGGAAGCTATCACCAGAGACATCGTAGATCGGAGTTTAAGTACGCCTGGGGAAGCTGAAAATGCAATAAATTGTGAAAAGACTGGTGCAGCCAACTCGGGAAATCATTACGGCTACGGCTCATCAATGCTCTCTCTCCTTCATACTTCGGAAAGCATCACCTTCTCTAGCAATTGTACCTGAGTACCGTGTTCCATGATGACATTATCATTGACTCCTGGCCGGAGTTATATTTTTCCGGAACCAATCTCCAAATGTCAATGGTGACGCGAAAAAAGACCACTTAACGCGTTCGTTTTCTCCCACGCGTCTTGAGACCACCCCTCAATTCTTCCCCGGCGACGACCAAGGCCTCGACTTCTTAGTTCTTGCCCTCCCCTTCCACCAAACTTGTTTGTATCCTTATCCACGCTTATCCACTCTATTCAACATCTTTCAAATTTACAATTCGGCACAAGAAAGATATCTCATTTCCTTGCGCTCTCACAGCCTGCGGGGCGCTGTCGGCATCATGGATTCTTTCATGCTGCAAGATGCGGCGACGAGAGACCGCATTCGTCAAGCCGAAGAGTTCCTCGATCCGCGTAAGAGCCGCTCTCGATTCTATTCATGGACCGGGTCTAATACTATGTACAGATGACTCGCCCAATCGAAGCTATAGATCGGAGATCATTTTGATGTTACAGAAAAACCAACGGAGACTGACTGTCAATCTTGACCATGTCCGTGACCACAACGCAGACCTTGCCCAAGGCCTCCTGACCCGCCCGTTCGACTATTCTCTAGCGTTTAATCATGCATTGAAGGAGATTGTGAAGACTATCCCGCAAGCACGGCCGGACCAGACTGCTCCTGATGTCTTGTACTACTGTGCATGGGCTGGCAGCTTCGGCTTGAACTCTTGCAACCCAAGGACGCTTTCCTCTCATCATCTCAATCACATGGTTTCGGTGGAGGGTATCGTGACACGATGCTCGTTAATTCGGCCAAAAATCACGAAGAGCGTTCACTATAACGAGACGAAGAATATCTTTCAATTCCGAGAATACCAAGACCAGACAATGACAAACGGTGTAACGACCTCGAGCGTATACCCCCAAGAAGATGATGAAGGAAACCCATTAATTACAGAATATGGGTTTTCGACCTACCGGGACCACCAGACTGTTTCTATTCAGGAGATGCCCGAAAGAGCCCCGGCTGGCCAGCTGCCTCGGGGTGTCGACGTCATTCTCGATGATGACCTCGTCGACAAAATCAAACCTGGAGATAGGGTTCAGCTTGTGGGGATATATCGCTCTCTCGGAAACCGAAACACAAACCACAACAGCGCAGTCTTCAAGACGATGATACTCGCAAATAATGTGGTGCTGCTGTCTTCCAAATCGGGCGGCGGCCTTGCTACTGCGACCATAACGGACACGGATATTCGGAACATCAACAAAATTGCCAAAAAGAAGAATCTTCTAGACCTGTTGTCACAATCTCTCGCGCCGAGCATTTATGGCCACGATTATATCAAAAAAGCCATCTTGCTCATGCTTCTCGGTGGGATGGAAAGGAATCTAGAGAATGGAACCCATTTGAGGGGTGATATCAATATTTTGATGGTGGGCGACCCGTCTACTGCAAAGTCTCAGCTTCTACGTTTCGTCCTCAACACCGCGCCGCTAGCCATCGCCACTACAGGTCGAGGCTCTTCTGGCGTTGGTCTAACCGCAGCCGTTACTTCTGACAAGGAAACCGGCGAGAGGAGGCTTGAAGCGGGTGCTATGGTCATGGCCGACAGAGGAGTTGTGTGTATCGACGAGTTTGACAAGATGTCTGACATTGACCGAGTCGCCATCCACGAAGTCATGGAGCAGCAAACTGTCACCATCGCTAAAGCTGGCATTCACACCTCCCTCAACGCTCGTTGCAGTGTAATTGCCGCCGCCAATCCCATTTATGGCCAGTACGATACACGAAAGGATCCTCACAAGAATATCGCCCTCCCTGACTCGCTCCTATCGCGATTTGACCTTCTTTTCGTCGTGACGGATGATGTTGACGATTCCCGGGATCGGCGAGTCTCGGAGCACGTTCTGCGCATGCACCGATATCGACCTGCTGGGCTTGAGGAGGGCTTGCCAATCCGAGAGAATGCGGGGCAGTCCCTAGGTGTTGCGGCTAACAGCCAAGCGGATTCTCAACGCCCCACGGATGTATTCGAAAAGTACGATCCCTTGCTCCACGCTGGGGTCACACGGACGTCAGGACGAGGCCAGAACAAAAAGCCGGAGGTGTTAAGTATCCCATTCATGAAGAAGTATATTCAGTATGCGAAGAGTCGAATAAAGCCTGCGCTTACCCAGGATGCCTCGGACCGCATTACAGATATATACGTCGGTTTGCGTAATGACGATTTGGAAGGTAACCAACGACGCACTAGCCCTCTGACGGTCCGTACGCTAGAGACCCTCATCCGGCTTTCTACTGCCCATGCGAAGGCGAGACTGTCGAGCCGGGTTGAGGAACGCGATGCTCTGGCAGCTGAAGCTATTCTGAGATTTGCTCTTTTCAAGGAGATTGTCGAGGATCAGTCGCGAAAGAAAAGAAGGAAGACCCAAACAGTCGATTGGGCATCATCTAGTGACGAGAGCTCGGATGATGAGGACGGTGATGATGACGACACTAGGAGCTATCGTGCAACTGCTGGCCGACCGTTGTCTCAGGGCAGAACGACGCGGGCCTCGGGGCGTGCCGGGACCACCGGTCAAGTGTCAAATGGCACCGGGCAAACGAGCGCAGCACCCAGCTCCCCCGGGATGCAAGCGCAAAGTGAGAATGGGGACGAGCTATACGACGCAACACCTCGGCGGTCGGGACGAAGTAGTGGTGCACCCCAGCGCAGCGCGGAGCTGCAGACGCAGCCATCCTCTGCATCCCCTGGCTCATCCTCTCAGCTGCAGACGCAGCCGGATGATAGTCAGGAAGATGAACGTCTTGCTAGTGTTGCAGCCGGACTCACTATCGACCCCCCAATCACCCCTCAACGACTTGCTGTCTTTAGAGCCGCCTTGGGCCAACTTCTGAATACGGAACTATTCGGGGACGACGACTCGGCTAATGTCGATGAACTCATCCGGGCTGTGAATCGCAAGGTTGGGTCTACCGGAGGCGGCAGCTTTAGCAAGCGGGAGGCCATAAAGGCACTCAAAAAGATGGATGAGGCAACCCAGATAATGTAAGTGCAGATTTCCCTGGGTAGACGGTATTGTTCCTTTGATGGACTAAACTTGCTAATTGGGGTCCCTCTAGGTTTACGGACGGCGAGCTTGTGTACAAACTCTAGCGAGCTATAGTGTCATTATCACACATTGATCGCATACGCTCCGGAGAAAGCCTAGGGAGATGGTTCCCCCCCCTCCTCCTTTTTTTTTTCCTTCGCTTTTTTTACGCTGTCTTAGATGTGTTTGGCAAGGCGAATAGGCTCGCAGTGGGGAATTGTGGATAACCGGGATGGGATATTTTGGCGTTCAGGTGGTGACGAGTGCCGCCGCTGTGCTTCTGTCGAGCTTGATAATCAACCGGGCCAAGGTCGGGTTTACGGATGAATAAGATGAATGTGAATCCAGTGTTGAATATCTCTATTATGATAATTTCGATGACTATGAATCAGACCACGATACCTTGCTTCTCCAACCTTTGTCTAAACTCCTTTAACCTCTCGTCTACCCTGACCCCGTTCCATCTTTCATGACCGTCTTGATCTTTCTCTAGCACCGGCAGCCCTACCTGTTCTATGACAAAACTGGCTGCAATGGTGCCCCAGACTGCGGCTTCTTCGATACTTTTACCTCTCGCTAGAGCAACGGAAAGGCCGCCGAGAAATGCATTCCCGCCTCCTGTAGGGTCCACAACCTTTGCGGGATCCTGATGGTATGCAGGTATCCACCTTTCAACTCCCGGATCAACTTCGATCTCCTCCCTGGCTATAGATCCGTCTTCATCCTGCATGAGCCCAGCAAATAAGGCCTCCATGTCGATATCCGGGCGCAGCCCACCGTGCGGAAGCTCTTTCTTGGATCGTTTAAGGCCGGTTTGAGTATCTTTTCTTCTTCTTCTGCCGCCATTGCGTGCTATGTAGCAACCCTTTTCCGCTGCTCGAACTACCAGTGTAAAAGACTGGAGGCAGAGACTGGCGAGGAGTTGCTCGGCATGGCGCTCGACGGAAGCCGTTGATATCTCTCCCGTAATGGGGTCTAGCCCGTCATCACCCATGAAGCCCGCCAGTTCGGTATGGTTGGGGCTGCAGATATCCACGACAGGCAGGGTGTTCGTGCACGCAAGAAGCTCTTCGGGCGTGCACTTGTCGGGGACTGGCTCCCAGATGATGAAGGGCCTGACATACTCCTCGGGCCGTGAGCTCTGCTTGCGCAATTTCTTGATGCCTGCGACGATTTCCTGGCACCGAGCGGGGGAGCAGACAAGGTGAAAAGATTTGGCACAGAGAAGGGCTGGAGTGAGATCCTCGGCGTTGATGCGGCGCTTGGGAGTCATGTATTTGAAATCTCGCTTTCCCACGGCCTTGTACCCATTCCAGGCGCGAGTGGTGAGTCGGTCCTCGTTGGGGCGGAGCACCACCGACGTTTCCCAAGCGTCTATGATCGTGGTGAGATGAGGCGGAAAGTCCGTTCCCACATCGACGATCCAGGCTATTGAAGATGAAAGGGGCGGGGGAGACATGAGCCTAGCCCCAAGTGCGGCATACGTGCCCGCTCCCCCCGGCACGTTGTGGACGGGTGGAGTTGGGGGAAGGAATTCAATGTCGTCTATATGATCGTGAATTGTCAGCCCAGGACGTACTTGAGAGGAGCGGCTTGCGAGAACACGACGCAATAACGGAACTTGCCAATTATGAACATGGCCATTGATACGAAGTCGATCCCGGATGAACCGATGTGAGCTGTTCCCCGAGTCTCAACCTTGGTCTGCGCTTGTGAATCCCCATCATTGTCCTTGTACTTGACTGGGAACCCTCCCGGTCGAGCCTCCTGAATGTCGTCACTTTCTGCCATGCTGCAAGGAAGATCATCTATATATAAATATTATATTATATATATTATGATTAGTAGTAGTATTATTTGAAGAGGTTCTTGGAGTTTGCGATCGGGTTGCGGGTGTCAGAAGCCAGAAGCCGGAAACACCCAGGTTTGGGCAACGACCAGGCAGCGGTGTGAGTGGGGAGGCTTGGTGCAGGAGTGAATGGAAGGGCCAGCCCAAAGCCGACATGAACGTTTGGCGACAGATAGGGCTGGCAGGCTCGAGACCAAATGTTCAATTATTGATTAAATACTTCGTAGAGATTGGCAGGACGAAGATTAATACTGCAATAGTGTGGGCGATGGTGGATCCCTTCCCTTAACTTCCGCCCGCGAGAGTCTGGATATTCTAGGCTTGCCATGGTCCTCTCGATGTCCTTTGACCCTGCTTGTCAGCTCCTCGCCTTGATTGATCAACCTCGCACTCTGAACATCGATCAATCCGCTGGCTGGCCGGCTGACAGCGTAAGCTCTCAGAGGTGTTATTTGATGGATAGTGAACGTGATCCCGGAATACTGGGCGTTTATTAGTACTTTATTTCTCAGCTGCTGGCCTTCTTTTTTTTTTTTTTTTTGTACTCCCTGGAAATGGAGGCGTTAGTCATCACATCCACCTATGTACATCATTCAATTGTTTGAATTCAAGTTGATCTCGTTGTTTAATGTTTGAAAGGGAGAAGCCCCGAGAGGAAAATGCATAATATGAGAAAGTACGAAGTACAGGCAGTGGGTGGAAGTACTTTGTCGATGAGGTCCCGCTATGAACTCCAGGCAATTATAAACTATGAATTCGCCAGGTAATGACAAGCCGTTGCAGGCAGCACACCGCTAGCAGTGCATGCAGTGTACGAAGTAGTGTACGAAGGACAATTGGATGAAGTACCAGCTGCAGGTACAGCTTAAGCTTACGAAGTACCTGTGTACAATGATACAACTGTACTTGGACTAGAAGTGTCCAGGGTCCAAGGTAGAATTAATTCAATGTTATTAATACTTCGTACTTTGTCTTGGAGGCGCAGGCTACACTACCAAAGTATTCATTTGATGCTGTTCTGACGAAGATCTCCGTCTATCTGCGCAACCAAGCTCATTCCAGGCAACATTGAAACAAGTGTGTCCCCCTCCCCCAAACTCGGGATAAGAAGGCAGGGTTTCTATTTTCCTACTTCACCCTGTTGTGCGTTGAATTGAATATCCTCGATCCGTTATTGCCCTCGAGCTCGAGCGCCTCAGTTTCCGGGCTGTTTTCTTCTCTCTCATTCGACTCTTCTCAGTACCTACGAAGTAGCTCCCCCTGAGCTGTCAACCTTGCATTGATCGCAGCCATCTCGAGCCTCAGCCCTTTTCTCTCCCCCCCCCCACTCCCCTTTTCTTCTTCTTCCACGCCTGCGATCTATCATCATCCTGCATCTGGAGAGTTTTTCGGTTACCAATTTGCCTCTTTTTTTTTTATCCGTAGCTGTAGTCTTACGAGAACACGACCATGGCTACAAATGGCATGCACAACCTTGCGACCCTCATCAAGAGGTTCGTTAGAACAGGGGCATACCCATCCTCTATTGCGCTTTGCGTTACTGATGTCTGAATAGGCTCGAAGCTGCCACAGCAAGGCTGGAAGACATAGCCGAATCTACTCAAGGCCTTCCGCCTGCTTCCGCCTCGTCTCCCTCTTCTTCGTCTGCTCAGGCCCCGGTAGCATCAATCTCCGCGAACGCTCCTGCGCCCCCAACCCCGGTCGTGCCCGCCGAGCCCGTTCCCGAATCAGTCGAAGAATTTGACCACTTTGTTAAAGAGTCAGTAATGAAATATGTGGATATTGCGAAGGAGATGGATAGCCAGGTTTCCGAGCAGGTACGACACTTCGAACCCCGCAAGTATCCTCTCATGACGCCCACCTCCGCAGGCCGCAACCGCCCGCCATAATACTCCGCTAACGGATGATGTATTCTCCCTATAGGCTCAAGCCTTACTCGACGGATTCCGTGGTCAACGTGACTTTCTACTCATCTCAACAAAGGCAAAGAAGCCCGATATGACCGGTTCGGAAATGTCTGTATTTCAAGATCTCGTTAAGCCCATCAGCGAATCCATTGCCCGCGTAGGCTCGATCAAAGAATCGAATCGCGCTTCCAAATATTACAATCATCTTTCGACCGTCTCCGAGGGCGCTCTAGTTCTCGCCTGGGTCACTGTGGACAACCGGCCCTGGAAGCATGTCGAGGAGAGCCTTGGATCTGCTCAATTCTTCGGTAATCGTGTTCTGCAGGAGTTCAAAGAGAAGTATGCCTGCCTCCGCGTTATATTGACGACACGCGACAGAAGAATCTCGATCTAATCCATAAACCTACTAGGGATCCCAAGCAAGTGGAATTCGTTCAAACATTCTACCAAGTTTTCCGACACCTCGCTGAATACGTCAAGCAATACTTCCCCAACGGAATCATATGGAACTCTAATGGGAAGCCCGCCAAGGAGGTGATGGCAGAAGTCGCTTCTCGCCAACAGCAACACCCCTCAGGCCCTGCGGCACCAGCCGCTGGGGGACCGCCCCCTCCTCCGCCCCCGCCTCCGCCTCCAGCCTTCCTCGTTGACTCGGCTCCTCCGGCGCCGCCCACCTCGACTGGCATCGGCGCTGTGTTCTCCGAGCTTAACAGAGGAGAAGCTGTCACGAAGAACTTGCGCAAGGTGGACAAGTCAGAAATGACGCACAAGAACCCGTCGCTGCGAGCTGGCTCGACGGTGCCGGACAAAGATTCATCGAGCCGTGGTAAGAGCCCTGCACCGGGCAAAAAGCCCAAGCCGGAAAGCATGAGGGTGAAAAAGCCCCCCAAGAAAGAGCTGGTGGGCAACAAGTGGATTATTGTAAGTTGGGTAGCCCCCCCACAAAACCTCGACTTTACAACGAGAGTAGATCTAACACGCCCGTCCAACGAGCAGGAGAATTACGACAGTCCACCAGACCCTATTGAGATCGAAGCCTCCATCTCACATTCGATCCTTATCAGCAAGTGCAGCAAAACCACTATTATTGTCAAGGGCAAGGGGAACGCCGTGACAGTAGAGAACACCAACAGGTTATCCCTTGTTATTGATAGCCTTGTGTCAACCGTCGATGTCGTCAAATCACAAAACTTTGCACTCCAAGTCATGGGGTCGATACCGACGACAATGATGGACCAAGTTGATGGCGCTCAGGTCTATCTCAGCAAAGAGAGCACAGGGACCAAGATCTTCTCAAGCAAGTCGGCTGGTATTAACCTGAATATCATTTCCGGACCGGAAGACGACTACAAGGAGGTGCCTTTGCCTTCCCAGCTCTGCTCTTACTACGATGCGGAGAAAGACGACCTCGTCAATGAAATCGTCGCCCATGCCGGTTAAGGCACAGGCTCTAGCGAGCTGGTCTCTTGTTCCGAACATGCTTGTTCGATTTTTTCAAATGTTGCTTCATGCTGTCCGTCACGGCCAACCCTTCTGTTCTAGAGTTTGCATTCCGGGGGGCGTCATGACAAGACTGCGAGACAATTTGTTTGGGCGGCTAGGGAGGAAATCAGCAGCCAGGTCTCTTGTAAATATTAATCTAGTTCCCAATCTTACCCTTTGGATACTCTTCTTTTTATTTTATAGATATCAGTTCCCAAGATCATCTTTGAGTCGGCGATAGTCACAGTTATATATATATATGCGCCCAACGAAACACTAATGCCAAATGGTAATGTTTGGCTGAAGCCATCTAATTCCTACTCGAAGGACTCCTGCATACCAGACATGCCGGTAAGTCGACCCACGAGAAAATGCTGATAAAAAAAAAGTTACAAAGTATACATGTACATATACGGGTCCATCCGCATACGATGCACACGCAGTTCGACTGATATTGTTTTTTTGTATCCAAGTAGCAGGCTTCCCCCCCTTCCCAGATGAACTCTCGACTCCTTTACAGCTTGGGCTTCGACGCCTCGAGAGTGGGCGCGAGGAGATCCCGAAGCTCGTTGGCGGCTTCGCTGAGGTAGAAGCTCATCCTATCGCTGCCGAGACCCTTGGATACGATGTTGAAGTTAAGGCTAGAAGGCAAGTTAGTGATTATGCATCATAGAAAAAAAAATGTATATGTGAATGAGTAAGGAGAGAGAGGGCGGTGCAAAGTGTAGTAATAAGGAGAAGTCTATATAAAGCGGCGGAAGTGCTTACCTGTTCTCGTTGATCATGTATGCGATGCCGAAGCCCTCAGGGATAACCTGGCTCCATCCGTAACCGTTGAAGAACTCGGAGCTAAGCTGAGAAGTCGACAAATACCACGAGCTCGAGTAGCTGAAAGCGGGGTCCTGGTAAATGGCGGGCACCTGCTCACCGGGCTCGAGGAGCCTCTTCAATCCGAAGAGATGTCGGTCAACGCCCTTGCCGTCCGAGGCGGCCGCGATGTACTCGAGGTGCGAGTCGACGGCAGTGCGGAACAGCTTGACCTTCTCCGGGTCGGAGGCGTTGGGGTCAACCATGGCATTGCACCAGGCAACGGAGTCCGGCGACACGGTTCGGCAGGTCTCGGTGCGGCCGAGCTGGAATCGGCGGGTGGCGGCCGATTCGTATGTGGGGCGGTTCTTGCCGTACATCTTCTTGTAGGCGAGCTGGATGATCATCTGAACGTAGGCGTCGGGAGAGCACCTGAACTTCTTGATCAGGCCCTTGCCGTAGCCCTGGTAGGCCTGGATGGCAAGCTGGTGCTGGCCGATGACGTCCCGGAAGTCCTTGACAGCGCGGTCAATCTCCGCCTGAACCTCCTTCGTGATGTGGAACTTGACGGCCTCCGGCTCGGGGAGGTTGGAGCGAATAGAGGGGTCGGAGATGTCAATCTTGTTGTTGAAGATCAGGTCGTTGATAAAGTCATTAATCCTGTGGGTAGGGGTACCGTCCATCATGGAGTGTTCACCCATGAAGCCGGAGGTACCGTTGTCGTTGATGATGAACTGCAGAGGCTTGTCGTACCAACGGTTGGCACCATCTCCGTGCCAGTACTGGTGCGCGCGCTCCTCGAGAGTCACGGGGGCCGCATCGTCGAGGCAGACAACGAAGGACGACGCCTCAATCGCCTCAATCGCGGCAGCGTGGCTGGGGTGGGCATTGAGGAGGATCTGGCGGGCATCGGACCAAACATCTCGGTTCTCCGACGTCAACGCGCCGACGGGGGGGACGGAGCTCGACGCCAGTTGGTAAATCCTGTTGAACTGCTGCTCAAGCTCCGCAGCGTTGAGCTGCTTTCCGCCAACCTCGTGAGCCACCTTGAAGATCTGGTTCTTTCGGATGACGATGATGTGCTTGTTCTCCTGGGCGGGGAACTGGATAGGGTAGTCGGCGGGACGAGCGGCGACACGGCTGGTGTTGAACATCCACTTGTAGCTGTCCATGCAAATGGGCACCTTCTTCATGTATTCCGGCTCGAGAGTGCCAGAGTCGACCAACTTCTTGAACTCGAGGACGGCGCTGGAGATGGCAGCGGCGCGCTTCGCCGGGTTTCTCCTGTGGCGGTCATCGCGGTGAGAGTAGAAGTAGCTGACGTAGGGGACCACGGGGTCGCGATAGGCAAGGTACGCCGCCTCGTTCCACCAGTCATAGATCCAGTTCTTAACATTGGGGTCCTCCCGCCTGGCGATAAGCTTCTCCTGCAACTTTCGGCCAACACCACCGGGCTTGATGAATTCCTCGACTGCCGCCTTGCTAGCCTCCAGCTCGGTGGGAGTTAGGATAGCGCGTAGGGACTTCAAGTACCTGGCGCTAGTCTCTTCGAGAGTGGGAACGGGTAGTTTAGGGAGAGACTCCTGGAATCGGAGCATTGGTCCCTTGCTCTTATCCTCGACATATCCTGTGCGGCGAGAGAGAAAGCGTTAGGGACACACGACGTATAGAAGAGCAAGGAGACATCGGTGTATGCGATTTTGGGGCAGCTTACCTGCCGGGAGAGAGCTGTTGTTTCGCCGAGCCGCAGGAGCCATTGTCGCAGCGATCTGTGGAAGACGAAAGAGTTGGTTAGCCGACCTTGCCCACCAATTCCTGGGCCAAGGGAAGGAATGGTAAAACATACCCGAGTGGAAGAAGGTGAGTGCTTGGAAAGGGTCCTGGATGATGCCGCAGCAAGACGCCTGGCAGCGAACATGGCCAATAGTCTGGAGGAGCGTGGATAATAGTTGTGGAAGAGTAAGGTTGAAGGACGAGAGCGGGCAGGAGGAGTAGGATTAGTAGAGTCCTTAAGCCTTCTTCCCGGGCCAAAAGATGGCTAACGAGCAGGTGTTAGCCTAGGTTACCAAGTCCTACAGGCTATGAGGCTGGCGTGTGGGGGAGAGGGTCGGGACAGCTACCTACTACTACGAGGTAGACGAGCTTCTTGGTATAACGACAAGGCCCGGTTTTGTCACTCACAAGCCTGCGAAAGTACGAAGTAGGATTAACGACGCGGGCAGGGATGTTGGACTGGCCGGTTGTATTGGAATTTGGAAGTCGAATGGCGTCTCCGAGTTGCCGGGGGGCGTGGACTCAATGGCGCGGGACAAGCAAGATGAAGATGCCGAGTAGCATTGATGGGCGACGGACGAGGTACTGAGGTACGAAAAAGTACACGACTCCGAAAGTGGAAGGTTTCAAGAGGGGCAGATTTCCAGCATGTCCGAGCCGCGGCAACGACCTGGAAGTAACCGTGGTGTTCAAAGAAAGCAATGTCAAATGCCGCTTTGATAGTGAGCCGTCTCTGTTTCTCTTGTTTCTTTTTTGTTCTTTTATCTTGTCTCCTTTTACTTCGTATTTCATTGTCCTTTTCTGTTGACCGACTTATATTGAATGCGAGCAAAGGCCCATCTATGGTCCACCATGCCGCCGTGCTATTGCTTATTATCAAAGAGACCCCGAAGACGGCGCAGATCAATTGATCTTTCCTCCTGTCCGAGTTAACCCTACGACGAGTGTTCAACATTTGAGCGACACTACATCCTTCACAATAAACTTAATTGGAGGCAAGTGAGGCAGTAATTCATGTACCTGCATGTACCAGATCTCTTGGTGAGCTAAAGAGGACAACCCCACATGCCGAGGTTAAAATCCCGGCATTTGCCGAGAGCCATTTTTCGAGATTCGACCGCGGAGCTGCGAAGTGGTGGAGTTGCTGGGGTGTACTTCGTAAACTACACTACTCCGTACAGAATAATCTAGATCACACGACGAAGTAAATAAACTACGGAATACACCACTTCTTCAGGAAGGCACCTTGTTTTCAGAAGCCTGAAAGGCGCAAATTCTGGAAGCCTGCGTGGGGTAAGGATAAAAGTAATTCGAGTGGTTTGTGGTCCGTTGACAGATGTCATCTCGATGTATATCGTACGTAGTGTAATACAACTCCGTTTACAAGTAGTGTACAACTGATAGAGGCGGGAAAGTTCATGTGAAAATGCCATGGGCCGCCGGAATCCAAGGCGTACACTACGCGATATGACGAGGACGTCTCAAGATCGTGTCGCATCGGTCGATAGAAGCAAGTTATAAGGCTACTTTTACTCGAGTTTTGATGAGCCGTAATAGTACATCCGAGCCCGTTTGGTACAAATTGGAGAAGCACAAGACCAAAAACTGCAGGTACACTACAAGACTAGGTGACAGAAAAAGGCAAAAGAAAAAGAGAAGAAAAGAAAAGGAAAAGAAAGAAAAAGGAAAGGGGGAAGGGGAGCCCAATACTACCACCGAGGGAGTACATGCGCACTCATGTCAAAGTAGTCGGCATAAGGCTGCATTCTAACCCCAGTCCAAGGATGGAACCAGTGATCCTAACCCGCTCCACGACCATCACCAAACGCCAAGATTATCTTATGATTCTTCCATTAATGTTTTGCGAGTTTGGCAGGTCGTCCTGTAGAAAGTAGGACTAAATGTCAACAGCGCAAACAAGAACGAAACCCAAAGCCCTCATGACATCCCTAACCCAATTCAGAAACACTGTCGACGCGAAACGTCTGCCTCATTCAAGCATCGTACGTCTTAACTTGCCCCTCGCTCGAGAGTGGTTGGATCGTTGTGCCAGCGTTGTTTGCTTGTTGGAAGCCAAGCCGTTCGCTATCACCACCAACATCCAGCGCCATACGCACACCGGTCTCGCCACCAGCGGCTACGCTCGCCTTCAACGCCTCCTGGGCCTCGCGCACTCGGCTTTTGAATGCCAGCCGGTCCAAGAAAAGCTGCTGCCTTCCCCGCTCGAGCTCGCGCTTCTCAGCTTGGAGAATCGCTTCCATATCATTGAAGTACTTGAGCTTCAGTTCAAGCTTTTGAAGCATGACGTTAGCCGCTGCCGACACAAGCCTAGTCATTTCCCTTTCTTCGTGCGAAGCGAATCCCGCAGCACGCGCGCCGATAGATGCGAGAGGAATTGAAGCTAATGCACTAGTCGATGTGGTAGTTGTTGTGGTCGTGGTCGTCGTGGTTGTGGTGGTAACATCAACTTCCATCGACTCGGTGCTGTCGCCCGCCTTACCCTTGCCATTGGTAACTGTCGACCCTTGCTTTTCCCCCGCGAGTTTGTCTCGAAGCCGCTGCTTGAGCTCTTCTGCAGATTTATTGGCCGCTGCGGCGGTGCTAGCCGGGTCAGCGAGACTTGCAAGGAAGCCGACTACCGACATAACGGGATTATCCGCCTGGCTGAAAGGTAATTGGCCGCCCTGGCTTCCGAGTAACGGAAGCCCCACAGGCGCATTGATAGACGCAAAATCGCTGTCGAGATACTTCTCTTCAATGTCCAATTGAAGGAATCGCAGCACGCACTCCTCTCGTGTGCGGGTGCCGACATGCTGCGCAATCTCTCCCCAATCATCGTCATATCGCTCCAGACCCTCGAGGAGACGGAGGGTTTCCGCGTCAGTCCAGGCCGCGTCGCGATCAAGTGTGCTCGTGTAGGTGGGGTTGTCGACTCGCGTGTATTGCGACTTCAAATGGTTGTTTGGCATTCGGCCTTCTAAACAGCAGCCAGGGCAGAGGTCGTACTTGGTATTGGCAGCCGGGTCGCTCTTGGCGTAATGGTAATATGTCCGAGTGCAATCAATGCCACACTGATAACAATTCACCTTGGCGATTGGCGCCTTGGTGACTTCTTCGATGGATGTCGAGCCTACGCCATTCGTAGCAGGCGCTTCGCCGTTCGTCTTTCCCTCTCCCTTGTTCAACTTCGTACCCTTGGCGGATGCCTCGTAGATGTTTCGTCCGATCTCTAGGTTGAGATCAGTCTTGGCGGCTGTTCCGGCTACTGTCTTCGCTTCCGTGTCATGATTCTTTTTGCCCTCCAGTACAATGGGGTCCGCGGACGGTTGCCAGGGTTGAAGACCTCTGGGAGTGTCGCAAATGATCTTGAAGTGACCAGTAAATGGGGGACCAACGTGGGATGATCGCTGCTGCATATCGACCTATAAAGCAACAGAACGGTTAGTCCAAAAACGGGCATGTACGCGCAAGCTGGGGAGGAAAACTCACTTGGTAGTTTATTAAGCCCCATTGCTCAAGGAAGGCGTGGACACGCATAATTGCGCACACATCTCCCGCCAGATTTCGGCGGCACGCAGTCACAGTTAAGTACTCCGAGGGATTGAGGCGGTATGTGTTGATCATAAAGTCACGGTAATCCTTGTAGACTGCTGGCGTCTTGCTTCGGTTCCTGTTGTTGAAGAACTCTGGTAAAGCCTTCTTCTCAATGGGATGAATATCCGTCATCTCAAACCACGTGCTGTAGCTGGGCAAGATGATGGCATGAGTCTGGGAAATTAGATGCTCTCGAGCTGCTGATTCGACTGTCTCCTTCGTTTTCGTCTCCTGTTTATCGGCTGCGCCGTCGGTTGCGTTCTCGTCGGCCTGCTTGTTGGCATTTTGTCCGTCTTTGCCATTCTCCTGAGCCTCAACCATCACCGCGTCTTCGATTCCCGTCCCTGCACCGTGGCTTGGCGCAGATGCCTGGTCGGCGGGCTTCTCGCTTCCGGATGCGGGGGTAGCATTATCCTGTTTGACGACGGCATCCGCATCGCCACCTTCAGTCATTTGGACATCTGAATGAGAGCGAGAATTAGCAATCGATAAATTCACGGCCGCCAGAATACTCAAATACAAGAAAGATCTTGATGGTTTGAGATAAGGTACCTTCGGATCCGTCGACCTGCTGGAGCGGGGGCTGCGCCAGGATAGCGTTAGCACCGGGTGATGCGGCATTGGTCGGAGTGCCGTATTCTCCAGAATCGTCCATGTTGGAGAGGCTGGGAATGGTAAATGCGCAAGGCGCAACGATATTTGGAATGCAGTCTCAACCAAGTGCCGTGACACCTCCTCAGCAACGACTTTTTTGTTGGTCGCGATAATCGGTCAACTATTCTCAAGCTGTGCGCGAGGGTCGAAAAAAAGATACAATGGAGATGGTTAGAGGAAGCGCTAGATGACGCGATGGTCGCAAGGGGTGCGAAGTGATAGGGTCGAGAGTAAATTGATGAATAGCCTCTTCTCCAAGGTCGCGTTTGGAGGATGAAATTTTGGCGCGCCTTTGGTGAAGGGGGAAAACGAACACTGACTGGCTCCAATGTGACGCAGGCACTGTACGTAACACAGTGTGGAGGCATGAGACAGCCGCGTTGACCCATAACATAACCTGCGAGTGAAAAAATTGTACTGTGTACAAAGGTACACTAGACTCGTAGAAACGGATTATTATATCTCCGACTTGGTTGCACTTCCGGGATTGAGCCGCCGATTATCCACGCTCACTGCAAAAGTTGATAAAATGTCGAAGGATCGCACTAAATCGGTACAATCGACCGGAAGTATATCGGCGTGCAGAATGAACTTTGGCCACGGTGAGCGGGTCAGCGTGACCTCGGGCCGCGAACAAGCGCACCCTCGTCCTAGCTTTTCCAGACCCTTTGAAATCTCTCGAGAACTCCCAGATAACATCCACCATAACACCCAGCCTTGAGGATTCCTTCTTCGCCTCTTCCTCATCCCCACCGCTGGCCATTTTCACCTTATCTCGAGCGGCAGTCTCGCCCAGCGCAGGAGGGCGAAACCAGTTACGATGCTTTTCAATTCGATTCGGCCGTCCCTCGGCAATGTGAGCCGCGGTCTTCACTCCGCCCTCCGCACCCCCAACTCTGCCTCGCTGCTGTCCACCCTCGCGATTCTCGAGCAGCGAGATGGCCAATTGAACCAGGGGTCACTGAGCGCTATCACAGCTGCGAAGAAGCTCGGAGGTTCGGTTCATGCCTTTATCGCTGGCAGTGATGTGAGCGGGGCCGCCCAAGAAGCTGCTAAGGTTGCTGGAATCGAAAAGGTCGTCAAGGTGTCAAACAACGCCTACGAAAAGGTACTGACAGATCAATTACACCATGGCACTGGTAGATTATTACCTAGTTCTATGTCTAGATCTTTTCTTGACTCTCGGTAGCTAATTGGAACCCATTTCTCCATATAGGGTATTCCCGAGAGCTTCGCCCCGCTCCTAGTCGAGAACATCAAGAAGGGTGGCTATACACATGTCATCGCCGGAAATACAGCCTTCAGCAAGAATGTGTTGCCGCGTGTGGCCGCTCTCCTCGACACCCAGCAGATTTCGGACATTACCGCTATCGAGAACGAGAACACTTTTGTGCGCCCCATCTACGCTGGTAACGCCATCGCGACAGTCGAGTCTTCCGACCCCCTTAAGATCATTACCGTCCGAGGCACTGCCTTCCCTGCCGCCGCCGTAGAGGGCGGTTCCGCTACCGTTGAGGATGGTGCGGACCCCAAGGCCGAGACATCTACTGAGTGGTTGTCGGAAGACTTGACCAAGTCTGACAGGCCTGATCTGGCGACGGCCAGCAAGGTTGTCTCTGGCGGCCGTGGTCTGAAGTCCAAGGAAGACTTCGACAAGATTATGACTCCCCTCGCCGATTCTCTTGGTGCCGCCATCGGTGCCTCCCGCGCGGCTGTCGACAGTGGCTACGCCGACAACAGTCTCCAGGTTGGCCAGACCGGAAAGGTTGTGGCTCCCCAATTATACTTGGCCGTTGGTATCTCGGGTGCCATCCAGCACTTGGCTGGTATGAAGGACAGCAAGGTTATTGCGGCGATCAACAAGGATGCGGATGCGCCCATCTTCCAGGTTGCCGATGTCGGCCTCGTTGGTGACCTCTTCACTGAAGTGCCGAAGCTCACTGAAGAGCTTAATAAGATTGAGAAGAAGGCGTAGTCTATTTTATATGTCTATATATCATGATATTATTACAACACATCCCTAGCATGTAGAGTAGTGAATAGATTCGATCCGGATGGTTTAGTCCAGAACAGCGAGCATATCTCTAGTGTTCGTGAACTTGATTCGCTCCCGGTTGGATTCAGCACCTCTTTCCTTCTCAACCCGATCAATGAGCTGCCAGTCCTTCCAACTAACGACGTGGGGGATATTGTCACTCGGGGTGTCCGCCTTGACTCCTTCCCATCCGGCAAGCTCAGACCTAGCCCCGGAGTTGAGGAAAGGTGCGCCAGCATTGAGGTCTTCCACGATCGTATCGGCCGTGGCAAAGGCATCTTGCATCGTAGAAGCAATTACGCCAGTAGGGCCCCGCTTGACCCAACCGGCGCAATAGATTCCAGAGACAGGCTGCTTTGTCGTGGTGTCTCGAACAACTCGCCCTAGACCATCGTTCAAGATAACACCGCGCTTATGGTCAAACGGAATCCCGGCCTCTTCGAACCCTTGTAACGCTAGAGATTTATAGCCTATAGATCTAAACACGAGCGACGACTCGAACTCAACGTATTCCCCGGTCCCGACAGCGCTTGCATGTGGATCTGACACTGAAGAAAGAGCCGTTCGTTCAAAGATTGCGCTGGTTAGACGGTTGGGATCGCTCCCGTTGGCGACGAACTTATTGGGGGTTAGGCAGAATTCCAGTGACCATTTCTTGTCCGCTGTAGATGAGTGAGTGTCTGATCCCGACTGGAGGAGACTCATGAGCCGCTTTGTTGGCCTTGGGAGACTGGAAAGGTCGGATGGGATAAGGCCTTCTTGAATTGGTTGGAAGGCCACATTCGGGAGTTTCATCAACTCGCGAGCCTCTTTGATGGTGAATGCGGCCTAGCACGAGTATTAGCTTACTAGCTTTGAGTTTGACGGGCAGGTGGTGGGCCATTTTTAACATGCCTGCATCGGGCCTCTCCGCCCCACGACCCTCACCCTCTTGACTCTGTTCCTGGATAGCTTATCCAATGCGCCCTCAGTAATGTCAGTCTTCCGCAGGGCATCAACATCAGTCAAGAGAATTCTCGCCACATCGAGAGCAACATTTCCTTGCCCAATGATCGTGGCGGTATCACCAGACTCGAGATCTGGGTCTAGACCCGCATGCTCCGGAAGACCGTTATACCACCCCACAAACTCTCTGGCAGAAAAGATCCCCTTCAAGTTCTCTCCAGGGATACCTAGAACGCGATCCTCCGCCGCACCGTAAGCGAAGGTTGCCGCATGGTAGTGGCTGAGTATAGTGGCAAGATCAACCTTGCTGCTTCCAGGGGTGGCCAGCGGATTACCGACGGAAACGTTGCCCAGGAAGCGGAAGTTGGGCGATGAGGCGACTTCTTCAAACTTTTCTTGACAGTTCTATAATCGGAGGTTAGCGGACGACGGCTGCCGAGTCCACGTGAATGAGGCAAGGCAAGACGAGTTGCCTTTTAGTTGCACAACAAACCTTAACCTCCGGGTGATCAGGAGCCACCCCGAATCTTACAAGACCGTATGGAACAGGAAGAGCCTCGTACATGTCTATCTTTGCCTGTGGTACCCGGGCCATCACCTTGTATGCTGTGTAGAAACCTGCTGGCCCAGACCCGATGATCGCCATCCGAAATGGTGTCTCTGGGTTGCTGGCCGCAAGCGTTCTAGTGGTGGACAGGCATCGTCGGGCAAGTTTGCAAGGCGAACAAACCCAGGGCTTAACGCCTCGGGAGATGTTATTCATACTGCAATGAGGCGCATGAACCACCACTAAAGATAGATAGCAAGGAGGTAAATTCCCAATTGTCCGTTTGTCAATGAAACTTATCAATTGTTGACCTCGACGGAAACAATTGATCTTCACAAAGGACCGAATTTACGGGACCTTCGGAAGCATTCAACGCAGTGAGTCACTGATGTCCACGAAAAGTGTGATAATACCGGAAACTACTTACGAAGTCTTACAAAGTCGGTCCTTTGCGCCAAGGCCGGATGGACATTGGATTTTGATTGAAACCGAGAGTCAAATGAAGTAAATAATTGTCGTTCTTATGCCGCGGCTGACTCATCGACTCCGATCGTCCAGATGCACTTCCAAGTCTTCGTCTACTTTAGTCGACTGCTCTGCCGTGGCAATTGAACAATTGATGGATCAAATGCAATTATGTTACGCAAGTTGAAGATCGGGTTCTTCAATTGTCAATGCTTCGATAATAAATCCTAACTTATACATTATCTAGATAGTCATGTAAGCATGAATCTTGCTCTCTCAGTGCTGGACTGTCTTCAAGCGCTTGGATACCTTAGACTGACTGTCCTTCGTATGTACTAGCGGAAGTGGCCCACCGGAATGGTCCGGAGGTTGAGGCACATGGGTTTCGGTGTCGTGGAAGCTTGACCACATCCCGTCCCGGGTTGCCTTTGCGAGGCACTCCATGCCAGTCCACGCATTTCCAACCTCACACAGAGACCCTTGTCGCCATACCAATGACCCAGGGCAGAGCATCCCGGTGAAACTGTGTCAAAGACGTATACTTACTCCTTTTGTCTTTTATGTCGGGGGCGGAGGTGATACGACTATAAGTCCAAGTCCAGGCCCTAGATGTCGAGAGGGGCCGATCCAGGTTCGAGTTAGTCAATTTTTGACTCAGTTACGCTCATCCCAAGGATGTGGTGTGCCGAGAAGGTGCTCGAATCCGCTTGTTCCTTCCCAGATTCCACAACTCCCTCGTAGTAACTTTGTATACCAGGATCTGGCAAGAACTTCCAACCGAGTAGTTCAAGTGGAAAGACCACGACCAGGGGCCAAGTGGTCATTGGAGCGCTCAGAAGGTTAGAAAATTGCAGTTTTCGTAGCTCGTAGGAAGAAACTGGGATTCGATCCCGGGAGCGACCTGCGAGCGACTTTTTTTTTTTTTTTTTTTTTTTTTTTTTTTTTTTCTCTATATATATATATATATATTATTTCATTTTTGTTCTTAATTCCTCATCCTAACTGTACATCTGGGCCTCATATATGCAACAGTTATTATTTAACACGTCATAGTTTCCTTTCTTTCCTTCAATTTTTCTTTTCTGATTTGATTCTCGAACCTAGACGATACGCGATGTGCCTTAGATGGGGGTTTCTCTTTCTATCTACCATCTTGATCTCCTAGACGAAATATCACAGGTCGTTTGAAGCGTCAATAGTGTATTAGTCACGTCCTCGTGTTGCTCCATTGTACTTCGTATTGTCCAGAGCTATGGCTGCGTGAAGAGCTTTAGTGGGGGAGTGTTGACAGCGGAACTGGTTGCTGTGGTAACAAGCTTAACCACGCTTCCTCGTATTATCTCGAGGTGCGATGCTACCTGTTGACGTATCTCAAACTCGAGTTCCCGCCGCGCAATCGTGCCCCATCCATCGACAATTTAAATCATTTACAAAGTGACAATAACACGAAGTAACCCTATCGATCGGATGGTGTAGGCCTCTCTCACCCATAGTTCCCCTCCCGCCCATCAAGGCGAGACTTTTATATTTAGCCTCTCCAAGCAACTTTACGGCCCGCTCTATCATCGCCTTAAACACTTCGTATCGCTGGTCACAGAACTGTCTGTTTTCTACGCGATGCCGCCGCCTCGAGAGCCGTTCCTCGACGGCGTCGAACGTTACGACCCGATGTCTCCCACTAAGCCTTTCGACCCCAAGGCTGTCACCAGGGCGAGCTTCGAGCCAAAACCCAAGAAACCAAAGCCAAAGGGACCACTGGTTTCATTCAACCGCCATCCTGAGTAAGTGGCTTTGCTCATCCTGTCACAGAGATAAGGGATACTGACATAGTCTCCTCTCGCGCAAAGTGCCCACGTTCCTCTGAGCTACAGGTCGTCGAATTATAAACCGATGAGCCGACGAACGAAACAATGGATTGTGTGGATGCGCAGGGTTCAGCTATGCCTCCGGCTTCTGGCCCTCGTTGCTAACCTAGGAATCTTGGCCATGATGATCCTCATCTCTGGGATCGACAACAAGACCTCGTGGGTTCTGCGGATCATGGTAAATTTAATCTTCTAAACTTTAAGCTCGATAACCTTGCGGGGCTTCTAGCTAACTGGCCTTAGTCTGGACTGGGGGCCCTCCATTGTCTTTATGCCGTTTACCACCTCGCCCGTCCCGCCGGCGGCCGTACTCCGTCGTCCTCCGCCGCCTACCAGCTCTTTGCGGCCTTGTCTGATCTCTGCGTCGTGCCGGTTTATGCTTTTGGCGCCAAGGTTGTTAACGATAAATCCCCCGAGTGGTCCACCATCCTGGCCGACAAGGACCTTGTGGAGACATTCTCCCTCGTCTTGTACTATCTCCTCTTGTCGTCCGGAGGCTTGCACACCTTGTCTCTCTGCATATCCATCTGGCTCGGCGTTATGTTTAGGAAGATTACTCTCATGCCCCCGGATATGAACCCTCTAGAGGAGCACCTCACGGCTCGTTCGCGACACAAGAAAGCCAAGTCTTCGGTTTCCACGGTCTACACGGACTACTCATCGGAGAAGCGACTGTCTACGCCGTCGGAAAGCCGTGGTCCGACCGTCCCATTCCACCATACGCGGGCTGGGTCATCTGTGACGTTTGGCAGTAGGGATTCTCGCCTTGACCTGCCAAGCCGTCACTATCAGATAACACCTGGAACATCAACGCCAAGGCATTCGACTTGTTCGATAGATGTTAAGCGCGCATCCTTGCCGGCATCCCGTTCTTCGAACCGAGGATCATATGTCGGAGTGCCCGTCGACGAGCCGCATTTCGAAAATTCCTACGATAACGACTCGCCCCGATCGAGCAAGCAGCCGAGAACGGGCAAGTTTACGGAGACATGGCATGCTACCGACTCGCTTATTTCTCGTACCCAGCAGCGCAACCGAGCCCTGGCCGCCCAAGAACGAGACAGAGCAAGCAAGTCTTACGAGATCCTCAACCAACCATACACCTATGATGACTCGGGCGATGAGGCTGAGAGGGACGAGAACATCCTCACGGGTAGTGACTGCGAGGATAGTAGAGGAGCGTATGACCAGCACCCTAACCCTCTTCGTCTTAACCCTGCGACACCGCCGAGGCCAAAGACACCCTACTATGCCTTCCCGTCCAATGTCCTGTCCGAGACAAGCCTCAATAAGCGCACCGTGAGTGGTAGCATGGATATCACCGACGAGAGACCCGTAGGGGCGCCGACCACGCGAAATTCCGGGTACAGGAATAGCTCCATCCAGCCAGAGAGCGCCTTTTACTCGAAGCCCTATGGAGAGCTCAAGCCCGCGACCCCACCGATCATGGTGGGAAGCAATCGCCAGGTCTCGTCCGGTAACGATTATGACTCGCAGGCGGCTTCCCGGTTCGGTCGACGGAATGTCAGTGGTAAGGTTGCCGAAGAGGGAAGGGCTGGACGTGCCTACGAGAGGCTGTCTAGGTATGGTGATTGAAGAAGAGTCTTTTCACACACTCCCGGCGTTTTGATATTTGCATATGGTCGATTGACCAGAAGGGAAAGGTAATTGGGTTAAAACTTGGGGATGGACTGGGTTGGACGCCGAGTGGTTGGGATGGGGCAGGTTATGGATTGCAGGATGAGGTTGATGGATCTTTTGTTTTTGTCTTGTTTTGTTGGCAGTGATTTTATTGCCGGATTAGCTTGTTATGTCGCATGTACGAATAAGGTCGGAGTTAGAGAGAGCAAAGATGAAATGGAAGCGTATCAGACATTACTTTTTATTATATCAGTCCTCGGTGAAGCTCCGTGTGCACTGCAACTATTTTCCTCTCGATATCCAAGGCAAGATAATCCTATCAGCGGCAGAGATGAAGAGCTCTGGGCCCTGGGATAGCGAGCAAGTCGTCCATCAGCCTCTCACTACTCACCAACGTAGTCGGCCCATGAAAGGTCAAGACCAGAGGTTGCGGGACCGCAATCTCCAACCCATCGCCGATTGTCCCAGGCATCCATGCTGCAAAGATGCCGCATTGTCGGCCTCCCATGCGGGCAGTTCCACGGCTTGTCGAGCTCGCCCATGTGTCTCACAACCTTCTCCATCTTCCGGTGCTGCAGGGGATTGCCAATCATGATGCTGCTACGGCACGCTCGCATAGCGAACATCTTCCGTACCTTTGATGGCCTGGGCACGGCCGTTGTATCAGAGGTCGCGTGGCTGTCTCCTAGCAAGGAGATGAGTTCCTCCAGGTCGGCAATTGTAAACGTGGTCTCTTTGCTGAGGGGAAGAGCGAGGAGTTGGCATCTTGCGCCGACGGGTGAATCCCCAGATACATCGATAGTTACCTTGAAACCGTTCGCTTCAAGGGCTTGGAGGTTATTCAGAACGATCTCTTCTTCGAGAGCAGTTAGATCCAGTGTTTTCGGGTGTACGAGACGCTGCGATTCGACTACGGTCGATGACTGGAGGCGTTCGAAGTTATACTTCTCGTCGGAGGCGTGTTGGTCGATGATGAAAAGTTCGTCACGTCTCTCGGCAGCATTCTCATCACCCTCCTCACCTGCTGGCCTTACGGCTAAGATGAAACCGAGGTTAAACTGCCCAACAATCTTCATTTTGTTAAAGTCGCCTTTGGATATTGTGAGGGTCAGTTTTTGTTCTGCATCGTTGGTTCCAAGATCGCTCTCTTCATTCGGTGTAGTAGAGGCTGACCGAGGGGCTTCACTGAAACACCCACTCCAGGCAGCTACTCTCGCTCCTAGACTTTCCGCATCCAGATGCAAGCTCTGTTGGTACTGAAGGGTGGCATCTTTCCTTCTGCCTACGTTTCTTGTCGTGATGGGCCGCGTTTGTCTAGTTTCGGCAACCACTGGTGGGCTTTCATCCCGTTCGATAGATGGCTCTCCATCCAGAATCATTCTCTCTGGGCTGCCTTCTATCCCTAGGTCCACGCCATCATCCATGGCAGTCTCTGACGCTCTGGTGTCAGCATCCGCTTCGTCGTGCTCGTCTTCGTTAACCACGGTTGCGATAGGATCCGCTCCAAATTCCGATTCTTCTTCGGGCTCCTCCTCCACAACGATATTACGCGTTGCCGTCCCTAGTGCTCCTAATAGTTGGGAACTATCCGTACCCGATCTCGCAGCGGGTGAAAATAGTTGAGAGAGCCGCCCGCCAAAACTTGGCACGGCTGAGGGGGTCGCGGTTCGATGCTTTGGTACGGATCCTAGGCTGGGGGCGGGCACGGTTGTAGAGTCTATCCGATGACGCTTTGATGATGGAGGTCCAATTAAGCTGTTTGCAGGCGCTATGTCTAGAGTCATTCGCTTGCGAGAGTGATGTTGAGAATTAGCCGCCGTGGAGTTCACCGGAAAATCGCTCGAGTATGGAGGGCCCGCCTGGGCGCGTTGATCGGCCTCTCTCTCAGGTTGTTCAGACAATTCGGCGTCAGGCTCTGGGCTGGGATGTCCTCGAGGAGACGCAGTACCAGCCTCATTCAAATTTCCTGGACGGCTGGTTAGGGATTCGCTGCCAGAAGACTCGTTGTCGGGGGGTTCTGGCTTGAGGGCGTCCTCCAACCCCGCCGGCGCTTTAGAGGGCGTCTCGGCTTTGTTGTCTGGCACCGGGCTATCCCCCACACTCGTCGCTTGACTAGATCGGGAAGACATAAATAATTCTTTGATGGATCCACGGGTAGCCAAGGAGGTCCCTTCAATCTCAGAAACGATACTAGGGTTATGTAACTCGGGGTCACTTCTGAGTCGGTAGGGCTCGGGAGTGGTGATGCTAGACTCATCGCCAATGGCCCTTTTGGATGATGACGGCGTCGTCGCACTTGCCCTGGCTAGAGATAGTGTTTTTTGAGTCGCGAGCTGGGATACGGGAACTGTGTAGTCTTGCGCTTCAAAGAGAGAGTTGAGAGACTCCTTTAGATGTTCCAGCATGCTACCTTGCTCATGGAGGAGGATTGTGCGCTTATCCGGGCTGACGTTTACGTCGTACAGGTGTGTGTCAAGCTGTATGTCGGCGAGAATGAAGGGGGACTGGGAAGAATTGAAGGCTTTGTAGACTTCATTAAATACCTTGGCAAACTGGGGCAGGCCGCAAGGACGTCCGTTGACAAAGAACATTTGACGATCGGGGGCCTGACGGCCTTCCCCATGGGCTGGACGGGAGACAAATCCCTTAACGATAACATAATGTGAGGCTGGCGTGCCCTTGCTACGCCGCGATAATGTTTGCGACTTTGTCGGCTCCATTTCCAAGACAAGATCCAAAGGTATTAGGGCGGTCATGGTTTTTGCGCCAAAGATATTGACTATGTTTTCGCGAGTTGTAGGGTTTCCTTTCGTGGAGAAGAGGACGATCTTCTTCCCCTTCGTCGGCTGCTGGGAGACGGTGAATTTGATACCAGTCAATATGCAAGCATACTGGTTGAGAAGGGAGATGACTTTGGCCCATTCTCTTTTGATATGGCGCTCCAGCTCTCGGCGACGGACCGGGAGATTGTGGAATAGACTGTCGACGATGACGGTTGTTCCCTGCTTTGCAGGCACTATGGATGTGCTTTCAAGGGCTCCTGATGAGGCGAACTGCAACTTAGACCCCTTTGGAGCATCATCCGCCACACAGGTAATGATGGATAAGTGACTTAGCGCAGACAATGACGAAAGGGCCTCACCACGGAAGCCAAATGTCTGCAGGTCGGAGAGGTCATCGTAGACAGATAGTTTCGAAGTATAGTGCTTTAGTGCAATGGATTGATAGTTGTCGGAAGTTATGCCGCTACCATTGTCCTGAACTTCAATAGAGTCCAGCCCTTGATTTTTGAACCGCACCTCTGGGGAAGAGCTCTGGTTAGCCGTGATGCGACCCGAGGGGAGTGGGCATGTCCAGTACCTATGCTTGATGCACCTGCGTCCACACTATTTTCAACAAGCTCCTTTGCAACGGAGCAAAGGTCAACTATGACCTGACCGGACTGGATGCGGTGGATCTACACATCGCCACTGTTAGAGAGATTTGTGATTAGAGATGGCTCAAAATGATGGCCACTTACAGAAGAACTATCTATTGCTTTAATTGTAGCCATGTTTATCTGAAGAAAAAAAAAAAAAGATACTTGGGAGAAAAGAGAGAAGAGTCCGGTATTAGTTAAAAGTTTAGAGCGTCAAGATTGAGAGACGGGTTTGATGCTGTGGCAGGGGCGCGTTTTGCAGAGTGTGAACAGGTACATGGCGAGTTATCGCCAGCTGCAAGAGGTCGCGTATCTTTTGAGAAGGGCGCCTCGGTTTGGAACTGGAGATGAGCCGTTTTCTAAGAGTTGTGCAATTAACCATCTCAGTTGGTGATATTCAAAACTCTCTCATCCAACCCTTCCGAGCTAGACAAGCCGGAATGATGGTCGTCACCGTCCAGTCCACAGTTCACACTCTAAATTTAGGAAGACGATAGACACCTCATCAAGCTCGAGTTCACGCGTCGCAACAGGTCGAGTCTGAATGGTTGGACTGGACTAGACCACTCGGTGCAAGAGCATTGTAGGCTGGTCAAAGCGTGCTGCAACAGGTCTGAGGTCAAGGTGGGTGGCAGGAGGCTTAGTCAGGAGGAGTGGGCCGCCCCGTTGCATGTTGCAATCTTGATGTCCCCTGCAATCTGCATTGTCAATTGTGCTTACAGGATACCTCGGTACATGCAAGCTCACAATTCCATCGGTTGGGAAAGATTCAATTCCTCCATTCTTACGGAGCACTTCTTATGCACCCATACGAAGTAATACTCCGTACATCACGTCCTCGTGTACGAAGTACTTCGTAGAAAGTACTTCGTAGTTTACTTCGTCTTCGCACGAAGCAGTGTGCCTCGTAATGTCGAGGACCGGAGTGGATCATCGCCGTTTCCGTTCTTCCTTGTCCCATCAAAAGAGAAGAGGAATAACATCACGAAATGCAAGTTCTGAGCCCTTATGGAGGATTAATCTTTCTCTTCGACAATCTTATGATCATCTGGACTGGGGAAATCCGCATGTTTGCTCGCGGGCATACTTCGAAGCCGCAATAATAGGAACAAATCGTGCATTTCATATCATCCTGTCCTGGCCGGGATGCGAACTTGGGAAGCGATCTCCGTTATCTTGGTTTAATTGGTGAAGGTTAAATCAACTGTGATAATCAGAGGCATGATGGAGCCGGGCGTTTAAGGATTCGGGACACCTATGCTTATATAGTAAGTAGAATTCTACTGAGATTTGATAGACTGATGACTCGGGCGCTCGCTCTCTCCAAAGACAATGGACCCGGGTGACCTGCTACATCCAGGGCCGCTGCGTGGATACGAAGAAGCCCTTCTGGTATCTCCATGAGGCAGTTCGCACGTGCCGCCCGCCGGCCGGGGACTGGATGGGTCTTTTCGGACGAATTTCCGACTTCTTCACAACCCTGCCCCAAGATATGGGTGATAATCGCACGATGAGAGCGCCATTCATGAAGTGGAATGTGAACATACTTCGTCCTCGTGTCTGCGGGGTATGTTGGTCTATGACCGATGACCCAACTGCGAGCAAAGTTGAGACATGGTGACTTCAGTCATTGAAGTATAACAGCGAGCTTGCCTAGTCGGCTCTTGATTGAATTACAGTACTATGCATGTTGCCAACAGCCGCGCAGATTTGGCCTTCTACTTGCCTCATGGTACTACAACGAGCACCGTTCTAAACCGGAGGCTGAAGGGTTGGATGGACTTTGCGCTGAAAATGCAATGTTGAGCCAGAGCCAAAGAATGAGGTCCGACTCCGTAGAAAATGCGGGCGGATTTGAACTCGCGTGCTGCTGGTTCTCGATGAATGAATAATGCTTGTGCAAAGAATGTGTCTGTCCATGTCCCGTCCATCGTCTCCATCGTCTCCATCGTCTCCACCACCCGCTGCTGCACTAGCTGCACTGCATCCTCAGACTCAAGACTCGAGAGCATGGCGTGCGTGTAGCCCGGCTATTACCAAGCAACGGCCAATCATAACAAAGCGAGAGCTAAGAAGAGAGAGGCTCAATTGATCAATGTATCGTTACAAATGGACAGTGGCCAGCGGCCGGACCTAGTGGGTGGTGTCGCTTGATAACCCGCTGTTATCGATCGTCCTTGAAAACCCGTCCTGTTACTCGTAATTCTGCTGTCTGTGTGCTCTCGGGTTGTCCAGAGACTCCTGCCCCAAAACCGCCGTTTGGGTGTCCTGCTCTGCTCCGCCCGCCTGTCCTGAGGTATTAATCTCGTGTATTAATTCTGAAATCCACTACGGCAGGTACATAATAGTGTGTACAAGAACCATTGCTAGAACCAACATTCCAGAATCCACATGCAGCCAAACGTTTTCCCTCAATGGTAATCTGCTAAATCTAGCGAGCGCTGTCAGTGGCCACTGGTCTGGTTGCAATCCATGTCGCAATAATAACACGCCTCTGCTAGTCCCACCCTCCCACAATTTCCCTGGTGCAGTACGAAGTACTGCGGTACAATTGTACCTTCGTCTCCAAGAGTCCCAAAGCTATCCTGGGTTAATTCAACCATACGAAGTAATAATTCTCGCCTCTCCTCTTCTCTTTCTTTCCTTCCGCCCCCTTCACTCCGCCTTCGCTTTCGCCATCTCGGCACCTTCTCTCCCTCCCTCCCTCCCCCTCCTCAAACCTTCATCGCCGGCACCGTGAAGACTCCTACTATACGGAGCCTTCTGCCCCCATGAAGGGCCGGCCGTCTGCGTCTTCTAAAGACGCTGACGGATCCTCTGTCGACCACGACAAACCGCCGCCGGAATCTGTCGACGAAACGGCCTTGTCCAACGACCGCCCCCAGCCGGATATTCCGCTCTCCCCTTCTTCTGCGAGGAGTAGACGCTCAACCAACATTAGTTGGAAAGTATCGAAAGATCGCAATGGCTCCGCCGACCCCCCTTTCGCCGCTACCACGAAACCGAACACCCTCGGTCGCGATGCCAAGGGTTCGCCTTCTTTGAATTCTTCTACTTCGATATCCAATACCAGGTTACGTCGCAGGCTATGGTCAATCACCCCTCTCATTCTGCTGGTGTCTGTCATCGGACTTGGCTTGCTGTCAGCCATTCTTTATTCCCTGGTTACCCGGCAGCTTGACCCCAAGGGCTGCCGAATGTCCTACATGAGACCCAGCTATATCAAGTTCAGCGAATTCGACACCGAACACACTCGTTTTGCTAGCAAGTATTCTCTCTATCTCTACCGCGAGCAGACGGTCGACGATGACAAGGTACGCGCTTCCCGGCGATACATCCCTGCCCCCTCCCCCGTTGTGCTTCCCCAAACCCGTGGTCATTAACCCCCCTGGCGCCCACCGACATAGTTAAGAGGTATACCGGTGCTGTTTGTCCCCGGAAACGCCGGGAGTTACAAACAAGTACGTCCGATCGCTGCGGAGGCCTCGAATTATTTCAACGATGTTATCCGGCATAATGAGGCGGCAATCGCCGCTGGTACCCGCAACCTTGACTTCTTCACTGTCGACTTCAATGAAGATATCACGGCTTTCCATGGCCAGACTCTCCTCGACCAAGCCGAGTATCTGAATGAAGCAATTCGCTACATCCTCTCGCTATATATGGATCCCCGAATGTCTCCTCGACCGTCTGATACTCCCGATCCTACCTCTGTCATTGTTCTAGGCCACTCGATGGGCGGAGTCGTTGCGCGAACCATGCTCGTCATGCCGAATTACCAGTCTAATTCCATCAACACAATTATCACCATGTCCGCCCCTCACTCTCAGGCTCCGGTCACATTCGATGGTCAAATCGTGCAAATATATGATGCCATAAACTCGTACTGGAGGAACGCCTACGCCGAGAAATGGGCTAACAACAACCCACTATGGCACGTCACTTTGGTGTCTATCGCCGGAGGCGGTTTGGATACTGTCGTCCCATCTGATTACGCTAGCATCGAGTCGATGGTCCCCGAAACCCATGGATTTACAGTCTTTACAACCACTATTCCGACCGTTTGGACGAGTATGGATCACCAGGCGATTCTGTGGTGCGACCAGTTCCGGAAAGTTGCCACTCGGGCCCTGTATGATATAGTGGATGTGAGCAGAGCATCGCAGACTAAACCTCGCGCCGAGAGGATGAGGGTTTTCAGAAAGTGGTTCTTGACCGGCTTGGAGCCTGATGCTGAGAAGGCCCTACCTTACCAAGCACCATCAACGCTTCTCACCCTTGGCGACAGCTCCAATACAGTCATCCCTGATGGGGAAAGGCTTACAATCAGACAGCTCGGCCGTGATTCGAAACCCAGAGCCTACCTTCTGCCTGTCCAACCTCCCGGTTCCCCCAAGAGCACACGATTTACCTTCCTTTCAGATACCCCGTTGAGTTCCCCTGGGGGTAGTGGTAACTTGGAGGTGCTTCTCTGTAGTGTTGCCCCGCCTCAGCCTGGTCAGTCTACCTTGGCACTCCCGATAAGCGTTGATCTTTCGACAGATGGCGACGAGTCTGCCAAGTTTGTCTGCAACAGCGCAGCATCCGATCTCATTATACTGCCCCGCTCGACACCATCTTCAAAGTATCCGTTTACCCCGGCTCAGGATCCGGAGAATCGCCCTTTTTCCTATCTCGAATACAACGCAGAGGAGTTGGCAGACCATCAGTTTGTTGTTGTTTTAGACAAGTCGACGTCACCTACAGACGGGTTTGTTTTGGCAGAGTTTGCGGATCATGCCAGCTCCGTGAGAACGAAAGACGTCGTCCTTGAAGACTTGCTCGCGTTTGGCCTGACCATGACCCTGCTGCCGAATCGGTCTACCGTCTCGCACATTCGCATTCCTGCCATCGAGTCTAGTCTGCTCGCCTATAACCTGCACATCGAGTCCCAGAAATGTGCTAGGAATAAGGAGCTTTTCTCCCCGCTAGTCAGGCAGTACTTGAGTCGGCCATATGAGTCCAAGTTTTTCGTCAATGCTAGAACGGCGGAGATTAGCATCCATGGAATTTCACCATTCGTGCCGCCTCCACTCCGGCCCTATGACGACGATGACGACGACAGAGGCCTCAGTTTTCAGATTTGGGCAGACCCTACATGCGAATCAGAGATTCACATCAAGCTCGAGGTTGACGTTCTGGGGAGTATTGGCAAGCTATACATGCGATACAGAACTGTCTTTGCGGCCTTCCCACTGTTAATAGTGGCCCTTGTCCTCGCGAAGCAGTTCCAGCTGTATGACGAGACAGGCGTTTTCGTGTCATTCACGGAAGCCCTAGATCTTTCTCTTCGAGGGTCCTTCCTGGTCACCGTGATCTGTCTGACCGTACTATCAGTCTCCGGTTGGGGAGCGACCAGGACCATTAGCCCGGGAAGCGGAGCAAACAGCACGTCCGGTGTCGACTTTTACCAGAATGACAGCGTGACCGGCATGAGTGATCCCTTCTTTTGGTTCCTCGTCCCAATCATCGCCGGGATCAGTGTTGGAGTCTGCGCTGGACTTCACTACGTGACCCTTTTACTCACACAAATTACCGCAGTTGTTTGTGGCTTTTTCACCCGACACTCGAGTAGTGCTGATGAAACACCCAAAGGAACTTCATCTCCCGGCCTATTCTCACCAACGTCGCCGCAGCGCCGCGCGATAACGACTGGTATTCTCTTGCTTCTCGTGTCGACATTCATCCCATATCAGTTCGCGTATCTTGTCGCTTGTCTTGTGCAACTTATCACCACCATCCGCGCACTGCGGACGTTTTCGCATCATAATCAAATGATGAATTACAATTTCTACAACTATGCACACTCTATACTTCTACTAATGCTCTGGGTGCTGCCTATCAACCTGCCAATTCTGGCCGTGTGGCTCCGAAACCTTGCGGTTCAGTGGCTAACGCCATTTTCTTCCCACCATAATGTCCTCTCCATTATTTCATTTATTCTTCTCGTCGAGAATATGACGACTGGGAAGATGATTCCCCGAGTCACCGGCCGTCTCAGGCACGTCACAGGAGCCTTATTCATTGGGACCGCATTCTACGCTGGAGTTTACGGCATCACCTATGCTTACCGGCTGCACCATCTCGTGCATCTAATCTCGACTTGGTTGGTTCTAATCTACCTCACTTCTGGTTCGTGGTCGTTGGGCAGTCTAAAGGCTCTTTTCGAAGATGACATGGTGGACGGCCGGAAGCGCGGGAAAACACCATGAATGTGTCACCTCATCATCAATACCTAATTCATTCCATAATGCCTCTCCTACTTGTCACTGTCTACCCCCTTAGTACCGCGCTATTCACTCGGACCGTGGGCTGCTTAGTTCTCTGTATATACTGAACCCTTTATAATTCTGGATACCCCATACTTCTCGCACTACCCGTCCGAAACCGAGATCGACCGCCAAGTGCACGAGGTACGCCAGAGGAGTTGTGGCGTGGAGGGCACTAAGAGGACCTGCCTAGCCCTTAGGCGGCATCTGGATACAAGATGCTGAGCCTGACCGCCGTGGGACGTGGGACCCCTACTTACTCCTTGAGATTGGCGACCTGGCCGGCTCGTCACGTCTGGAGACCCCACCGCACCTGGGAACGACGTGATCTGGCCAAGGGAGCAAGAAATGGACGCGGATGGATCGACGGGACAGAAAAAAGGGGGGGAGCATTTTACTATCATGTAGTATTGAATGATGGTCTAATTGCCTGGGATTAGCTTTTACGTGGTAATCTTTCCTATGTTCTAATATTGTACATAGAACTTGATGGCGATAGGCCCTCATCCGTTACCTATATTTTTAATTCAAGAACATGCATAATAGAGATTGCGTCCCAAGCTATATTATGCGACGAATACGAGCAGTGCCGATAGTGACCATTTTCAAGATGATGGACTTGTAATTGGGGTCGAACAAGGAGAGTTACCAGACGGATTCGGCAGTCATAGTAAGAGCATCGGAAGCAGCTCGACACAGGGAGCACTCGAACTAAGTTAGATCTCATTTGTGCAGGGACTAGTCAAACTTCAGCCGAAACTGAGAAACTATAAAAAAAAGAACACATCCTCTAGTCTAAGTCGTTTTAAGTGACAAAACGTGGCTACCAAGTCCTCGGCCCAACTCCTATACCCAACGCCACCGGCCGTATTGTGCAATTTATACGCGAGATCCATCTCTAGTCTTCTTCCTCCCCCTTGCCCTTGATCGGGTCTCCGTTCCTATCCCGTTGAATAAGCCAAAGAGAGAGCCCAAGCCCAATGACGCTGGCGCAGAGCGTAGTCACATATGTTGGCTTGTAGCAATCCAAGCCCTCCTGGCAAATTCGTTGGCCTCCCGGCCCAATTACACTATGCTGATCGTAAATCTTTCCGTAGAAAATGTTAAATATGTTACCAGAAAGGGCAGGTGCTAGAGTTATAAAGCCCCAGTTCTGGCTGAGCCCATGAATTCCAAAGGTTTCTGCGATGATGGATGGATATACGCCGAAGAGGAAGCCATAACCAAGACCGGACAAGCCGGATACAAAGCCGAGTAAATGAGGGTTGGTGATCACGACTCCGGAGAATTGGGCGAGGAAGAATATGGTGCTCGCCACAACGATGCACCAGAGGCGGTTGGCTTTGAGAACCTTGACGAGGAAATCGGAACCGACACCTAAACGAACGTGTGTGTGAGGCGAGAAATCCAATGGAGAAGTGTTGTCCTCGTCGGACTGGTGATGGGCCACATACCGCTTAATAGTCTCCCAGCAAAACTGCCCAAGGACAGAATAGAGACGTGTAGCTGTTGGATCTGCACGACATATGCTTCGTCAACAGAGTCGTCATATCGTCTCCAAAGTGCCTTGACGACATTTCCGATGTTGCTTACCGACAATGTTAGTTTGGGCCGACAAGAGCCGACAGCGTTTTTGGGGGGGGGGGGGGGGGGGGGGAGGAACATACTTGATCGTCATGAGGCCAATTCCGGAGAGGATGCCCATGAGAGAAAACAACTGCCAGAACCTAGGAATTGGCAGAATCTTTATGCCACGGATATCTACACGATGAGAACGGTCCATATCAACACTGCTCTGTACTAGAATTTCGCCCGGTAGCGACGAGGCTTGCGATATCAGAGAAGACGATTCATCCGAGGCGGCCTCGTCTGGTGTCCCGTCAAGCGGACAGGCGTTCGGTTCGTTTTCAATGGTATGATTGGCCTCGAGCGCTAGGGCTTCTATGTCTTCCTCCTCGGAGGATCTAGGTGGAATCGTGTCGTTTCCGACGGTATTGTACGACGTACCAGGTTCCGGACAGCGTGTGCCTGGGCAAACTGGCCTATCCCCGTCACCGGTCATCGAGTTCTTACGAAGGAGGGAGCCAGATGCCGTTTCCGCAGCCGGAACAGAATGATAAGCATGGTGGGGAATAACGCGGAGGAAGAGAGACCCGACCAAAACCACACCGGAAGTGCCACACGCCAGGAGCATCAGGAAAGGACTTGTATCACCAGCAAAGAAAACAGCTCCCAAGGACGAGAAGAAGAATGCGCTTAGGCCAAATGCGGCGAGTGGAAAGGCAGTGGCGGTTCCGCGATGGTCTGGCCAGTTGAGGGCTGATGTCTTCATGGCGGCGGTGAAGGCCATGCACGAACCCAGGCCGGTCAGGAAGGAGAAGAAACAGAGTAGGGGGACGGAACCAGCGCCTTTATCGTAGGCCTCATGCAACGGGAAGTAGCCTAGAGCAAGCAGGATCATGCCGGAAATGATGGCTGGCCGAGGTCCACGGCCGTCGATTAACACGCCAACAGGAAATCCCAAGATGTACATGCCCATGTTTCCAAAAAGCCCGATCAAATTACTTTCGGTTGATGATAGCTTGAGGCGGTCCGCGAACTGGGGTGCCCAAGCAGAATAGACATACTGATCAAAGCCGAAAACACCAATTGTTAGTTGGTCTCTTGGTAAAGAGGAAGTCCGGTTCTGGAGGAAGGGAATCTGGTATCAGAACGAACATTGGTCCCGCAAGCCAAGGATATGGCCGTGGCAGCAACGCTGGCCACAATCCGGGCGCGATGAGCGCGTCGGCCCGTCATTGTTGTAGGTTATCTAAATATATCGTCCAAAGACAGAGGCATGCTGTATGAAGGATTGGGGCGGACGGGTCTAGTCGATCGATGCTATCGTCAAGTCTAGGTCGTGTGGCGGAGCAGAAGAAGCTATTCAGAGGATCGAATGGGAGTGGTTGACCGCAGCGCAATCTCAGCTCGTATCGGGGAGCGGCATCGGACCTTGAAGTTATCGATAACTATCCATTAATCTGAACGTCGGCGTGAAGAGTTGGCATCGGTCTAGTTTAAAAGGGAGCTCGGTTCAGCTCAGAACCCCGAGATCATCATGTGTCGTCGGAACTATTGATTGGGTTGACTGCCGGCACGCATGACTGACTTATGTCAAGGTGTCGCTGACAGTTTCAGGGGGGTAACTCGGCTTGGCGAAGGGTGTTGACAGGTACCGATCCGGTACATCACGGGCCCGCTAAAACAGCGTAATATTGAAGTCATCAATGACGATAGGACGTCAACTCTAAGCGCCAAGTCCAATCGTCAATGATGGCTGATTAGATAAGAAAGCGTGCCGAAAGTGGAGTCATTGTCTCGTGGACACTACGTAATGTTCACGTGAACATCTGCTTTGTCCATCCCCTCGCGAGCCTTGAGCAACCTTGCGACCCAGCCTCCGACACCAACCGTGCGTTGCGTTGTTTGGAGTTCCCGCTCCACTCTTCCACTTCAACGACTCCAAGTCATTCAGTCCACCCCGCCGTCACCATTCGTACTTCCCACTGAATCCAACCTTCGAATAAGAATATCAGTTTTAACCTTAGATTGGATCTTCTGAACAAGTCGGGCGCCTTTCGATAATGGGTGCTTTCCTTTCACTACCGCTTCTCGCGGTCCCGAGCATGGGCACGGTGAGCTTGTATTGGTGCCTACTGACCTGCGAACAGCCTTACTGATAGCACTCTTCTTCTCTAGGTATTGTCCTGCGTCGCGAGCTGCTGCGGTGCAGCAACCTGCTCAGCTATATGCAGTGCCTGTGGGAAATGCGGGAACAGGTAAGAAGTCAAATTCCGGACTCTCTTGCTCTTCGCCACACCGTCCTGACTGACCATTCCTGTGCCGTAGTGTCGCAACGAGAATCGCATACGCTCTCATCCTTCTAGTCAACTCGATCCTGGCCTGGATAATGCTCACACCATGGGCAATTGAGAAACTACAGCATCTTACTTTCGACTACGTTAAAATCAACTGCCCGAACGGCGAATGCTACGGCTGGTTTGCCGCACACAGGGTCTGCTTCGCCCTTGGACTCTTCCACCTCCTTTTGGCAGGCCTCCTCATCGGCGTCAGATCCACGAAGAACCCCCGAGCAGCCTTGCAGAACGGATTCTGGGGCCCGAAAGTAATTGTTTGGCTGGCCTTTATTGTTCTCTCATTCCTCATTCCCGACAGCTTTTTTCTCTTCTGGGGTAATTATATCTCCCTGACTGGCGCCATGGTGTTCCTTGTTCTTGGCCTCATTCTTCTCATTGACCTCGCTCATACCTGGGCCGAGTACTGCCTGGAGCAAATTGAGAATACGGACTCGAAACTCTGGCGTTTCGTACTCATCGGCTCAACCCTGGGCATGTATCTGGCTTCGTTGGCCATGACCATTGTCCAGTACATCTTCTTCGCCTCGAGTGGCTGCAGCATGAACCAAGCCGCCATCACGATCAACCTCCTTCTCTGGATCATCGCCTCTGCCATCTCCGTCCACCCGACCGTCCAGGAATACAACCCCAAGGCTGGCCTTGCTCAGGCCGCAATGGTTGCTGTTTACTGCACCTACCTTACCATGTCCGCTGTTTCCATGGAACCTGATGACAAGAACTGCAATCCCCTTGTCAGGGCTCAAGGAACCAGAAGAACATCTGTTGTTATTGGAGCCATCATTACCATGCTTACTGTTGCCTACACGACCACACGTGCAGCAACACAAAGTCTGGGCCTCGGGGGATCTGGTGGTGGCATCCGCCTTCCAGAGGAGGACGAGCATGATCTAGTCACTCAGCAGCCTTCTGAGAGGAGAGAGATGCGCGCCGAGGCCCTCCGCCGGGCTGTGGAGGAAGGAAGCCTGCCAGCCGACGCCTTGCTCTCGGAGGACGACGATAGCGACGATGGAAAGTCCGGGAACCAAGACGATGAGCGTTCCAAGACGCAATATGACTATTGCGTATTTCACATCATTTTCTTCCTCGCCACGGCCTGGGTGGGTACCTTACTCACCATGAATTATGACGACTCGACCAAGGATGGAGACTTTGCAACGGTGGGTCGAACCTATTGGGCGTCTTGGGTGAAAATTGTTTGTGCTTGGGTGTGCTACGGAATGTACATCTGGACGCTTGTGGCACCTGCGGTGCTGCCAGATCGTTTCGACCTTTCCTAGATTTGAACATTCATGTTCATCAGTTCATAACTTGTTTCTTTCCTTTTTTTTTTTAGATCATGCATAGCGGTTTTTATTTTCCAAGTTAGTTTGTATTCTAGGATGTTGGAGGACTACTCGAGCATAACTACCGAGCTTCTCGGGCGTATATATAAGAGAATTACATTTAGCTCAAGCTCTTCCCCTCCTTTTCCGGCATGGCTGTCTTGAAATAGACCTCTATGCTACGCAAAAAAGCAGTCGGCATACTGGTCTATCAGGGACGACCATATCGTCTAAATGCACAAGATAGGTCGGTCGTGCAAGCCTTATCTTCAGACAGAACGCGTAATCGATTTTCGCATCAGAACAGCTGAAGGAGAAGGACTGCTTTTCATCCCCTGCCGTGGCCGGCATAAGCTGCGGGCGCTCGCCTCAGCAAATGGCAACACCATGATGATAGGATAAGGAAGTGTAGATCACGTACATCGTCTAATTTATCTGCTTATGCTTATCTAGGGTGGAAAGCTCAACGGTCTTGCAGTTTCAAGCACTTTTCTCAATATCAAAATCCCTTTTTGTTTAAGCAGTAGCTATTTGAACATGACGCGGCAAAACAGTTGAAAGGAAGTCCCCGGGGTTCGCACCCGTCCCAAAGTCTGATCAAGGTCGGCATGCCGGACGACTAAACCTCGGCCTCCTGCTCCCCTCGGTTCCAATTTGAGGATACCCCACACCCTGATTCAGCAGGAGTTGGACTTCGGGAGGGGCGCTAGGGCGTATCGCAGCAGTAGAAACAAGCTTGCGGTTCGGAGCTGGTATACCCAAGCTTCGACATAGATGGGGTGTTCGATCTGGTCGCATAGAGTTCGTGCACCCATCATCTCGGGGTATTCGAGCGCGGTTCCATCTTTTGCTTTCCATACATGTAGTTATAAACCTGGCGAGGAATGGGGCGGGAGAGTGCACGCATGGCACAATAAAGCGCAATGATATATCGCCTCGAGGCTGTCCTCAAGCCTAGGCAGTATTGTTCGTCATATCTGCGATGTCTTCTGGCCGCTCCAGGAAAATCAACGACTTAAAGATACAGAACGCCAGACCATACGCCTCCCAAGAATAAGTCCATCTCTAATCAGAATTGTTCCAAACTTTGGGCTTCAACTGCTGTTCGGTGCCTGTGATTTTGGGTTTACAATGACCTTTTCAGCTCAGCTACTATTCCACAGAAGTTTAGAAACTCGAGGGAATCGAAAGAAGCAGACATGGTGCCTTTTTAAGACAGCTATTGACTGTCCTCGGTCGCCGGAGTTTCTGAAGATTCAGTGGCAGGTCCAACCGCGGTGAAACCTTCCAGGGTAACGTTCGCAGCGCCGGCTTGCACAAGCTACATGAGAGAGTTAGTCAAGTACGGTCCTGAAAGGGGCTTCATCATGTCCTTTTATACATACAGCGCGCGACAGGTCGTCGATTAGGTCATTCACGTCCTCAATGCCGACGCACAGTCTGATAATATCCTCTGGCATATGTCTTTCTTCTCTTGTCTTCGCATCTATGCTCGCGTGGCTCATCTGGCAAGGCATGCTGATCAAGCTGTTGACACAGCCAAAGCTGACACTGATACCCCACAATCTAGCGGCCTCCACAATGCGCTCGGAGAGTGCGGTATCTCCTGTCTCGAAGGAAAGAACGGCACCGGCACCCCTCGCCATGGAACGATGGAGGTCGTATTGCGGATGAGACTTTAGACCCGGATATCGTACGCGGAATCCATGGGATTCCAAGAATTCGGCAATTGCTTGGGCATTTGCCTGCTGTTTCTCCATGCGGATCGCGAGTGTCTTGACACCACGCATCAAAAGGAAGGCATCGTTGGGTGCGAGTCCACATCCCGTCGCATTAATGGTGAAGAACAACCGATCGCCAACCGACGCATCATTGCAGCCGATGACACCGGCCATAATGTCGTGATGGCCTGAGAGATACTTGGTTCCGGACTCATAGACGATGTCGGCTCCAAGATCGAGAGGGTTGCAAAGCATGGGAGAAAGCATAGTGTTGTCCACAACAACAAGAGCATTCTCATTGGCCTCGTGGACCATCTGGGCAATAGCGGGAACGTCGACGATCTTGATCAACGGATTTGTAGGCGTCTCCAGAAGAACCATGGCAGTTTTGGGGCAGATAGCTTTGCGGACGCTCTCTGGGTTCGTTGTGTCGACATGATGCACGACAATGCCTTGGTTTGCAGCCATGTAAGTAAGAAGTCGGTGAGTGCCACCGTAGAGGTCGTCACCGGTGATGACATGGTCACCGGGCCGTAGTAGTCGGCAGATCACATCGAGCGCACCCATTCCTGAGCTGACTGCCAGAGCCCTTGTGGCATTCATGATCTTCGCCAGGTGCCTTTCAAGGTGTGTTCGCGTAGGGTTGCCTGAGCGGGTGTAGTCATACTCTTGCTGGCCACCAGTAGCCTTAACTTGCTTGAAGGTGGCGGTTTGGTAGATGGGAACGCTCGACGATCCGTACTGGTCATTGCTATCGGTATAAACCAGTTCCGTGGCGAAGGCATATCGGCGACGGCCACTGAGAGGGCTGGAGGGTGCTGGGGATGGTGGAAGCTCATGACCATCAAGATCTAGTTTCTTGAACGGCTTCGCCGTCTGGGGTGGATTAGAGGTCATTGTGCTGGAGGAGCGGGATGAAGGTGGAAGGATAGAAGAGGTACGCCCTACGCGGACGCAAGATGGAAAACGACGGGGTGTTAGGTACAGTAGAGGAAATGTCAATTGATCTCGAAGAGAAAAAGGAAATGATCTAGAGAAGGATATCGCGGGAAGAGTCAAGTCCAATCCGCTTGCGATTGATGGGAGAATTCGACATGACATCTTGGGGAAGTACTTAGTCAGCACCGCTACTCTCGGGCGAAAACTGCGAAAATGTCGCCATCGCTGTCCCCGCAAAGGGAAGTTCAAACGAAACGGGAAGTCATACTTGGACAGCCCGGCCCATCTCTAGAAGTATAGATGTAGATTATATCCTGGGTGATGGCTTCGTATTGAAGGGTTACTTTGAAACTGGTCATTATCGGTTTTCCGTGCAAACCCTAGTTTCCGAAGTGCCTACAGCATTTCGGCGGTGGTGGTAACTTAAACATCTACCTACCAATTGATCCATGACGGCGATGAAGAGAAAGGACTTCTCCCTACTTCTCCTTACTTCTCCTGATAGGCTAAAGCCCCTCTTACACTCCGCAGTACTTCATTGTAAGGGCACCGGGTAAGAGGGCCGCAAGTAGACGTGCATGCTCACGCTGGCCTCTCATACGGCGCTCAACCATGCAAGTCCACGGCTGGCCGAGAACCGGCACGAGAACCTGCGAGGCGGCTCGCGGACAGCATCGGCATTTCTGACCAGCCAAGTATCCCCCGCAAAGATGGGGTAGCTTGATCTTGGAACCTGAAATATCGGGCAGATGCCGGGGAATTGTCGGAGAATTGATGTCGAGTATTACTTCATCGAAGCTGAAATAAGTTTGGAGATATATGGTAAAGTACAATTGTACAGAGAGGGAAGAGATGACTCTTCCAGCAATTAAGAGTCGTGAGCCTACCACTTTCCTTTTGACCTTATTTCCATCTATTTCCCACACCAAAAACAAGCCCAATATCAGAAACAAGGAGGTTCGGCTCTTTCTAGACGGGTGGTACTAGGACCCGTCAAGAACCAGCCAAAGCCATCCATTTATTTGGGAGTATGGGAAGAACAGGTGAAACAGAGCTCTTAGAAGTAATGATAGCCAATAGAATGATAGAAAAAAATTACAGGTGTCTTGGATGGATTTGGATGGGGTTTGATCGTAGCCTCGTAAGAACTGACGGTCCTTGTTTCTGATATTGGACTTGTTTTTGATGTTGGAAATAGATGGACGAGGTCAAAGGGAAAGTGGTAGGCTCGGTCGCTTACTTATTGAAAGGCATGTTTTCGTCGAAACTATCCATAAAGAAAGAAAAGGAAGAAACAAAAATTAAAAAAAATCGCCGTTCAGAAAGGTTCAATGTACAGATCAAATAGCAAACCTTGAGCCTCACATAGACGAAACCACTCTCGAAAACGCTGTTTGCTCCGTATTGTGTTTTGAAGCGCAGCCGACTAGCTCAATTCGACGCATGCATGGTTGCATGTTGAAGACACGATCACCTAGAATGTGGACAACGTTGAGTTAGATATTGGCCACCTGCATTCTCATAGCGATAAGTATCTATATGTGTACATCGATTCTAAAACAGCATCTACAATCATCTGTCCGAATCCTTCCAATATCTCGAGACATAAACCTAGTTATAACCCATAGCCAGACGCCATCCACGCTCTAATTATCTCGTCCAATGACCATTTTTAGCCCAGAGATTCCGCTTCCGCATCAAGGTATCCGTCCGATGAACCCTTCTCCGCATCGGCGGTAGTCTGATCGCCTTGCTTATTAGCCTGAGCATGTAGTACCTGGCCACCCATCCTTCCGAAGAAGTCTTCCGTGCGAATGCCGCGGATGTGATCGGGGTTAATCGACCTAGTTTGAACAGCACCATCACGGTTCTGTCGGATGTACTCCCGGACGGGCACCATCGCCGCGTCACGGCACGCCTCCTTGATGTCGCTACCTGACATGCCAGCCGTCACCCTGACAATGTAGTCGAGATTGAAGTTTTCGGGATCCGTCTTGGTGTCCGCTAGCACGAGTTGAAGAATGCGGCGCCTCTGCTCCGCGCCGGGGAGAGATACGGCGAACTTTTTGGGCATTCGCCTAAGGATGGCTTCGTCGATGTCGTGGATTCGATTCGTTGCGCCGAGCACGACGATCCTGGCGGGGAGACCGGACGTGTTTGCCGATGTCAATCCGTCCCAGAGGGTCATAAACCTTTGAAGACCTGTTAGCTGCTGTTGCCCATGAACGATGGTGTAAATTACAGTGGACGTACTCTGCTTTAACCATGGCGCTCGCTTCGTGGTCACTGTTGGCCCGCATCCTCAGCACAGCATCAATCTCGTCAATGAAGATGATGGCAGGCTGCATCTTGCGGGCCAGGGTGAAAACGGCTCGTACAAGTTTGTTCGAATCTCCGTACCACTTCTCGAGGAGGGTCGAGATGTGTAGATTGATAAACGAGGCACCGCTCTCACGCGCAAGGGCCTTTGCAAGCATCGTTTTGCCACATCCAGGAGGACCGTAGAGAAGAACACCAGACGGTGCTGATAATAACGCTCCACCATGCGAGTATAGTTGTGGCATCGTTAGAGGGTAAATGACGGATTCTTTGAGTTCTTCGATAATGCCATCGAGGCCGCCGATGTCTGTGAAGCATTAGCATTAGTACACGTAAACTGGACAATTCAATGACGGGGCTGGTATGTCTAACCGTTGAAGCCGACATGTATATCTTGCGGCGCCACCATATCCATGGCGACGATGTTCTCATATTGATTCAGAGTCAGGTCTTCCACACGAGGGCCTCGTTGCGCTGTATCGTCCGAGCCATCTCCGGATCTCCTTCGATCTTTTTCCCGCTGCAAACGTTCTAAGTGCGCCTTTGCTCGCAGGCTTGCTTGTTCGTGCTTCTCGCGTTCTGGATCTGCGATTACGTTGGAGATGACCTGGCGGATCACGTAGGCACCGGTTGCGATCTGGGGATAGTTAGCATTCATAGACGTCATCGGGATGGTTTTAGAACGGCGCATCGTACAAGACCAGCAAAAAGCAAAAAGTCAACGGCCAGACTGTCTATCCTGCGTTTATCGGCCATGATGACGCTGCGGACGGAAAGCCTAGTATTGAGGTTCTGGGAAAGCTCGTGGGTTTGAACAAGCCCGAGGATGCCGAGGGTAAGGCGGGATGAAGTCTAAATAGGAACACGACTAGCTAGCTATAGCATTCGCGTCTGGCGGCGTCGAAAGAAGGGGCGAAGAAAAAAAAATTAAAGAAAAATAGGAGAAAAAGAAGTAACCCTCTAAAGGGGAGAGGGATTTGATAGCTGCCCAAATACCAAGGAGAATGTTAATCTGCTCGTCAATGAGAAGGATAGATGCCCATTTTTGACTTTCTCATCGCCTCATGGGCTGTGGTCGAGGAAGGCGAGCACGAGCCTTCCCTTGGACCAACTGCTGGCACCACACATCAAATTTGATGGCAACTTCCGCCACATGTCAGGTGGTGTCTGGACTGGGCGGCGAGAGAACAATTTGTTAGACAAAATTGCTGGACAAAGTAATCTACGTATCTCGCACAAAGGTACAAAGGTACCAGCGTAAGTACCTCGGTACACAGTATTAACTTCGTGACAATCCCATTGTTTATGAATTTCCTAATTCGGACATTATCTCAACCCACTGTCAACAACATTTTGCGATGGGCAGCAATTGAAGAATTTCACCGCTCAAGACAGCATACTTCGAACTTTCATCAGAGAAGCCTCCGTACTCAAGGCTAAGTATACAACACTTTGACGCCGAATAATTACGCAAGACGCTCAAATAAGCCGACTTCGTGACGACTCGACGCGCTCGATCCCTAAATGCCCGGCACGAAATCTCGAGCTCCCCTCATGCGCCTGGTGGGTTCCGACTTGGAGGACGAATCGTCGGATTTCTCTCTTGCACCACGACCGACAGTCGCGGTAGCACCAACGATGACAACCAAAAGACCTCGCGGCCGACCTGCCGGGTCAGCGAACAAGGTGACGAAGCCGGCTCAGAAAACTACAGGGCGCCGGACCAGTGATAGAATCGCTGCCGCAGTGGCAGCCGAGCTCAATCCGGGAGAGACGAATGGAGTTTTATCGGAGAAGAGCGCCAACCAACAAAACATTGCTGCACCGAAGAAGGGGGCGAAAGGCACCGTTCCAAAGATCGTCGAGAAGCCAAAGCCTACACGTGGAAGGCCACGCACCGTCAAAAAAACCGCCGAAACCCCCACGGAGGTTGACCTAGCCGAAGGCGAAAGCATGGCCGTTGATACAGCGTTACCCGCCCCTACTCCAGTTCCGAAAGGGCGTCGTGGCCGGAAACCAGTGTCTTCGAAGACGGAGATCCCGGAGACTCAGCCTCCTCCAGAGCAGATGGACATCGATGAGGGAGAGGACGACGAGCTAGGAGAGCTTCCCCAGCATCCATCAATTGAACCCGAAGCGCCCGCCGCTCTCCCAGCTGTGCCCTCAAGCGTTAGGAGTCAACGTGTGGTCGATCTAGATTCCAACGATCCATCGATTCGTCGAAAACTAGGGGATCTTAGCAAAAGATACGATATCCTAGAATCCAAGTACCGACACCTACAGGAGGTTGGCGCACGGGAGGCGGAGCGGAACTTTGACCGGCTTAAGAAACAGGCGGAAGAAAGGGCTCAGAGTAAGTATTAATAGTCAAGAGTACCCGCTCCAGCATTCACTCTAGGACGCCTGTTAACACGGACCGCTTTATAGCATCCAAGGAACTGATAGCCGATTTAAAAGCCGAGTTGGCGTCGCAAACTTCACTCGCCAAGGAGGGACAGAAAATGGCAAAGACAGTCGAGCAACACGAAGCGACAATTGCCGGGTTACAGCAAAAGATTACGGACCTAACGACATCTCTCTCGGAGGCTAGGGCAGATAATAAATCTCTCACCACGAAGTTAGCGGCTAGCCGGTCTGAAGCTGCTGCTCATGCCAAGGTGCCTAGTAGTGCCGTTAAGTCTAATAGCCAAGCGGCGCGCAATGGCGGGAACTCGGAAATCATCCAGGCGGCTCAGATGAAGGAAGACCTCTATAGCGATCTGACCGGCTTGATTGTGAGAGGGGTAAAATTCCACGACAAGGAGGATATATTCGACTGTCTGCAGACTGGAAGGAATGGCAGTAAGTAATCCCCCTGTCTGAAATGGAGGAAGAGAGGATGTTGGCAGGTACTAACCCGATCACCGTAGCACTGCATTTCAAACTTTGCATCGAGACCGACATGACAGGGGATGGGTTCGAGGAAGCTCAGATTACGTACCAACCCCAGCTCGATGCCAACAGAGACAGGACCCTGATGGAGCTGTTACCGGATTACCTGACGGAGGAGATAACCTTCCCCCGCCCCCACGCAGCCAAGTTTTACGCCAGGGTGACGAGGGCTCTAACTGACTGAGCTTCCAGAGTAGCCCATCCGGGTTGGGGGTTTTTTCTTTTTTCTTTTTTTGGTACTCTTAGGTTTATGCTGGCAGTATACCCTGGGAAACGGCAAGGACCATCATAGCGGACTGGTCTTTGCTTATGATTTAGCATGCGGGAGGCGTACCTTGATTGTGAAGATGTCAAGGCGATAAAGGGACATGGAGTTATGGAATTAGCCATGAGGTTGGGCAAAGCAATTGTTATAGGATGATGTATGCGGGGCAACTAGCAACGGGCGATTGATGATTGTTTCGGTTTCGATGATGGGTTATAATTGTTCGGTTCATTGATATACCACTTCTGGGATTTGCTCGTGTAACCCCTCACCTCGTATGGGAACAAGAGCTGCTCGCAACCTTGAAGGCTTCATCGTTCAATTGTCACTAGCTTCAGGAAGAGAGAACCACTTGATGCCTCATACCTGTGTATTACTGTGCGAAATACCTGTCAGCGTACGAAGTATGGGATGCTCATAGGAGATGTTGCACTACGACATCCATTGCATCTCCACCTCCCCCTTTTTATGCATGGACACCTGCATCTTACTACATATGATTACACTAGTGTTTGGTACGTACACAGGTACACTCGTCCAGTTCGGCGGGCTCGGAGAGTGGGGAGGATTGGAGGACCCGGAGGGTTCTCATTTGACGTGACATTGGAACCAGGAGTTAAGCTCTTAACAATGGACACGGTTGCCACGAAGAAGTGGACCTCGCGCCGCGTCCAAGTTTGCAGTGGATTTCGAAGTGTAGATTAGATTTGTAGCAGCATTGAAAAAAGTCTCCCACATGCAACTTGCGACTTGCGGTTTGACTTTACCAGGCATCCTCTCCTTCGTGCTCGTAACAACCATTGAGGCTTGCCTAGTGGAGTTGCGCTAATTAATTGGGTATCAAATGGCCACAATTTGAACAAGTCGAACTTGAATCCTCGATAAATCCGACTCGATCGGCCACCGCTAGGCTTGTGGGTAGGTTGCGACAACCCGGATCGCCAGTAATAACCGGAAAGCAGCCCACGCCGCGCCGCAGTCTTAATGGCCGACACTCCTTAAATCGCTTCCTGTCGTTATTCAGCCGCCGACGCCGCGTTCTCGCGATATTAGAATTTCTTTGACGTTTTCGATACGCTCTTTCAACTGTTCTTTTACATAGCGGCTGGTGGTAGATACGATTCACTCTTTTATGCAGCCATGGCCGGGGTCACTCGCTTAGGCTTCTTAGCCGTCGCCGTGGTCTTTCATCTGGTCTATGTTCTGTCCATTTTCGATGTCTACTTTGTTAGCCCGATCGTGTCGGGCATGCAATTGTTCCAAGTTGAGAGGAAGGCGCCCGATTCCAAACCACCGGCTGACCGCCTTGTCTTGTTCGTCGGTATGATGCATCCCTGCCTGACATGCAGCCGCGCCATCGCCTCGAGGATGTTGCTTCTAACCCCAGACTCTTGACTCTAGGCGATGGACTACGTGCCGACAAGACTTTCCTTTCCTTCCCCGAGCCGTACCCGAAAACAGAAGAGGATTTAGTCCCTCGACCACTCGCTCCCTTTTTGCGCTCGCGCGTCCTCGAACACGGAACCTTCGGCGTCTCCCACACAAGAGTCCCCACCGAATCCCGTCCTGGCCATGTCGCCCTCATCGCGGGTTTATATGAGGATGTATCTGCCGTCACTACGGGCTGGAAGCTGAACCCCGTCAACTTCGACAGTGTGTTCAACAGAAGCCGGCACACCTGGAGCTGGGGAAGCCCTGACATTCTGCCCATGTTCCAACATGGCGCTGTACCCGGACGCGTCGATGCTTATACTTATAGCGAAGAATTTGAAGATTTCTCGCAAGATGCCACGGCTCTCGACTACTGGGTTTTCGATCATGTGAAGGAACTGTTCGCTGAGGCTGCGCAGAATAAGACCTTGAACGACGCTCTTCGCCAGGATAAGGTCGTCTTCTTCTTGCATCTCCTCGGCCTCGACACCACTGGACACGGATATCGGCCCTACTCGAAAGAATACCTGCATAATCTCCAGGTCGTTGACAAGGGCGTCAAGGAGATGGTAGACCTCATCGAGCAGTTTTACGGCGATGATCGCACAGCCTTCGTTTTCACTGCCGATCACGGCATGAGTGACTGGGGTAGTCACGGAGACGGCCATCCCGATAATACTCGAACGCCTCTGATCACCTGGGGTTCTGGAATTGCCAAGCCCGTCCTTACGCCGGATACCGTTGCCCCTGGCCATGACGAATACTCGGCCGAGTGGGGCCTGAGCAACATTAAGCGCCATGATGTCAACCAGGCCGACATCGCGGCGTTGATGACATACCTGATCGGCGCCGAATTTCCGGCCAACTCGGTGGGAGAGCTGCCCCTGTCGTATTTGTCTGCGGACATCAAGGAGAAGGCGGAAGCGTCCCTTGTGAATGCGCGCGGAATCCTCGAGATGTACAGGGTGAAGGAGGAGCAGAAGAAGAAGACCGAGCTGCGATACAAGGCCTTCGCGCCTCTCAGCGCCGCTGAACTCACGCCGAGCGCCCGCCTCGCATCCATCCAGAAGCTGATCGCGGGTGGAAAGTATGAAGAGGCCATTGAGGAGTCGGACTCTCTGATGAAGCTCGGACTCGAAGGTCTCAGGTATCTTCAAACATATGACTGGTTATTCCTCAGGGCGCTCGTCACGGTGGGATACCTAGGATGGATGGCCTTCGCCCTTACCACCGTCATGGACGTCTATGTTCTCCAAAGCTCCACACCGCCCTCGAGAACACTACTTAGTACCGTCGTGTTTTCGTCCGCTCTCGTGCTCTTCTACGCATCATTCATTATTTCCAAGTCTCCCATGACTTATTATGCATACGCCTTCTTCCCCGTCGTCTTTTGGGAGGAGGTATATGCTCGGAGGCATAGTCTAGTAAAGGGACAGAGGGCACTCTTTGGCCATATACAATCCAGTGCCGCACTCTTTTCCTTGGTGTTGAATGCGACTCTTTACGTCGGCGTGGTGCTGTCCCTGGTGAGTTGGTCTTCTGTACACTTCCCCGAAGCTCTACTGGTGGGTTAACGCTCTGAACTTTCTAGGCGCTCGGCTATATTCATCGGGAAGTCCTCACGGTCTTATACGTGCTTGGAGCCTTCTGGCCCCTAACCCGTGGGGTCAACTTCATCCAAAAATATACTGCTTTGTCGGCAACTTGGATTGTATCCTGCCTCGTCATGAGCACATTTACCCTGCTCCCAGCGATGAAAACTGAAAGCATCCCTCTAATGTAAGTTTTTAGGCTGATGAAAGAACCGGTCCCTAGTGCAGTTTACTAACAGGATACCAGCATGCTCGGTGGTATTCCTATGGTTCTGATTGGCGTCCTGTACCTCTTGTTTGAGGATTTCGTGTTGTCAGACTTTGGGACCCAAAAGCCGACAAGCTCGAGTAAGGGTTCGGGCAACCTAACTAGCCGGATATTGACGGGAATCCAAGTATGTTTCGGTCAGAGTGAAAATGCGATTCGGCCCTTCGCCGTTACTGACACTTCTTGCTAGATCGGGTTCGTCCTCTTGGCCATGGTTGTGACAAGATCGAGCGCTTTGTCGCTCCAGGCCAAACAGGGCCTCCCCCGCGGGAATCAAATTGTGGGATTCATAGTTCTGAGTATGTTTCCAGCGCGAAGCGAGCATCCTTGGACCCCGCTGTTGCGGACCTAGCTAACATATATATCTAGTCGTTCCTCTCTTCATGCCGCTAGTGTACCGCGGACAGGACAGCCATCATTACTTGCACCGGTTACTCATCATGTTCCTCACCTGCGCGCCGACATTCGTCCTGCTAACCATCTCCTACGAGGGCTTGTTTTACGTCGCATTCTCCACCACACTTGTCTCATGGGTTAGGCTGGAGCATCGAGTTTACACAGACAGGGTTGCAGCCGAAAACGCAGCCGCACAGAAGCCGAATGGCTCCATGGGTAGTAGTGAAACGAAGGTGGCTGATTCCGAATTCCGCCCCTTGGACCTTGCAGATGCAAGGGTCGCACTCTTCTTCTTCGTGCTTCTCCAGTCAGCATTCTTCAGCACGGGAAATATCGCCTCGGTATCGGCCTTCAGCCTCGAGAGCGTGAACCGGCTCATGCCCGTTTTCGATCCCCTCTCCCAGGGCGCATTGCTAATTCTAAAGCTTATCATCCCGTTCGCGCTCATCTCGGCCAATCTCGGCGTGCTGAATAAGCGTCTGGGTGTGGCGCCGTCGGCGCTCTTCATGCTCGCCATGGCCGTCAGCGACATCCTGACGCTCTACTTCTTCTGGGTAGTCAAGGACGAGGGGTCGTGGCTGGAGATCGGATCGACGATTAGCCATTTTGCAATTGCCAGCTTCCTCTGCGTGTTCGTCGCGCTGTTGGAGGGTGTTAGCGCGTTATTCATCTCCGGGATGGAGGTGGAAGTAGGCGCCGTTGAGGTCCCCGTCGCTAGTGGGAAGGGTGCGGAGAAAGCTTCGCTCAAGACCAATGGTGTGGCGGGTAATGGAAAGACGAAGCGCATCTCAGATAATTAGACAAAGGAGTGAATTTAGCCTCGTGGTCTATTGCAAGTCGAGATAGAACACATCACATCGGGTTGGGAATTTTCATTGAAGGAAGCATCTCTCTAGAGCATAACATGAAGCATTAATATTAGTGACTAACTTATCCGTCATTTCGTCCAGTTATGCACGCCGTAATTATGAACACCATGAGCATAAAAAATATTTTGGGGGCTGAGGATCAAGGAGGAGGAAAAATGGTTTTGCTTGAAATCATTCCAAGGGTCCCTCAGCCTTATACAGAGCTCGACTTACCTCGGCTGAAGTTGGGAACCCACAATCGCGAGAGCAGACCGGAAAAGCTCTAGCCGAAAATCGGGGGGAGCCATGTTGAAAGAATTTGATCCCACCCTGGGTTTGGTGGACCAGCATCCAGACAAAGTAAGCTGTCTTGCGGTCCCGCGGTTCCCGTCCTCACCCTCATACTCCCTACATGTCACGACTCCGTAGACTCCCGAACGTCACACTAGGGATCTCAAGGGAAAATCAAAAATCAGGGGAGGATAGAGAATTGTCCTTGCTTCGTACGAAGTAAGCTAAAACTTACAATGCACTGAATGTAGCTTTAATCAAATGTAGGGACAGCGTCCAGTAAGGTACCCCAATCCCCTTTCGTGCATGGGCTCTTGTTGATCGATCCTGTTACAAGTCATTTACTGAGGTACACAGGTAAACTTCACTACACCTGTTAAGTACGGGGTCTGGGGGAAGACACATTTGTTGGGGGTTGTGGCCAGGTTTGTGGGTCGAGAGACAAAAGAAGTGCGGAGAAGGACAGTGGCGAGGGAGTCCAGAGGACCCTCTTAGTAAATAACGGTGACGTTTTGGGGCCATGCAGCGAGGACTGTGATTGATTGAGCGTGTGTCCCCTCCAGGTTGGTCATTTCGTCCTCGAGTTTTTATTTACACAAAGGCTGGATGGCGGACGAAACTCGGGCGAGGGGAGAATAGAACCCCGAAAGGCAGATGGTTGTACGAACTTCGACTCGATCACTTCACTTTTCCATCTCGTGCGCAGATTTCATTAGTTCACATGCACGAAGTAGGTCGATAGTTGCCAAGAGAGAGCCTGACAAACTTGCGTCGACGTCGTAGGTATGTCGGTACCTTCCTCTTTCCCGGGTTTGAGGAAAATGCGACTGCCCAGGAGGCTCTAAGGGACCAGGGATTCGATTCCATCCTACGAGAATCGTCTGGTTTTTGTGCTGGGCAAATCGTAGATTCGATTGAACAGATCGTCCCGAAAAGGGTAGTGGCTCCGGGATGAAACGGGGTGGGACAGGAAGCTAGTAACTCAGGCACCAGTGAGAAGACGCCTTTTCTTTTGGCCTAGAGGTGAGATTGGTGGCTTGGCTTGGCCTTGCTAAAACTACGACGTCGATGTGATGGGGGGGGGGGGGGGGGGGGGGGGGGGATATTGCATTGGAGGGTAGTTTGCTTTCGAAGGATGGTATCAAATCAGTTAAATCTGGTTCGTAGCGGCTTTCGCACTGGATGTGAACCCCAGAACTCGGAAGCCGCTAATCGTAATCCCCATCAGACACCAGGTTCGTTAGTAAACTACCAGACGCTAGGCGCATTGTGTCAGGCGCAAGCCAGCTTTAAATGCTTGGGTTTTCTCTGGCATGGTTCGTGGACAGCATCGTGGCGAATGCGTGGGAACGTGACTTGCATCCGAACTCGAAGAACGGATTCACCTCGACCTGTCCGAAGCATGCCTGCTGTTGACTCACTGCAAGGAAGCTAGTTTACGCCCACAGTCATTCTTTCGCCGACGTATGCGACCTCACGGTTCGCGTCAATCTTGGCGGACCAAGACGCTTTGGCAATTTCCAAATCCCACATTCCCACATCCTTCACGCCGCCTTGGATGCAGCGCGCAGCATGATGGATGGCTCCCTCATCTTCACATGTGAATTTGATTCCTGCTTGAAAACACCTGGTCCTGTTTCTGCAACCCCAAATCGCAAATAGCAAGGAGCATTGCATGTGGGAGCAGTGAGATGAGACGCGGCATCCACATCCACGAGGTGCCTTCCTCACGTCACGCGAGCTTATGTTGGCTACTTTCTGGAACCTGAAGAACCTGAAGACTCGGGACCTTCCAGGACGTGCGGGGGACAATATGCGGGGCAGTGATCCCCTTCTCGTGTTAAACTGCAGAGTGTACGAAGTAAGTACGAAGTACATCTCTGTGTAGTGTGGTGTAAGTGTGCGTGTACAAGTTCTGTATTAAGGGTACGTACTCTAGTACAGAAGTACACCTCCAGGCATGTACAGTGCAACACGACCACGGGTACATGATAGTAGTGTGGCGGGTGGTGTACTTGAGGTGTTCTCTCGATCTACCTCCGAAGGACTGCTGTTAGCTCGGGGATAGACTCCCAATCAGGATCGGCTCCGATTAACTGCGCTTTCCAGCTTGTTGACTCCAAATTATGCTTGGGGCTTGGATAATACTGAGTACACAGGTAGCTTGCACTCCATTGCTTCGTGCATGTGCTCGTCCATCACAGACACCGTTTTCTGGATCCACATGGTTCTCCTCCACATTCAGCAACTCGATTAACTTCCCATCTCCATGCTCGCTCGTTTCCCCCTGAGATCCGGGAGAGCGAAGTGTACCCCGTAGTTTACTTATCCACTATGGTGGCAATTGAATAATCTAGATTAGAATGTGACCGGACACTTGATGCTAATTCAGAGCCATGGCGATAATGGCGGCGAAAGTTTACCTTTGCGAGGAGTTATGCATAGTGTGCTTCAGGAATGGTCCTGACGCAAACCTCCGTCTCGTCACCGTAATGCCGTTCTTCGACTAGCCCCGGGTCCGTTCTCTCGAAGTACTTCCACCATCCTGTATGACATCAACGCCGTGCAATGCACGAAGTATCATGTATCAATCCCACCGGAACCAAGCCCTGCGTGTAATCATGGTCAGCTCGTCCGTCGGCCCTTGCAAGAACGGTGCTGCCGCCGTCGATTTTGAAGGGCTTTTGAACCCAGCATCCATGATCCCCCCTCCCCAGGGCCTTCGAACACTTGTTCCTCCTGATAATCTAAGGAGTGCTGCTCTCGCTCTTACACCTTTTGTGATTTCCAGGTCTGCGCCTTCCAAGACCGACCCACTTCTGAGAAGATCCTAGGTGCATGGTACAATCTTGCTTGTACAGTGTCTGTCTGCAATGGGACTAATCAAGCTACCTACGAAGTCATAATTAACATTTGAACAACGACGGACACGGACACGGACGGCCACCTGAGCAATTTGAAAGTTCAAGTAGCCCAGTAGCCCACCCAGACCTGTGCGATTTCCAAACACCGAGTTCTGTAGCCCCCCTTCTCCCCACTTACCTCCACAAAGCATATCCACAAGCACCCACAACCGCCGGACCCGGGAATCCCAATTCCAAGTCGCCGTGTTGACTTCAACCGATTTCTTCTCTCCCCAGTTTTCATCGTCTACTCCCAACTGCTGCGCGTCCCCCTCCGACCCCAACTTCCCGCTCCGATACGTAGCCACCCCGGCATGACTTTGCACAAGTCTCCGTAGCTCACATTGCATTCATCGCGTTGAGACGCCCAAGAAGCCGTCCACTGAACTGCTAACTGTCGACCCGTCTTTGGCTCTGGGCAAACCGACGGAATCTGGAGCCATGTCGTCCGCCGACACTCCCAACTCCAACAAACAGGAGTCCAGCTCGCCGCCTGCCGCCGTTCCGACTGCTCCCAGCTCAACCGGCGGCGCGACCCCGACCCCGTCTGGTGCGGCGGGTACTACTGGTGCTGGACAAGTCAGTTTTCGAAGGTTCGCCTCCTCCCCGTCCCTCTACTCCTCTACCTTCCGCGGATCGTTACTCGAAATTTTGAAAGATCAAACTAACATAGATTTGCGGGGAGGAATAGACAGAGAGCTTCGAGAGCATGCGAGGTACGTGATCGCTTGTCGCATAACCTAACGAGGATCCCTCCCATACTCCCTCTCCGTCCCTTCCGGGCCACATCACACAACCCCAACCTCGAGGCGTTTAAGAGAAGATCCGCCCGGGGCGCGGACAAAAATTCACATGTGTGCTTTGTCATATATTTAAGTGATTCCGTACTGACAATGTGCCACTTTGAAGACGTGCCATGCCAGAAAGGTATAATACCCTGTGCAAACGCCTTTACATCTTCTCTGGGAGTCATGTTAACCAGCCAAGCTAGGTCCGCTGCGATGCTGCAAGTCTCGGCGTGCCTTGCACAAACTGCGTGGCTTTTCAAATAGAATGTCGCATTCCGGTTCCGAAGCGCAAGAAGGGACAGCCTGCCCCTGCTGCTCAAAAGGATCCTGATAGGTGCGTTGCCCTCCCACCGAAGCCTTTCACATATCTGGACTCCATCGCGTCTTCTCACACTAACCACGCGGCCGTCTCCAGTGACCGTGGCGAGCGTAACGAAGGCGCCAACGAACAGTCCCCCCAACCCCGTAACATGACTACCGCTACCAGTGTCCTACCTCACAGAGCTGCCGTCCCACCAGCCGTATACCACACTACTGAAGGAACTCCCTCGACCACACTGACCGAAGCGCAAACCCGGCAAGGCGAGATCGACGACGGAACCTATTTAAACCTAGTCATGAAGCCCAAGTTTACGAGAGCCCCAATCACCGAAGCCGGAAGAGTCGCTTATCTCGGAGAGTCCTCGAATCTCACACTCCTCGTCCACGACCGCCAAGGCTCCTCGGACGTCGTCCACTACCCGCTACCAGAAAACGTGAGGGGCTCAAGGGCCCGGTTAACAGAGCTTGACAATATCGAGATTGAAATCCTGCATCAGCGAGGCGCCTTTCTCCTGCCGCCTCGCAACCTATGTGACGAGTTAATTGAATCCTACTTTAAATGGGTACATCCCATCGTCCCTGTGATCAACCGTACGCGGTTTATGCGACAATATCGCGATCCGAAGAACCCGCCGTCTCTGCTGTTGCTCCAAGCGGTCCTCTTGGCCGGATCCCGTGTTTGCAACAATCCGCAGCTCATGGATGCTAGCGGCTCGACAACCCCGGCTGCGCTTACGTTCTACAAACGGGCCAAGGCGCTTTATGACGCCAACTATGAAGATGATAGGGTTACTATTGTCCAGTCTCTTCTCCTCATGGGCTGGTACTGGGAAGGCCCCGAGGATGTTACTAAAAACGTTTTTTACTGGAGCAGGGTCGCCACGATTGTCGCCCAGGGGTCGGGCATGCACCGAAGCGTCGAGCAGTCACAACTCAACATAGCCGACAAGCGTCTCTGGAAGAGGATATGGTGGACCCTCTTTACTCGGGATCGATCTGTCGCCGTCGCTCTCGGCAGGCCTGTCCACATCAACCTCGACGACTCGGATGTAGAGATGCTTACCGAAGACGACTTTATAGAAGACGAGCCCGACGTCCCTAGCGACTACCCGCCCGACCCCATTCACGTTCAGTTCTTCCTACAATACGTTAAACTCTGCGAGATTATGGGCCTTGTCCTTTCGCAGCAGTACTCAGTGGCCTCAAAGGGCAGGCCACGGAATGCCATTGACTTGACTCACAGCGACATGGCACTCGCTGACTGGCTTCAGAACTGCCCTAAGCTGGTGTATTGGGAGATGCCCCGGCATCACTTCTGGTCGGCGCTTCTCCACGCCAACTATTATACGACGCTTTGCCTTTTACATCGTGCTCATATGCCTCCTCATGGCACATCTCGAACCCCCATCGACTCACCATACCCGTCTCGAAATATCGCATTCCAAGCCGCGGCTATGATTACCTCGATCGTGGAGAATTTGTCTGCTCATGGAGAATTGCGCTACTGCCCCGCCTTTGTCGTCTACAGCCTGTTTTCAGCCCTCATTATGCATGTCTACCAGATGCGATCGCCGGTCCCGTCGATCCAACAAGTCACGCAAGACAGGCTCCGCACTTGCATGAATGCCCTAAAGGAGGTGTCTCGCGTATGGCTGGTCGGAAAGATGGTGTACAAGCTTTTCGAGGCTATTTTGGGGAACAAGGGGATGGAGGAGAAGCTCCAGAAGGCCAGCGGGAAGAGGCACCGTAGGACGCAGCAGAGCTTGGGACAGCTTGAGCAACAGGCTCGCGGAGCGGACACGACCAAGCGCAAGTTCAATGATATGGCGATGGATTACAGTGTTAACAATGCGCCGACACCGCAGGAGTCCTACGAACGATCCCGGCCACAGACTCCCAATGCCAAGGCCGAAGCAGCATCCCAGGCCGTGGTGAACTCGAACTCGAACTCCATGCCGCCGCCGGTGGCGTCCCCCCACGCCGTTCGGCACTCGACGGATGCGTTTATGGGCGGAACAGCATCACGCCCGCATACTCGGCCGACGACGCCTTTCAACCCGTCGTTCTCGATGCCAGGAACGCCTCCGGATCTTTACCTTGTTACTCGCAACTCGCCCAACCTCTCGCAAGCCATTTGGGAAAATTTCCAACCGGACCAACTGTTCCCGGAAAGCAGCATCGTTCCGTTCCCGCATCATTCACCGACGGCGACGCATCAGAACGTGGATCCGAACCTAGTATCACAGATGCACTCGACGTCGGGAATGAGGACGGCTCCAGGAGAAGCCATGGACGAAGGAGGCGACCCATTCCGTCAGCAGCAGCAGCAGCAACAGCAGCAGCAACATCAAGATGCCGGTAAGCTCCTAAACTATGGAAACCTGAATCAGAGGAATAACCCGGTACCACCCACTATGGCAGGATATACGGCGGGACAAATTGGGGGCCTTTGGCAGAACAACTTCGATTCGAATGTCCAAGATGGAATGAGCCCGAGCGATAGCTGGAGTACAGGATCCGGCCAGGGACAGCCTATTCCGACTGGCTTGAACGTTGAAGACTGGTAAGTAGTCTCTCTTGCCTGGAGACTTTTCGTTTGCACTTTTATTTGTCGGAATACTGACCCAGCCTTTTCTTCCAGGTTCCAATTCTTCGGCATCAATGGCGACACGCCCAATCTGGGTCTTGATGTTCCAATGACGTAATGTCTTGGATACCTAGACGGCGAGTTTGGTTAGATATAATGATATATGTATGGATGGAGGATTACGGCGGTACATATGAACGAATGCAAAGCGTTGGAGGTGGATCTGTACAAAGTTGTTGTGGGTTAAGTGTTTGATCTGGCTAAATCTATCTAATGGAATCAACCCGCGGGGGCACGCAGCGGGTATGGGAGTCGGATAGGTTACTGCTCCGGCACAGTCGTCTATTCTGTTGGCTTTTTTCTGCTTTTATTCTTGCTTGTTTTCCTTTTCTTGAGAATATTGTCAGGGACATGCTTCGCGAAGGGAGTAATGGGATAGGAGATCAAAAAGGTGGATTTGTGTATTATTTCCTCTGACTTTTTCTATTTAACGCCCCGGACGTCTTGTCCTTATCTTCGATTCCCATTGTCCCGGTTCTCACGACACCGTCACGGCCGAGTACATGAGAGTGACACTCGAGTTGTGAGATCTGATGTTCGCGGTCGGCATCTATAGATGTTTTTGACACTTCTTTGGGACTCCCGTCTTGACAGGGCTGACGGCCAGGCGATGAAGTTGTTTCATGGATTTACAGAAGTAGGCGTGGCCGGTGATAGGGGCTGGAGATGAGATTGTGACATTGGAGGGAAGAGATTGATGTAGTATTACACGTCATTTTGGAGGCACTGTAATAATACTGCACCCACTCAATAAGATGGTCAGGACTGGTCGAGCATCATCCCTCGGAGCTGTGGCACTTGAAGGATTTGCAGGCGCATCAAGTATCCGGTGACGGGCATGGATCAACAACACTGAACCTCCTGGATCAGATTGCGGAACAATCATTGGCTTGATTGATCGGAGCTGGCAGGCACGGTATCGGGGCCAGGCCATCTTCCGCCGGAATGCGATGAGTGGGCTCAACTTCTCTCAGGAGCACGACCTGTCAACTGTACAGTACTGCAATTACACTTGAACCTTGTAACAGTGCCCGGTTGCAGCGCTAAGGACAATGGGCAATAACAGCCCCTCCTACCTATCAATTAGCTCCCCTTGGGCATGAGCCAGCCAGCGCCAGCGCTTCCTCGCCAGCTCCGGGATCGCCAGCTGCTGGGACTGCCAGCCAGGTTATCAATTACTGGCCCACTGGAGCGCTGGCGATAAGCGTGCTGTCGTCACCATCAGCCTGGGGTCATTCCTCACCTGGCTCTAAGCACCATCGATCCAAGTGTTCTTCAATTGCGCCACCCTCAGATTCGTCGCCTCTTTCCTACTTCCCAACCACCATTTCTCCTCATTCGAGCAACTTCTTCATTTTTTTTTCTGTTGCTTTGGCATCCTCAATTCTGGCCACGGAGTACACTATACTTTCCGATGGACGTTGGACTCCCGCAGCCAACCCTGGCCCCAGACCCCGTCCCCTGTCTGAAACCGCCCTTTTCTCTTTCTGGCGCCTCAGAGCCACCCACATGCGGTTACGTAGTGCTAATAACCGGCCATCCCTATTAACGCGGAAATACAACATTAAAGTACATTACCTCAGAACATAGGTACACCACCGCTGATCTGAACACCTCTCGGGCTTGGCGGGGGAAACTCAAGAGTAGCAACTTACTCGACAACATCACACACAAATCGGCATCGGCATTTCTTTTGTCCCCGTTTATTCGAACCCTGCTACGAAGTTCCCCTTCCACCGCAGTTCCATAATTAGCTACGTGCACTGATGCCCACTTCTTCCCTCCATCTACTTCTGCCGCGGCCACCAGCCAAGGTCTAAGATCCCTTGGGGAGGGAAGAGTGACGTGACTCGGCAACCCTATCTACCCAAGGACCAGCCGAACTCGAACATTCCACGAAGCCACCCCCCGGGGGCTCCCCTCTTTCCGGAGGTCTGTTCACATGGCCTCATCAACCCTCGTCTCCTCGACAAACGACCCCGATTCGAGCTCCATCCGACCCCGCAACCGCCGATTGATTAGCGTCGAGAGTACCAACGCCGCCAGCTCCCCAGAACCCTCCATTCGCGGTACTGCCCGCCTCGCTCCCGGAACATCAACCCCTTTGCGCGATGCCAGCCCCCTTCCGACGAGCCGGCTAGATGTGGCGGCCCCTGAACGTGGACAGCGCCGCAACAGCAGCAGAAGGAAGAAGAGCCCAGCTGGCGGTGGAGGTGGAGGCGGCGGCGGGTTCGGATTTGGATTGCTTGATGGATCGTGGGCGACAGGCTGGGGTACCGTTCAGGACATTGCTACAGGATGGCTTTCCGGCGCTAGTACCGAGAACAACCGCAACAGCCCTGCGCGCGCAGGTAGCAGGAGCGCAAGCCACGGGAGGGAGCTTGGTCGGAAAGCGTCGTCTCGGCCATGGGCTCAAGAGACGGCCGCGACGGGGAATGTGCGACCCACTATCCAAGACGTAGGCGCCGGCATCCTGGCCGAGAGGGAAGCCGCCCTGATTGCGGCAAGAACCGCGAGTGTTCTGGAAAGCCACGACGGCGTCAACGGCGGGCTCGATGTTGCTGGCAGATTCAAACGTAGGACGTCTGATGACATAGCGAGACGGTCGACCGACGGCGCCGGCGATGCCGAGGAGATACTTGCTTATATACACCATGTCAAGCCGACCGATACCTACGTCGGTGTCATCCTCAAGTACGGGTGTAGGGAGGAACCTTTTAAAAAGTTGAACGGGCTGTGGTCACGCGACAGTCTCTTGACGAGGAAATGGGTCGCGATGCCTGTCGATGCATGCGAGGCGAAGGGAAAGCCTTGTGCCGGTCCGTCGGCCCCTGATGAGAAAGTGGATCTCCTCGCGCCGACGCCAGAGGCCGAAATTGACGACTACGGGTGGAGAGGGAGAGCCTCGTCTTCCGCGACACAGCAACACGCGGACGATATCTTTGGACCTTCCGCGAATGGTTCTTCCCACAAGCCCCCCGACTCGGAAGAAGGAGAAAAGGCAAGGGATTCCAATCAGCCGTGGTCGCACGTGAGATGGGTTTCGCTCGACTCTTTCCCCGAACCTGTGGAGATTGGTCGGGTATCTCGGAAAGCGTTCGGCTACTTCCCGCCGCGCAGGAAAAGGAGCCTCCTTAACGCGAGTTCCACGTTTTCTACGCCGCGCCAGAGCTTCGACGTGCAGAGCTCGATTTTAGGGTCGGGCGATGGGGGGCCTGATCGGGGTGGGCCGTCATCGCGCCGGCAGAGCACACTGAGCAACCGGCCGAATATCTCGGGAAGCATCGCCGGCACCGACATGTCGACGCCGACATCGGCCCGGAGCCGCGTTGGAAGCGTCGGGGCGGATACGAGGCCTATGTGGATGCGGCGGCCGGGAGGTGTCGGATCGCTGAATCAGAAAGTGAGGACGCCGGGCCCAGACAAAGACCCGCTTAACACGTGGGCGAAGAAGCACTTTCCTTCACTTATACTAGATAACCTACCGTCCATGTCCGTCTTGGGGGCCGAGACGGCGCATTTTGGGTTCCCGGGCGACATCGGAGCCATCGCGGAGAGCGCACCGGCTGAGTCCGGGCGAGACGCTGCAGCACTAGCGCGGCAGGGAACGGGGTTCGACCGGGCAGCGGCCGCCGTGGAGACTTGGCTCAGGGGTGCGTTTACCAAGAGGCCCGGAACGCCGATGATGGGAGGACAGGGTCAGTGGGGAGGAGACGAGGACGTGAGCGACCTCATCGAGCTTACGGATACCCAAAGCGAAGACGACAGGAGAACCCCGACTGCTACGGAGCCTGGTCATGCTGCGCGCCTGCCCACCCTGCCGAGGACTGGACGAGATGGAAGTCGGGGGAGGCCAGATGCCGGGCCCTCGACATCGGCTGGCGGGACAAAGTTGAGGGCGAGTGGCCGAGTTGCCTCTTCGGCGTCGCTCGGCGGGAAGAGCATGGGGAAGAACAAGGACGATTGAACGGCTGCCTTGAAAATATTGAAGAGCAGAACTACTATCTGCGAGGATGCCGCAATAAGGGGGGTAGTTATTTTCTTTTGTCCCCCCACCAGAAACGCACAGGATATCCAACGAAGTGCTCGAGATGGATATCTGATGCATACATTCTTACATGGCGTGTGGGAATAGATGACACACGCCCAGACTTGTTTTTTTTTTTTTTTCTTACTATGTAGTTGCTTTGGTTTCGTTTTTTCTTTTCAGCCCTGTTGCATTATATCCGGCATCGCTTGCTTATCATGCAGCGTTTTACACAGGAAGAGAGGCTTACTAGAATAGGTTTATACTATACCAATGGTTGTTTGAATTGTGGTGATTTGAAGCCTTTGAAGCCAGATGGATGTCGCGCAACTTGATTGATTTTGGTTGAGACTGACATTATGACATTAGTGCCTCGGCAGACGTCAGCAGCCGCGACGCGACGGTGGACAGGGGACCCACTCTTTACTAAATCGTGCAACTGCAATTGACGACACCTTCAATTGTCTGCCTCACATCGACCCCATGAAATCAATGCGACAGGCTCCGGCCAACCAAGAGGGCCCGGTGTTAACAATCTCAACCCTCGGTACGATACGGCGCTGAATGACGATGAAAATAGCATTATCGAAAAACCGGCCAGATTGCCTTCCCTAACCTACCAACAACTCAATCTATCATCGCCCCTTTCGCATGTGAACGCGAAGCATTTCCCTCGCCTCTGCACCACCAACGCCCCGTCCCCCCCGCGCCGAGATCGAGATTCCCCCTGCCGAGAAAAGAAGCAGCGGCTCCGTTTCCGTGAGACATGCCCATTTGCATCGAGTGCCGCCACCCCGTCAAGACGCTATGGACCGAGTACTCGGGCGCTGGCGGGGCGAAGGGCGGTGGCGGGCACAACATCCGGTTGACGGTGTGTCGCAACTGTGGCAACTTTTGCGACAAATACGTCGAGCATGACTTTGTTGTCATGTTTATCGATCTGGTGCTCATCAAGCCGCAGGTGAGGGCTTTCAAACGAGGGGATGGCGGGATGTGTTAACGGTTTCCTTGTATTTCGCTAACGCAGGCGGGACGGACAGGTCTATAGGCATCTACTCCATAATACCCTCATGCGCGAGAATGATCAATTCGACGTGAGTCCTATTTTTTCTACAGCGGCCCCCCCTTTGCAGGAATTGCCTCGTGAGATGCTAACATGTTTGGATTTCCGACAAGCCGTCCATCGTCCGCCTCGGTGTGCTACTCCTCCTCTTCGACGTCTACCTTACATGGGCGCGCATAGAAAAGAACGCCCTCCCGCCGTCTTCAAGCCGAGCCTTGGGCCGACTCGCCGAACAGCCCATCATCCTTCAATACATGTTTTTCCGTAAGCCAAATACAACCTGCCTATCCTTTTCCCCGTCTAGCTCGGCATCCCTTCGCCAGGGCATAGAAATCCAACTAATATCCTCACCCTCAGTCATCCACTGCACCCTCTCAACGCTCGCCTTCCACCTCAGCATCCGAACCCTAACCTCCTCCCGCTTCTCCCCCCTCACCCTCCTCGGCCTCCTCCCCCGCTACCCCCGCCCCAACTCCGTCTCCACCGCCCTCCTCGTCTCCTCCTCGACGAAACTCTTCCCCATCCTCATGGTCATCTGGGAATACGACGTCCCGGCCGCCGCCCGCTCGCTCGGCTGGGCCGTCGTCGCTAACAACGTCGAAGCCCTCAAGATCCTGCTGGACTGCGGCTACGGCGTCGCCGGGTTTCTGACGCTCGTGGGCGCCTTGTCGAGGTGGGCCGTGGGGAAAGGCGTGTTTTGGTTGGCGGGGATGGAGGGGGTTGATGCTGTGGGGGAGCTACATTTTGCTTCGGCGGGGGCGAAGGCTGCGGAGGTTTTAGGGACTTTTTTGAGGGATTGGACGGGGTGGCTTGGGGCTGGATGAGAGTTGAGGAGGTAATTAGAGTTGTGTTTTGAACTCGAGTTTGCATTTTAATAGAATGTTGTTTCTTGGTACTGGAAGTGGCTTCCCCAGGGATGCCGAGCCTCTTTTCTCTGTTAACAGCCAATGAACCCTTGAAGGGTTCCGTGTCAGGTTGAAATTCACTGTTGGAATCTCAGTCGAACAACGTATGAAGCACTTTCCCCAGCTCAAAGGTATAGAACCCGGAGCAGTAAGTTGTATTAGATGCCGAAAATAAACCCCGAACGCCCCTCGTTGAATGATGGAATATCTGAAAGTGAAAAGAAACCCAAAAAAGGTCCAGAAATCCCACGCAAATGATAATGATACAAGTAAAACAGGATGCCGTCAAATTCCAATAGCACACTCCATTGACATCGTTTTCCGAAGCGCCATTTTCCCTACTACCGCCGCTGACCCCATCCCTCTGAGGGGCTCTTAGAAAAGCGGATTCTACTCTCCTTTGGGGGATACGAGAACCCGATTGTAGCATAGGATGAGAACCGGGGCCTAATAACCCAGAAAAGGGTGGTATATAGACACTCGCGGGCCGGGGGGTTCAGCAGAAAGGCTCAAGGATGCGCCGGAATAACAACGTTTCGTGGCGCAGTTTTTTTTCTCATTCTTCCGCCCGAAGGTCGGATCTCCGGGGTGCGACGAGGGGGTGCAGTTGAGCGAGGTAGGTGATGGCCCACATTAAGTAGCAGCTCACTATGGCGAGGATGAGAGACGACCGCCAGACTCTGGAGGTTCGAAACAGTTAGTTAATCATAGAAGGACACGGAGTATGTGTTGGTAGTGGTGGTAGTGGGGTGCTGGAGTGGGCAGGATATAGATATATACCAGGGATCGAAGGAGAAGAAGAGGAACGTACAGTTGTGTTTCCCGGGGGAAGACGCGCGGGACTCCGATGTAGGTTGCGATGCAGAGGGCGGCGACGAAGGCCAGTACTACGAAGATGACGAGGCTATTCCCGAGTAAGGCTGTTAGCATTCGAAGCGGAGGAGCTCCGTAGGTCTGGACGATCCCACCAGATCTTGGTGGAAAGCTTGGGCATTGGCTACTTACAGTCCCATGGCTGCAGTTGTGGGAGAGATGGGTGTCGTGGGGAATATGCCGTCCGCGGGTGGAGCTGCGATGATGTCTCGTATCTCGATGGGAATAAAATGAGGGACTAGATCGATCGATCTTGGAATCTGGGAGCTTTGCTTCTGATGGGGAGAATCCAAGAATCAAGCTGTTTGGAACGAGTTCGTCACAGGAAGCAGGCATCCCAATTCATGTGCTTAGTCATCACAGACGGCAGGTCAAACGTAGTGTATGTACAAAGTACCTGGGTACTCATGTACCCATGTACCCATGTACCCATGTAACAGTCTCTCAACTCTTCGTTCCAACTCAACTCCCTCCTCCGCGAGAGCGAGATCTAGATCTAAGAAGAGTTTATTACTTCGTAGGCCCTTTTATGCGATTGATTCAGCTGTGGCTCTCTCGCTGTTGGCCCACGACTCGATTGCGCCCCGAAAGAAACTACTTTAATACTCGTGCTCCGTATCACTCGTAGAGGTCGAAATCGAAAATTAAATCTTGAAATTGAATCCCTGTGTTCAAATCCAGCTCACGCCCCTCCATATTCAAACAAGACGATCTCAAAGTCCCTCACTCATTCTCAAACTTCAGTCCCGCCTCCTTCCTCACAGCGCCATAAATCCCCGCAATATCCCCCATGGCACCAGCATGTTCCTTCACCATCTCCAAATGCCTCCCCGCCGCCTCCGCATTCTCCATCTTGACCCCCGCCTCCTTCGCAATGCTCTTCGCGTGCCGTAAATCCTTCAGCGCCAAATCGACGGCAAACAACGGATACTCCCTCTTGTAATAATCCCCCGACACCATCCTGTGCGCATACCCAGAGTAAGGACCGGGGAACAGCGCCTCGACGAAGCTCACCATGGTATCCGTGCCGAGCCCGGACTTCTCCGCAACCACCAGACCCTGCGACAGCTGCTCGACCATGTTGAGGATGAACGTGTTGCCCAGCACCTTGAGCGTCAGCGCTTTCGAGTACGGCTGATCCGAAAGATCAATCTCCGCGCGCCCCATCACGCCCTTGAAGTACTTCCTCACCGAATCCACCGCCGTCTTCGGCCCCGCCAACACGCAGACAAGCTGCCCTGCGTCCGCCATAGCGGGAGCCCCGAACACCGGCGCCGCAATAAACTGCGCTTTCCTCGCCATTATGGACTCCGCGATGCCCTCCGTCGTCGCGGGGTGAATCGTCGAACAATCGACAAAGATCTTGCCGGTGACGTCATTGTCCGCCAGCGCCGCGGCGACGGTCGATTGCACGGCGGCGTCGTCGGCGATGCAGGTGAAGATGATGTCGGCTTTGGAGACGCCTTCGGGGATGGAAGGGGCGATTTCTACGATGGAGGGGCCGAGGGCTGCGGCGAGGTCTTGGCTTCGTTTGGGGGTGCGGTTGAAGATGATGAGGGGTTCGGAGAGGTTGCCTTTTTCGACGAGGTTTTTGCACATGCCCTGTGAAGAGGTTGGCATTTATTGTCTGGTTATTTGTTTATTTTGCAAGCTGTCACTCACCCTGCCCATGTTCCCCAGACCTATCCACATAATTCGGGGCGCCATGATGTTGGAATCGTGAGTGGTGAGAAGCTGATTTACCAAAGCAGAGCTGTGTGTAATGTTACGAGCAATGACGGCGAGAGAACGGATAGCTTCAGTAGTGATAGAAATAAGAGGCCGCGGAAATACGGCAGAATATATACGTTTATATTTCTCGGAACGATGCGAGATGATGCATATAAGTGTTTCGAGCTTCCAATGGTGCCAATCCCAATGCGAAGTGCTGCTAAATGCTGATAAATGCTTTGTTTGCTCTTTGCCTTTCTTCTTCTTACCCAATTTATTAGTAAAAGCTTCCAATTCCCGCTACGACCAACAACTAGAAGCTTTTAAACGCTCTCCCCAGCCAGCGGCAGCGGGGAGACGCGGAAGCAAAGAGCTAAAGCCGATGTCAGTAAAGGCCGAAGTGACGAAGTCTACATGACAGGTCCACTCGCTAGTTATAGAGGAGCGAACCGACCCGAATTATACGTCATAGACAGGCCGTGAACAGAGTCAAGGATGGATCAACACCACTCACTACCGCGCCGTGCCGAAGCGAAACACACTCGAAAACGAAGTCTATTTTCTCGTTTACTAAACAAGACCCTCTACTACAGCTTATCGTACTAGTATATGATATTCGATTCAAAAGGGCGCGCGAAAAAGTGGGGATTTCTACTGGCATTTCCGAGTTCGTGATGGTCTCGGGGACGGTTGAATTCCTAGGTCTTTACAAAGGGCGAGTGAGCACCTAAGTCATGGGCTTCGCTGAACTGAAGATCGTTCTCTACGTTTTGCCTGACATGAGCACACATCTTCACATCTTCCATCTCCATCAGACCGATGGGCAACAAACGGTGCCTCGCATGCATGTCACAATTGGGGGCATTGTATCCACAATACCTCGGTATCCACTTGAGAGTCCAGACCCAAGGAGCGAGCTTGGCAATTGTGGTAAGTGCTTTGGGTGTATGAGTGGCCGGTGGTGTCCTAGAAGGTGATAACGGAGTCGAATCTATCCTCTACTGTAGTCGCTATGTATGGTATCGGCTGGCTAAGGCGCTTCGTGAGTGCCTACCTTTGCGAAACGGTCAACCTTTGGCGGATTTACCTTTTAGATTTACCAAAGAGCCTCTCGGGAACCAGCTGTGTATAAGGAATGCGCTCCCTGTCATTTTTGGGTCGTCAATCTCGGGAAGTTCGTTGCTGATCTCAGGCACAGCCCAGCCATATCATGGTGCACTGGTTCTTGCTCCACTAAGCTCCAACTCGGTGGCATACAGTCTTTTGGTGATGTCGTCGATGCCTGTCGATCTCGGTTTTGTTTTCCAAGGTGTCGGATTCAACACCCTATTCGTCCAAGGCGACCTTCTCAGCCAGAACACTGAACTGGCCACCGCCTCCCGCCCAGAGAAATTCCTTGCCTCGCGTCGCTTTACACTCGATCTTCGTAGGAACTTCAACATCGTTATCATCCTTCTGGCCCGTCTGATGGCCACTGTTGAAACCCCAGCTGAAGGGTTGACCATCTTGACAAATGGCGATGGAATGATCACCACAGGCAGCCACGAAACTCACCCTCAAATCCGGGAGAGGAGTTGGTTGTGTTAGAATGCGCGGGTTTCCGCGAGCGTCGCGAATCACACCCTCGTCGGGAAGATTATCCAGCTTCATTCCAGTAGCGTAGCCGTCAAGCTGGCCCCAGGCATAACAGTGTCCTTCGCTACTGCGTGCGAGGCTATGCTTGTTCCCCCCCGAGACCTGCAAGATTGTACCCGACTGTAGATTCGTCAGACTCTCCACCACAGTGGGAATGGTTACCGTAGCCGAAAGTCCACCGGCATTTGTCGAGATACCAGTTTGTCCAAAGTTATTCGAGCCCCAGCTATACACTTTGCCACTCGCATCAATGGCAAATGAATGGTCGGAGCCACTTCCGAGATCGACAATGTTCTTCAGGCCAAGGTTGCGAGGGATGAGCCCACCCCAGCTGCCCATGCTGCGTTGAAGAACGCGGCGTCCGAGCTGACTCTGTTCGCCGAAACCCCAGGTGTAGACTTTCCCATCCGAGGACAGGGCTAGGATGTGATTACACCCGGCAGCGATCTTGGTGATGTTCTTCAATCCGGGCATTGGGGTGGGGGTTCGCTGGATATCAATATCCGGTTGAAACCTGATGACCCCGTCGCTTGACTAGCTTGAGTTAGGAAATGTAAAGATGAGCTTGAAAAAGAGGGAAACATACTCGCATAGTTCCCCAGCCATAGATGGTACCTTGACTAGTCAACGCAAAGGTGCAATTGTCGCCAGCAGCTACTTGCGTGAAGATAGTATCCTCAGGGACACCCGTCAGATCCACCTCACCAGGCGTCGACTCCTTAGGATTCCTCTCAGCATCAACATCATCCTCAGCATCGCTAATGTCCACGAGGCCACCATCCCAAGTAGTGTCTCGACCAAGCGCACCAAGGTCATTAACGCCCCACGTTAGAATTTTGTTGTCATGGGTAAGAGCAGCACAATGCATGCCGCCAACCGCCAACTGCACGACTCCAGCGCCCGCGAGATGAGGGTTCAATCGCGGTCGAACAACCTCATCATCTGCCGATGGTCCAAGCCCCAACTCGCCATTTTCGTTTCCCCCGAAAACATAGGCGTTTAGGCGCTGCGTTGGAGGGTGATTGAGGCCTTTGCTCGCGGCTTTTTGGCGCTTCGGGCCAGCTTTTTCTGGGAGTGTGTCTTCTCGCGCCCTCTTGCGCGAAGAGGAAGTGGTCGAAGCTTTAGCCGAGGCTTTGGTTGGGGCTTTTCGATGAGAGCTTTTCGCCGCTACGGCGGCCGATCGTTTGGGTGGCATTTTGTTAAGCCAAGTCCAAGAAATGTTGAACGAATAATAAAGGTGGACAGAGTTATGGGAGCGTGAAGATGGCGAATTGTCAGGATGTCGGATTGTGAAGATGGTGAGTTGTGAAGATGACGAGTGGTGATGGGCCGTTTTTGGGCAAGACTCGTTGGAAACATCAAGATCGAGTCGCGGTTGGCGCCGAGATACGTGGATAACGAGGTATATTGCATATATATTAAACCGGGGGAAATTCTTTAGAAGATATAAACACAGCGAAGTATCTTGTTGAATCATTCCTTCCCGGTTGGCATCTATTGCAGGAGCGACCGAGCTCTCGCTTCTTCGCACATGTAGTCAGTGGGCGTAGAACCATACACAGGCAGAGGGAGCGTCAAATCTAGAATACAACGATTCATGCACGGGAGAGACGAGGATATGACATTGAAAACTATAACTTAACAAATCGAGAAAATAGAAGCGACTATATCGAAAAGTATACACACTCTCTCTCACGCACGCAACGTATCCCCATCGACTTATGCCCACCTAACCACCGTATCAACCAAACCAACATAAAGATAATCTTCCACCAAGAAAGAAAACGAAGTGAACCCCAGCTCCTCAGCTTCTTCGCCGAAAGGAAGCGGAAACGAAAGAGAGTCCAAACGGCTTAGTACCTAAACACTACACCCCTAACTTCCTCCTGCGGCTGCTGCTGCTGCTGCTGCTGCTGATTAACCGCCATCGTATCAAGCCAATTCTCAGCCTGCGGCTCCACGGCCTCCTCGCGCTGCCACATCTGTTGCGACGGCGCAAAGACCGGGAGCGCCTCCTCCGTCTCCGATGGGCGGGGCCGGCTCGAGTTGGGAGGAGTCATCTCTGCAGCGATGGGCTCGCCAACGGTCCTGCTCACGGCTCCCTCGCTCCAGAGGTCTGTAGTATTGGCCGGGAGCGTCTGGGGCTCGCTGTTGCCGGGGTTCTGCCAGAGGTCCGTGCTAGAAATCTCTAGGGAAGGAAGGCGGGCCGGAGACCTGGGAGACGGTGCGTACACTTGAGGCTCGGGCATGAGGAAGGAGGATGGCTCCGGTGCTGGCTTGGGGGACGGCTGAGGGAAGCGCATGGGAGATGGCTGGCGGGCTGGGACTCCCCACTGCTCTAGGTAGCCAGGAACCACGGGCATCTCCCAGGCGGGAGCCGGTGCCGGTTCAGGGACGGCGGGTTGGAAGTACTCTTGATAGCCGGCCACGACGGGCTCCACCCACTGCGGCTCCTGGTAGCCTGCGACTACGGGCTCAACCCAGACGGGAGCAGGGGCTGGAGCTGGCTCGGGAACAACTGGCTCAACCCAAGCGGGTGCAGGCGCCGGCTGGACAACAATAGGCTCAACCCAGACTGGTGCGGGAGTTGGCTCAGGAATTGTAGGTTCAACCCATGTCACGGGTGCTTGTTCACGAACGACAGGCTCTTCCCAAACGGGCGCCGGAGTTGGTTCGGGGATGGCAGGCTGGAAGTACTCTTGATAGCCCGCGACGACCGGCTCCACCCAAGCAGTAGTCTCTTGTTGAGCAGGCGCAGGCTGCCACTGCTCCTGCTGCTCCTGCACGTTCTCAACCTGGATTGACGTGGACTGCCACTGTTCCGGCTGCATCTGCCGCTCTTGCTCAAACACGACCGGTTGCTCCACCTGAGCGATGTTCTGCCAACCGCCAAGAGCAATCGCTTCCTCCAGTGCAGAGTCCCACTCCTCCTCACTAGCTGCAACCGGCTTATTCGCCTTCGCCTTCGCCACCACGGGGTAACTCTTCTCCAGCGCCTCATTGAGAGCAGCCTCCCAGTCAGCCTTGTCAGCAGCATTCTGGCGATGGCGAGGCTCTTGCGCCTCGACAATCTTGTCAGCCATCAACCAGTTCCTAGTAGCGCCCTCGGGTGCAGAGTTCCTGTTGTTCTCAGCCTTCCAGAGAGTAGACGAGTTAAGGGCCGGAAGAGGGTCACGCGAAACGCGAGACTTGCGCTCCATGTGGATAGCGGCGGGTTCCTTGCTTGTAGTCCTGTAGTCTGTCCGCTTGTGCTGGAGGTTAAAAAGGCCGGATGGCTCTTCCGTGGATCTAAGCCGCGCCGGAGCAACCCAGGTCATGGCGCGCTGGACCTGGGGTTTGGGGGGCATACTGGAGTTCAGATCCAGACCAACAATGATGGAGTCCTTGCGGCCGTCGCTGTCGGCATCGGCATCGTCCATGTAGTCACCAAGGACCGAGGTAGATTCTCGAGGCTTGTTCTCAACTCCGGAAGTAGGGAAGAGAGAATTCTTGGACGGGATCTTGTCGGTCTTGAGCAGGCTAGCAATCTCCCAGAGGGTCGTCTCGTCAAAGTCCTCATCGCTCCCATCCATGTCGAACTCTGCATCCGCATCTCCGGGCAACTCCTCATCGTAGTCGTCGAAGAACGAAGACGAGTATTCCTGCGACTCGAGCTGCCGCGAGCGGGCTTCAAGTGCAGCGGCTATGGCAGGTCCACCCGTAGACATGGTGCCGGGCATGGCCATGAACATGTGGCTGGGACGCGAGTTGAGAGTTGCCGTGTCGGACTTCTCACCCCATGGGAACTGGAAGATGCCGAGGGTTCCGTGGTTGTCAGGGAGGGGCTGCGGGCTCTCGAGGATATCCGGGAGCATGGTGACACGGCGGCTTCGGCGCGCCGGTCGCTGAGTCGTGGGCCGATTTTGGGTCTTCTGCTTCGCCGGAGGAGCAGTCGATCCCCAGAGACGACCGGACGAGGAATGGGCCTTTTTGGGCTTCTGCCACAAGCTAGTGCTCTCAATCTTGGAGAGGGGTTGGCCAGTCAGCGATCGCTTGCTGGCCTTCCTCGGGATAGAAGAAGTAGTCATAACATTCAAGGTGGCAGTGTCACGCTCCTTCGGCGCTGGCCTCACAGGGGCCCAGAGGAGATGGACGATCGTGTTGCGTCCAACGGCCGCAGAAGGAGCACGGGTCCATAGCCTAGCAGGTGCTGCAGGTGCGGACTTCCTTTCCTTGGGCTGATCCAGTATCTTGCTAGCCTGCACACGCTTGTCGATGGCATCATCATCAGACTCATCAGTATCCGGTGGAGTGGGGCTGCTAAGCGGGACACGAGCGACTTCGGTCGGCTTAAGCAGGCTGCCCTTCTTCGCAGCAGCTTGTCCACGTGCAGCAGCCCTGGCGGCAACCTCATGGATGGAGTCCCTCCTGGGAGAGGTCCTGACTGTTGACACGGAGTCGCGGTTGATATCATTCTGTCTTTCAAGCCAGTAATTCTCCTGCTGTCCCATCTCCTGTTCCAAGTTGTCTAAAAGTGCTTGCTTGCGACCTTCGCTTCCAACGGAGTCCCGGTTAGTGTCGTCGAGCTTCTTCAGCTTCAACTGGATATCACGGTAAGCCTCACTGGGCGATTCGAGAGGAGACGGCTCCGCGGCTCGGATGACGACCATATTCTTATTGCCGACGCCACGGAGGAGGAGTGGGGTAGGTGGCACCATCTTCCGTGACCTCGTCTTTTCCTTGCGGTCGGAGAAGGTCGGGCACTCATCACCGACTCGGCGGTGCCAGCGGCTCTCCCGCTTCGAGTCGTCCGAGAGATCCTTCGGAGAAGTGTTCAGGGCTGTTCGGCCGTCAGCGAACCACGACTCCCTCTCAGCGATATCTCCGCGTGCACCGTTAGAGTCATCGAGCATGATTGTCATAATCTCCTTGTCGCTCTTCTTAGAGACGTATGTCTTCTTCGGACCTCCCTGCTGGTGTGCGTTCCTCATATTGACCGCCTTGGCGGGTGAATGGACGGAGCCCCAGTTCGTCGTAGCATCATCATCGTACATCGTCTTGCCGTCGCTGAAGACGGAGGCGTTGTCAGGAATGTAAGGGAGCACGGGAGAGGACTGCCTCTTCTTGCCCTCCTGCGTCGGGTACGGTAGTCCCTGTGTGCTAGGCACAGGAGGGAGCCAGGCCTGGCTGACACCAGTCGTAGTCTCAGTATCGACGCTGAATTTGGCGGTGTTACGTCCGTTGAGCCCACGGTTCTTGAGATCGGAAATCTCCACGATGCTCTGGGTCTGGAAGGAGGTCTTGGTCGTGCGGTCCGACTTTTCCTTCTCAGATTCGCCATCCATTTCTAGGAACGAGGCGGGCAAGGCCGGCATAGCAGGGATGGGAGAGAGTGTGGGCTTTCCAGCGCCGTTGTTGCTGTGGCTGGAACCGGGACGGCTGGGAGGCCCGGCAGGGAAGAACATTGCCATCTTTTCATCAAATGTCATGCTCTTGGTGTCGTTCGGGAGAGGGCGGATCGGATTACCGGGGCGCTTGGGCATCGGCGCGGGAGGGAGCGGTGGGAGTTGCGTGGGGCTGCCAGGGTTGGACCTTAGGATGGACTTCTTCCTTTCCGCTGTGGCGCCGGACCTGGTGCGCTGGAGCACCGGAGACTTAGGAGAAGGAACGCCCTCATTCTCCTCAGCATTTCTTGTTCTGGGAATCGGTCGCGGCCTGTGTAAGACAGAAGCCGTCTCCGTCTTAGCATCGGCCGCTGCATTCTTGGCGGCCACCTTGTCGGCCGCACCCTGAAGGATGTTGCGAACTGTGACAGGGTCGTTGTACTCGATGTTGTTTACAAACATGACGGTCTGGACACGCTTGTTCTCGGCCTCGTTCATGAGAGTCTTCATAGCCATAGCCTTGGGGTTTCCGGGAAGGCCAGCTGCAACTCTCCGCTGGACTGCAGGCTTCTCAGGCGACGGAAGATCCTCGACTGAAGGAGGTCGTTGTCTCGATGGCCGGATATCCGTCTTTACGGAGGTCTTCCTTGGAAGAATCGACATACGGGCATCGACTTTCTGTGTCTGGCTAGGCTCCTGAGAAGGAGGGGACGGCGGCGGCTTAGGGATAGCACTGGTGCCAACCCCGGCAGGTGGGCTCCGACGACCTACCTGGGGAGGTGACGGCATTCCTGGGGGAGCAGACATCTTCTCCGGGGAGACCGCCCTAGGAAGAGCCTCCGCTTGGGTTTGTGGAGGGCTGGGAAGTCGAGGAGGCGGCGAGCTGCTCGCAGGTTGGGGTTGGACTGGCTGAGCAGTGACTACAGCCTCCTGTGTTGGAGGGGGTCGCCTCCTCTCCTCTTCCTCCCAGGGGAATCGCGGCGGGGATTGGCTTCTCTGGACCGGCTTCGGTACCGACTCCGGGGAGAATCTCGGAGGGGCCGGAGCTATCGGTCGGAAGACCTTAGAAGGGGCAGGAGTGACGTCAATGTCTAGACTCTCTGGGCGAGGTGGTCGCTGGGGTATGGTCTTTGCTGACTCGGGCTTCGTCTGGCCCGGCTTGGGAGGAGCAGGTCGAGGATTTTCGAGCTCGCGAGCGGGTTGTTGAAGTTGAGCAGGTTCTTGAGGAGTAGGCTGGGGAGCAAGCCTTGGCGACCTCCTACGGATCTCCTCCACGCCAGGAGACAGCTGCGCAGAAGTTGTGACAGCGGTCGGCACCGCATCCTCAACACTTAACCTTCCGCCGGAAACCTCGTCAGCTGACGGGGTTGTAGAAGCAACCTCCTTTCTCTTGACACTCTGAGATCGTTTCATGGCTTCCTCGGGTGTAATTGCGGGAGGCTGAGGAGCGGGTCGCTTGGCGATCAGACTGGAGTCTCTCTGCAATGCGTTCTGATCCCTTCGCTCCCTCTCGTTCTTGGCGGCGGTGGCCAAGTCGACGGTGGCGATCTTGTTGAGGGGGTTCTGATCGTCAGCTCGGTTTTGCAGGATGGGTCCGGAGATGGCAAGTTTCGTAGCCGCAACTCCACCAGCTGGGCCCTTGCCGAGATCAAACAGGCTCTTCTTTGGTCGAACAGAGTTGGCTCGGCCCTCCGAAGGCTTGAGCTGCTGCTGCTGCACAGGAGGAGGGGTGGTCTCGGCTCGCATTGGCGGGAAGAGCTGGCCCTGGACAGGGAAGCCACCAACCCCGGTGATGGCTTGTCCAATGATGGGTTGATCAATGGTCGGGAGACTGTTTTGCTCAACGGGGCTTTCACCGGAATTAGGTCCTTCACGACTCGGCGGAGTAGGGAAGGCGGAGATGGAAATAATTTCCCCTCGCTTCACGTCTTCGTAGCGGCTTGGAGGGTATTCTGAAGACGCGGATGACAGGGTTCGGCTCGGGAGGTCTCGAGTCGCAGTTTGGCGTGTAGGTGAAGGCGCTTCCGGCGGGCTCGAGAAGGGGCGAGAGTTATTCAGTGAAAGAACGCCACAGAAAGCGGCAATGATAGCTTGATATCCGGGTTAGACTCGATGCTCTTCGAATGGTCTACCAACTTAAACTGCGCAAATAAGACGACTTAAAAGGGCTTCGCGACGGAAACTTACCAACAAGGATGGCCAACGCGGCGGCGGGGAGAGCAGTTCTCAGGATTAGGGGGATGCCGGTAAGTCCCAGGTGCATTGGGATACTCGCCTGCGGCTTATAGTCAGTATTCCCGCCTGCAACGATAAAAGAAAAGAATAAAGATTTAGTCTCAAAAAAAAGTGAGAACTTACTGCCAGCCAAAAACCATAGCCGGCCATAGTCAGCGTGACGCCCTTCGCCTTCTCCTCGCTCTTTGCATCATCCTTTGCATCCCTAAGCCCACCAGTGGAGAAGAGTCGAAGAACACACGCCGTGAATACGACGGCGTCGACGATGATGGTGGTAATAGAAATGGGAAGAATCTCGGTGGTCGTGACGCAAGCGGGTTTGAACTGAGGCCTCTGCATACCAACCCACACGGCGCCGACTATAAATCGCACGAGCAAGAGACCCTGGGGGATGAAACGCTGCGTTGCGGTCTTGGCCACGGCGGCAGTAGCCCACAAGAAGTATTGCAGTAAAGCGGTCCTCGCGATCTGGTCGAAGGCGGCGGCGATGACTGTCGCGACTTGGCAGTTGGAAGGGGAGGAGGGGTCGATTGCGGTTGCGATGAAATCGATTCCAGCCCACAGGGCTGCTGAAATGAGGGATATCGTGAGGACCAGCCTCTGGCCGTCCTTGGATAGAGACGTTGTCTTCCCCCTAAACATAAGAAAGGCAGCTGCCGATGCCCCATTTATGGCGATACCACTACAAGTATTCCAACCCGCGCTGTTAGTATGGCATCGAATAGAACACTCTCTTTCCCAACCTAGAGATCGTAGGAGCTACTGACAAGGCGAACGCGGCGACGAGAGCCTGAGTATCTAGGGCTGATGTCGCTTGGTTAATGCCGGGACTGATGGCAGCTGGAGTCACCGGGTTGGCGACCGGAGGAGTAACACCTGTCGTCGCCATGATGACGGCAGAAGCCGACTAGCGGCCGTAGAAAAAGAAAGAAAAAGAAGGGATAGAATCGAAAGCCCAATCAATGGGGGTCTGAGAAAAAAGAAGAATGAAAATTAAGAACGAGAGTTCATGAGGTCGGACTCGCGGCCACAGACAAGAAAGGAAAGGAAGAAACGATGTTTTAACGCTAGGAAATACGGACCATCTCAACGGTCAAAGATGGTGATGTCTAAATCACGACATGGTTAAACGAACAACATGCCGGGCAACGTCGACGATTGCCTCCCTCACGATGATGATTCAAGATGGAGGAGAAGATGTCAGTAGGGAGGAGGGAGAGAAACACGTTAGACGACGGGGCCCACACAATGCAACCGCAAAGAGCGGACTGGTCCAAGGTGGGATTGTCTACTACCAAAACACGCAAACATACAAAGTAAGGGGGGTTCAGGGTCCAGGGACATCAAAGAGCAGCAAAACGAATGCTGGGCTCAAGGTTCACGTTACAACTCAACCATAGCAAGTACGAAGTAGGGACCCAAGAGAGGGTAGCCAAGGATGAAGAAGAGTGACAGGCAAGGCCATGATTGGGAGATGGACCGACCCCAAATGCAAGGAAGATCAAGAGAAAACCATACTGAGGGGGAAAAAAACCGCCGCGGATACTTCGTACAGGCCAAGTACCCCCGTGTTTGTACGGAGTAAGAATCTGATTTTCTGTGGAGGTCTGAAGCAAGCAAGGCGGACTCGCGTGCCCCTCTCAAAGACACACACACACACACACTCTCTCTCTCTCTCTCTCTCTAAAAGTACTTGTACGATACCTCAATTGTGGTGTGTTCTTCAGCTCAGAGCCCGTCTCAGAGACAGAAGAGCCGTGAGAGAAGGTTTTGGCGGCAGACATTGATTGGATTAGAATGCAAGGCTGACAAGGGGAAAGTGAAGTCAACCAGTCGTGAGGTTTCACTTGAAACCCGAGATGTCGGAAGCTAGCGGGGCGTCGAGCATGGCGAGCCAGGGTCGGTCACTCGGCAGCCCATTTTGGCTCTTGGCTGCAAGGTACGAAACGGTGGAGCGTCCACTGATTATCCACCTCCTTGTACTTGGACACGGATACACGGTGCCGTCAAGCAGTGATGATAGTGGCGTGGTACTTGGCAACATGCCGCACCTTCCTTGTTAGTAGCAATGGCCCTTGTCTCTTACCTTTTCTCTCTCTTTCTTTTCTATGCAACGCTTTTCTCCTTCGTCGATAGCAAATGGATAAAATTTTAGAAGAGTGTTCCTTGTCTTCAATTGCGATTAGACTTTCTCTTGTTCCGCGCACGGGCTTCCCGCTTCGAGCGAGGTCGAACAACAGAAACTCCAGATGGCAGGTCTGGCAGGCTTGATGAAGATGCAACTGCATCCGAGAGGTTCTGCATAGTAACCCTCCCTTTCCTGTATCTGCGCCTGTGCCTCTCGCTGTGGCCCCTTTATTCCCAAGGAGGGGCTGAGAACTGTGGCTCGCGATCCGGAGCGAGGGACTTCCAGAGTGAGGGGCGGCATAAACGATGGGTGATCATGATGGTCATGGAACAATCATTGTGTTTAAGCGGAAGATCCCGAAGTAGGGAATCAGGAGGTGCAGGAGATGAAGATGAGGAAAATGGGGGTTGGAGATGGAGATGGAGATGGAGCGCTGACTTAAGGAATTTCGCTGGTTGATCAATTTCTTTGCTGATTTAAGTCTACCCATAAGGTACTCAATCCGTCGTGCTTCTCTCAACTGTCGACAGGTGTGTTGGCGAATCTAAATAACATCGACATCACGACGGACGACGGACGACGGGCGGATGATCGAGCTCTCCCTCAACCTGAGGAGCTTGAGCTATATTCTCATTTCCGGCAAGTCCCCGTATCAGTCTCGATCTCCCTCTCTGCGATCATTCGGCGTCGTATCGCATTCTTTGGTTTCCCGACAGACTTTCCAGATGCTCGGTGCATCTCCCACCCACTGGCTCTTCCAAATCATGTCCTGACGATCAACCCCCTCTCCTCTATCTCTCCCTTCTCCTCTGAGCGAGAGATCTCCAGTTCTACAAGTAACGTAATTCCCGAACCAGAGCACACCCAACGGATTTTCCGTGGCACATCGAGCTGCGCTTCACTGCGCTGCTCTCTCTGATCGACCCCAATATCACCCTCGCGTAGCCTCTAGATGCCCACCTCCCACATCTCCCACGGTTAGCCAAAATGGAAGAATGTGTAGAGCTGGAAAATCTGCCTCAATCTCAGATAGCCATACCTGTAGAAGCTAAATATAAGATGGTAAATATGAACAATAGAACGCCTTAAAGTCACGCGAAACCTGCGGCCCGACACGAAGATCTCTCAACGCCCCGACACCGCCTAATAACACCAGCGACAAGAAAAGACGAATGGTGCACAATATCGATCTGCCATCTTCTCGGATAAGAGAATCCTCGTACGAGAGAAAATAGATTAGATTCGTGAGCTCTTGCTTATACATTGATGAGTGAGAGAAGAGATGGCCGCTCTGCTCACGACCATTTGTTCTGCTCCCCTCAGAGAATATCAGATATACTCAAGCCCCGAGTAATTACGTGAGGAATTCCAGTGTCAGGACCGTTATCTCATGCGGTCGGAAGCCTGTGGCCAGGTCGATAAGAGTATGTAGTACCTGGAAAGAGAAATGGGGACAGAAATGAGGTGTCGTGAGCATTTGAAATGACTCTAGACCAACTTGTAACTTAGTGCGCGTCTATTAATCCAACATTCTTGCAAGAATTGCGAGAAAGAGGGAGAGTAACAGATATCGTCATCACCAACGTCGTACACACTACCCAAACCGCCGGGCTACCGGGGTATACCACCCAAGGCCTCTCCATCACCACATCTCCCATACCTTCGCAGGCAACACAATTCTCATAACATCCCAATGCCCAACAGCACTCTTCTCCTGCTCCCCCGCCAACTCCTGCGTGCCATTCGCCATCAGCAAGCCCACACCCTCATCCCCAGCCGTAGTAAACTCGGACAGGTCTACCTCGTGCTTCGGCACAAGGAACATCTCGCGAGACCTGCTCCTCAGGAAATCCCCCGCCACGGGCTCCCTGAACGCCACGGGGTCGCTGGCGCTCTTCCTGCAGAAGATGACGGCGTTGATAAAGTCCTGGCCGGACTCTTCCATCTCTTCGGCCGACGGCTTTTCCGACTCGCGGAAGACGCGGCAGGATGGGAAGACGTGGCGGATGGTTTGCATGACCATTTTGGGGGCCGGAAGGAGGAAGTCTCCGGCGTAGTTCTGCGAGGAAGATCCATGAATTAGAGTCTTCACAAAAAAGCATCAAATATAGACAGTGTTTCGGATTTTTTTTTCTGAACACTTACAATGGCAATAACACCGCCGGGCTTCAAAAGAGCATGAAGCCCCTCAAGGAACTCGAGCGTGAAAAGAGGCAACGGTTCAGCACCGCCAGTAAAGACGTCGTGAACAATGTAATCAAACTGTTCCGTCGACTCCTTGGCCAGCTTCTGCGTGTAGCTGACGGCATCATCGATGACGGCGGTATGCTTCTCCGGCAGCTGGAAGTACTTGCCCGCGAACTCGTGCACCACGGGGTCAATTTCGACAATGGTGGTGTCGATGCCGTGAGCGATGAGGGCGGCCGGCGTCGTGCCAATACCGAGCCCGCTAGTAAAGTTATAGTTAGCAAAAAGGTGATCCAGAGTAAAACAAAACAGGGAGTCGCCGTACATTACAAGAGCTTTCGCCTGGCTATCCTCAATAGGCTCCGGCACCTCCACAAGCCTAACAGCCTCCAGCATAACAAACACGCTATAAATCGGCTCAGCCACAACAGGGCCCGCAAACTTGACCCATTCCCCTCCAAGAAGGCTATGATCACATCGTAAGACCCTATATCCGTGGTCGACGCTCTCAAGCACCGAGATGTACCCGGTGAGCGACTCCTTGCGGTCCAGGAGCAGCCAGTTGTCGGCTTCCAGCTTTGCCTGCAGGGCCGTCGTAGCCGTGGGCGTGGGGAGGTGGTAATTGAAGAAGGTGGTGTGGATGATGGCCGGGATGGTGAGGAGGATGAGTCTGGAGGGCGCCAGCACGGTATAGATGGCTGCTAGGATCATTTCCAGACCAATTCTGGTCAGGAAGATGGACCGGCCGACATAGTGCAGGAACAACCTTAACGACAGATTCTCGATGAACTTGAAGTACAAAAGCGAGACGAGACCGGGAGCCGAGTCCCCGAGGAACTTGGGCAACGGCTTCAAACTCATTCCCTCCAGCAAGCCCGCCACGCAAGAGGCCGTGAGCACCGTAACGGGAAACAACGTGAGCGATTCAATGACCAGAGGACCCCATCTCGCCGTCAAAAACCCGCTGAACTGGCTCAAAAAGAACTGCACAGTTGGCGCGTAGATGGCAAACACGGGGATCAGCTTGGCAGGACCCACGGGCAACGCTCGCTCAATGAACACGTTCCCGGCCCATCCCACAAAACACGCCGCGGCTGTCAACTTGGAATTCCAAACGGCCGCGGGGAGCGAGCCGAAGACGGGAGATAGAGCCTGCTGGGATGCGGTGGAGCTGATTCCGAGGAGGGTGAGGAGGAGGAAGGGAACGAGATAGCGCACTACGCGTTCGGTGCTTTCCTTGGCCCATGTCTGCTCTTGGGCTTTTGTTGCGAGGCTTTGGAGCTCCTTTTCAAACCTCTCGGGCGTAAAGCCCTCCGGAGCCGGTCCGGGGTTCTTGGAGGATTTGCTTTTGGGCGGCATGGTGAAAGTTTAGTTTTCCAATGGGCAATTCCCTCCCGGCCCAGCTGAGGTGAATGAGGCTTGGGGCCAGAATCAATGGCTAATAGAACAAATCAACGAAGGGAACTGAAGGTGAAAATAAGAAAATATATATATATAATACACAAAACGAAGACAGAGCTCAGCTGCCCCTCACAGATATGACCCGACGATTGTTTCAAACAGCCCGCTGTTCTCGAGGTCTCAATGGTGGAATCGCTCTCTTTGGTTCACTGTTCTGTTTCCCCTGTCCTGGGAACGTGGCACGTTTCGGCGCGGTGTCTCAGAGAGGTCCGAACACCAAAGCCACAATTGATCGTGGCGCGTGAATAAATCCTTTGGTCGTTCAAACATCAGATGTGGCGTCAAGCCCCTGTTTGGGGTTCAGGTCAATTGACTTGCGAGGTTCAGGTCCACGGAACAAATCCACCAATCATAGGCGAACTCTGTCAGGAACTCGACCTCATTGGTAAGAAGTGCTTGTACTAGTACATCTTTCGGTTCTTCACAAGAATCAACGTTCAAGACCACTCAGCACTCGAGGTTGAGATGGGCATATCATGACAACCTCATTTCCGACGAAAGAGTGAGAAGAACGACTTATCCCAAACCATCTATTCCTAAAAGCTCCAACAGACATGCAAGTTGGCGCGAACATACCCTCCTTTCGGCCCTCCGCTCGTATGGTCGTTTACATTCGTACTCGATCTTTCTAAGCCACCGCAATTAATCTATATCCAATATCTGGTCCTTTACCTTCCATTGGGCTGCCCACACCCCCATCCTTTACGGCATATCCCGATCTCGTGTAAGATGTTGCTTGATTTGATTGATTTACGAGTGTAACGAGCTCGATTCTTTGGCCGGTTAAAAACAGGAACGTGGATGACTTCATTTAAGTGCCTGAGTGAATCTCACAACTCCGCAATCTATTGATCGGGGAGTCGTTAATCCGGCCTAGCATCTACTCATTTCATCTCATATTCTACCCAACGTTATATCATTTATGCTTATAACACGCCTAGATATGCAGGTAAGTTCCTGGCTTTGAAAGATGGGGTGTTCAATGTTTGTATGTGATCAGCAATCTCCAGCATCGGTGCAAAAGAAGAGCGCAAGAAGCCGAAGGCGTACAGATGAGTTGTAGACTCATATGAATCTATGTCCATAACCAGTCTCATCTTTGCCGCTAAGGATTGCTACAATACGAAGCGACGTCGGCCGCCTGTAAAGCCCCACGACAACCGGAAGGTGGCCATTCAATATCGGCGTAAATGATTGCGGCTCGGAACCGCTGCACAAGCTTGGTAATGCTCCTACAGATGCGAATTCCCGGAACAATGCTGTCACGAAGGATTCGCCGTTGGAGCAACTTCTCGTCCGATGTCTCCGGCCGGAATTTTCTTCTCTTCGCAGTTTGGGTTTTGCTTTCTCTAAATATATCTAGAGTCCCCTTCTTTCTTTCGATTTCTCATCCGGGTATAAGAGGCGGCTGGTTTCCAGGTTGAGGAGGAAGCTATATCCGAATCATTAATCAGCGGTAGCTCCTTACGTCTTTCCTTCCCTTCCATCATCGTTTTCTATACAACTCGTTGCACCCCCCAAACCTGCAAGGTCTATCCAGTCACCATGCGGATATCTATGATAGCCAACCTCCTCTCCTTAGGGAGCTTTGCCTTGGCGGCCTCCAAATGCAAGACCAGGTCCATCAGTAAGAACCATTCTTATCCACATCTCCCTTCACCGAACAAGACTTCCCTCAAGAACCCGCAAGCTAACAATACCCCAGCCGAGAAGATTGAGGTCCTTGACCCAATCCACTTCAAAGATCTCGGTGCCGAGCGCCTCAAAGTCCGCTACGGCCCCTTCCTCGTCCCGGGCGTGCACGACCCAGAGACCATGGGCATGAAGAACTTTGAAGGCCCATTAGAGGTCCCCTGCACGGATTGCTACATCACCAACTTCCACGCGGGCCTCGAGTTCCAAGACGGGTCCGTCGCGAATGCCGACACGGGAATGTGGTTGCACCACACCCTCTTGGTGGACTTTAGTGAGCCGGACGTTACTTGCGATGAGGCACCGGCGAGGCTTTTCGCTTCGGGGAATGAGCGGACTGTGTTGGACATTTCGAACAACGGGTATGTTAATATGAAGTCAAGGCCGCCCCCCAAAAAACTGGTTACTCACTTCGCTCGTAGAACCCGAAACGTAGGCGTCTACTTCAGCCCAAACGCCAACATCACCCACACCACCGAACTCATGAACGAATCCGCCCTCCCACGCGCCGCCTTCCTCACCATCGACTACGAATTCGTCCTCGCCTCAGACAAGTCAGCCGCCGCCAGCTTCCGCGCCGTCACCCCCGTATGGATCGACATCGCGGGTCTGTGCAGCAACGCCGAGTACAACGTGACGCTTGATGAGCCCGTATTCGATGCCGAGATTGTGTGGGAGTCGACGATTTCGGGGGAGATGCTGAGTGTGATGGGGCATTTGCATGATGGTGGGGTGAGACAGGATGTTGGGGTCAATGGGGAGGTTTTGTGCGAGCATGTGGCTAGGTATGGGGAGTCTGCTGGGTTTATTACGCATGTTGGGATGTATGGGGATGAGGACGCAGAAGGGCAGGAGGGGGGTCATGACCACGGAGATGGATCGCATTCTCATGACGAGGGAGAAGCCGGCCATGACCATGGAGAGGAAGGCGAACCAAACCACGATCACGGAGAAGGAGAAGGCGAGGCTGGCCACGAACATGGCGAAGAGGAGGACGGCCACTCCGACGAAGGCCACGACCACGGTACCGACGGCCACATTCTGCACATCTCCTCCATGAGCTCCTGCAAGAACCTCGGCTCCATCAAGCCCGGCGACGAGCTGTCCATCAAGGCCTACTACAACCTTACGCAACATACTCCCATGGCCGGGCACCACGGCGGCCTGGAACCCGTCATGGGAATTACCATGGTGTATGTTCTTGAGGATGAGAGCGAAGAGAGCGAAGCCTAAAGGATCTGGTGGATTCTACATGATACTCGCTGAGGCGAAATGATGCGAGCGTTTCTCATCTCGAAACGAGAAATTTCATAATTAGGGATTTCTTCAACGAGTATTTTTAGCCAGCTAGACAATACTCCTTTCTTCAGAAACACATTTTCATAGAAAAATAACACCAAGGGAATACATTTGTAAAAAGAGAACAATTCTAGTCTAGGATACGTGGTATGGCGTCTCTCTTTTAAAACCAGCACAGACGGAAAATTCGAAATCAAAACATTTCCCCGTCTTTTCTTTTTCCCTAGTCCCCCTCGGACTCCCATATGAAACGCCACGAATCCATCCCTCAGAAAGAAGTTTTTTTAAAAAAAAGGGGTGTCAAGAAGAAAAAACACACTCCCCTATCTCCTCCCAAGATTAAAAAACAAAAGCCAACCTCCCAAGAAAAGAGAAAAAGAAGGCCTTAAGCCTCCTTAAACGCCCACCGACTCGCAAACCCTTCCTCCTTCTTCACCTCCACAACCTGTCCCGGCGGAATCATCTCATGCTCCAACTCCCACCCCATCCTCCTACACAGCTCCACGACAACAACGTCGCAATCGCCCAACAAATCAATGTCGAAATTCAAATGCTCGACGGGTGTCCTCGAGATGTAAATCTGTGGCACATGGGAGGGGAGATAGCTGACGATCTCGCTAACGGGCGACACCTTTAGCGACGTGCCGATGACGACGACGAGATCGACGACGTCGCGGTCGTGCTCCGTGAGTCGTAGGGCGAAGTCATCGGGCAGCGCCTCGCCGAAGAAGATGATGTCGGGCTTCATGACGCCCGCTTCGGGGATGTCGAATTCGGAGCCCGAGTCGTCATCGTCGTGGTAGCCTCCGTAGCCGTTTCCGTTGCGCTTACGCCTCTTGTTGGCGTCCGAGCCGCGGGAGCGCTTACGCTTCGTCCTGCCGTTGGAAGCCGTGGAGCGGAGGGTTTTGGCGCATTCGGGACAACGGGGAAGGGTGCCGGAGCGGATGTCTGGGAAGATGGATTCGCCGTCGGTTTTGAAGCCGCACTCTATGCAGCTAGCTGTGGCGAAGGATCCGTGACACTGGACAAGCTTGGACGGATGGATGCCGGCCTTGGCTTCGAGGTTGTCGATGTTTTGCGAGTAGTTTGTCAGGAGTTTACCTCGTTGTTGCAGCATGGCGATGAAGGCGTGAGTAGGCGTGAAGCGGTCAGTTGAGGGTAGGATATCCTTGGCCACGGAGTAGAAAATGGACGGATCGGCCCTAAACTGTTCAATATCAAAGACTTCCTGTGGGTCGTTGAGACCCAGGTACTCCAGCTTCGAGTACAGACCGGTTCCCTTGGATCGGAAGTCGGGAATACCCAGACTCGTGGAAATGCCAGCGCCGGTGAGGCAAATGATGTTCTTGCTGCGGCTGATCAGGTCGGCAGCATCCTGGACGGTGTTAAGGTGGGGTAGCTTGGCGCGCTTGTTGAGCTCGCGGGCAATGGCGGCGGAGAGGAGGCTGAAGTAGGCCTCATCGGGGCAGCCGTCCAGGAAGGAGGGCGGGCGGATGTTGAAGGCGGATAGGAGCTTCCTGGCGGTGTAGGTGCCTGAGTCTATGGTGCGGCGACAGAACTCTTGAGGGCCTAGTTGGCGGAGTTGGTGGCGAAGGCCGGCCGCCTCATCAGGAGTGCAGCACTCAGGGTCTAAAAAGGATGTTAGCAGAGAGCCTGGTATAGAGAAAAGAGGGGAGAGAGAGAGAGAGTGAGAGAGAGAGAAAATGGAAAGGGGAAGATTTAAAGAAGGTTAAGAGGAAAAAAAAAAAAATAAAATAAAATGCGACAGTGCGTGAACAAGAGCCGAGGGCATGTTCCTCCCTCTGTCCTTCCAGCAGCCTGTGATAAAGGGGCAAAAGACAAAGCAGAAAACAAATAAGCTCACCATCTGATCCATCTCGCATATCTGTCAAGCCCTCAATGACCTCAGCTAAAATTGACTCAGTGTCCCACGCATCGATAATGTGATCCTCCAATTCCTGCAACGCCGACGCCCTGCTGCTATTGGTGCCTTCATCATCACCATCCTCCCCAGCCTCACCTTGATCGGACGTAGAAGCCGACCGAGACGCGGGTTGTTTCTTCGTCCTGGGCTTCGCCTTGGCTTTGGTTCTTGTGCTGCTGTTCTTTGCCTTTGTCTTGGACTTGGACTTGGAGCGCGATGAACGCGATGAACGCGACGACACGGACGAGGCGCTGCTGGTGGGCGACTTGGTGCCCTTGCGGGTGGTGGGTTCTGTGGGGAGAGTGTGCTTGGTTAAAGGGGCCGCGGTCGTAGCCTTGGCCGCGGTTTTGGAATTGGCCATGAGGAGGATGTGGCCTGGGTATGTGAGGGTGCGAGATGGGGGAGTGATTAGATTCTAGATGAGTCGTGAAGAAAGTTGATGAATGGTGAAAAACAAAGGAGAGGAAAAGGTTTCGGTTTCGGGCGAGGGTTGTGAAACAGGATGGACTGGGGGAAAATAGTTGAGGAAAGTGATGAGACAAAAATAGGTTGCGAGAAGTTGGAAGTTACGCGTCGAGGAACCTAGCGGATGAAGGATGGTTCTATGCTGGTTTCCGAGCACACGTCAAAGTCAAAAAAGCGTGTGATGGGGTTGCGCCAGTCGCCTGGGCGAGTTGAGGTTTATCTTGATGCTTTGTCCCAGTCCCGGTTGAGTTGTCGATAAATTCTCAGTAAAACCAGCCAAGTCCAGCTCCTAGCTCCAACTGGTTTCCGGCTTCTCGGTTATTGGATCTCGATGGAATTGAGATGCCAGCTTTGGGTCCCTTTTCGAATTAGTTGTAAAATTGGAATTGGCGTTTGCCCCAAGAAATGAAATGGAGCAGGGACCAAGGGTTGAGAGAAGGTTTGGAGGAGACAAAGGGGTTGTGGTTCCTCTTGAGGCGAAGAGGAAAGAGGATGGTTTTAATGTGGTGGCGGAATCTATCGTGTAGATGCAGAATCAGGCTGAAATTAATGGATCAATTAGAGCCGTAGTTGTGGTTGTGGTTGTAGCTGAGGTTGAAGCGGATGTTGGCTGTGGATGGGATGAAGTGTAGAGAAAGAACAAGGGAGAGAATTAGAGAACAAGAATAAGAAGAATAAGAAAGAATCAGAGAATCGGACGACTAAGTCGGATAACACAGGAGAGTACTTTTCTGTGTGTACTTGTAAATAGTATAAGACTCGAGACTTGCTCTGCCCTCTCCCTCTGCCTCTCACTCTCGTGATCTTGCTCGTGCTCGTGCTCGCTCCTTCCTCGATTGGTAAGTGAATAGAACCGAACCGATCGAGAGAGAATTCCAACCAAGCCCAAACCTTGATATTTCAAGAAAGAAAAGAGAGCAAGGGGACGAGTTGAGCAGTGCAAAGGAGAGACCGGAGAAGATGTGTCTGTAGTTCGATTGCTTGCCCGTTTCGCGTTCCGTCTTTCGCGGTTCTACGTGCTATGTGCGATGAGGGATGGGGGAGAATAGCACGGCCGCATCAATATCACCAATATCACGACCCGGTCGATGCAGGCAGTGGTTGATGGATTAGTGGAACACCTAAACAGTCCTGAGGTAGACTCGAGGATGGTGAGGGTGGATGGTATCAAGCGTGATGTACCAAGATCTGGTTATGTCCAAGGTTAGATAGAGATAGGCCAACCCGGTGAATAAAAAGAAATAGAGGAAAAGAAGAAGACAGTTGGTGTAAATGGACAAAACGCAAGTTGTGCGTCTTGGTCTTGGTGCAACTAGGAATATTGAATGGAAGAAGATGAAGAAAGGAAATAAGAGAAGGTTAAAAACAAGTAAACCTCTCGGACGACGCTAGGAAGAAACGTGGCTTGGGGTGGACGAGCCAGCACAGAGCAACTCGATGTCATTCACTCAATCACAGCCGAGTCCTAGGCACACTCGGTCACTCAAAACTCTCACGCGTACTCTATCTCTGTGTATCTCCCTCCCTCTCCTAGACTTATACCAAGTACTTGGCCGGACAGGGAACCGGGGAACCTTGAGAAACCTTGATCATAGGCAGCAGCACAGTGGCTATCCAACATCGAATCCAACATCGAATCCAAAATCGACTGATTCTCTTGCGATTTGCTGTTGCTCTCTAGGGAATCAATATCAATATCAAATTCCGCGGGAGCGCCGCAGCAAGTGTTTCGCAGACTATATGTGTCTGTGCTGTAGATATAGGATATGGGACTCGACGGTTTATAAGCCTCCAGTCCCAAGATTTGATACAAGCACTTACATGGAAGAAATAGTCAGAAAACTGAGGAAAAAAAATCTAGCGCGCTAAAAACCGCGACGTGGCAAACGCAAACCCGCCACGGAGAACCCAGTAACCCATATTCCATCGCATCCGCCATCCACCATTCGCCATGTCCGAACTTGCCCGACACCACTGCCCGGATACATGGATCGATCAATCGATGTGCTTCGGTCGACTCCGGGAAATCTCCGAGTTTCTAGAAACAAATGATAGGACTAACAAACGAGGAACCATGACGAAACCAACTGACAAAAAGCCAACTCGGAACGTCCGCCGATCATGGCCTGGTCCTGCCCAAGATCTCGCACGGTGATAGGGCATGCCGCATCTATGTCTATCAATCGCATCGCATCACATCACGATGGCCACGTCAGGTACGGCATGCAGCAACACACTCACACCGACATCAAATCACCAACACCGCACCAACTCGGGCATCAACGTCGCCATGATCGCATCGCATCACACACACACATTTTGATGCAGCCAATATATAGACAAAATCCGTAGTGTTGTGTAGTCCTCTATTCAAATTCCCGACTACGATACTATACACACAGATCCCTCTTCCCTTTCCTCCCCCCCCACCTCCTCTCCCAAAAAAAAGGGGATTAAAACAAAATATGGCGATAATAGGCACAAGAATGTTATGTCAAGAATAACAAACTCCCCCGTTCTCGAAAAAGGGAAAAAGGCAAAAAGAAAACCGGAACCAGGAAATTCCAATTCTCCAAACGCCCACTCCTTATTTTGTTTCTCTCTTTTGCAGAATAAAAATATCAAGGCCAACTCCTCAAGGCGGAAAATCGAACAAAACAGAAAAGAAAAATACAAAAACGAAAGTCTATGTGTGTTGCGAGCGAGATACCAATCAAAATAGGAAACTGGTCACTGTCCCCGTCTAGTTGCTCCACTGGGGGGGTGCTATATCGTACAGGAGTTTAAGGAAAAAGGAAAGGTAAAAAATGACGGTAAGAGACAAACACAAGGGCATGGATTCGCACGGGAAGGCCCTAGGTGCAGGACCTGAAGGAGGTATGGTGTGTTGTATGTAAAACGACGGGAAGAAAAAAAAAAAAAGTTGGCGACAAAAAAGACTTAACGAGACAACCAACTCCTGGATGAGCAATTGGTAATGGATGGTATGCATGTGCAAGTGTGTGGATTTGGGTATATGTGCAAATGTGCTGTGAAATCAGTCATAAAGCGATTCATGCCTTCTTCCTCCCTCACTCCTCGGTCCTTTGCGTAATCAGCGACGCTTCCCTATTCAAAGAAGCTTCTCCGCGATCCTCCCTCGAGGTAGACCGGTCGATGGGCGACCATCCCGCGGCGACACCAGCCGCCACGATACCCGCCATCACCGTCGGCGCGCCCAACGCCGAGTTCGACCTCGATCTTATCGACCTCGACCTCTTGCGGTTATCCGGAGAAGGAGGTATCGTGGTACCGCCGACAGATCCGAAGCTGTCTTCTCGGTCCGGCGTCCGCGGAGGTCTGATGGAGTTGGTGCGCGAGTGTGACGGGCTGCGCGATCGCGACATGAGCGTCTCGCGCGGGTGCCTCATGGCAAACTTGAGGTTGTTGAGCCGCCCACCCTTGATCCTCTTGAGGAACGCGAGCTCGTCTCGCACGTCGGCGAGTGCCGGTGGGTAAAAGTCAAACATCTCCTCGTTCGACACCGTCAAGTCTGGAACATTGCTGCTTCGCCTCTTGAGGTAGTCTGGCACTAGCTTGAGAATCAACCGGTCGGGGATCAGCCGGATGATGATACCGAACGGGATCGAGATGAAGCCTAGGACAATAGCGACAGCCCACAACACCGGCCCCTGAGGATCTCGCGTGCCTTCGGGTGCGTCATTAATTTTGAATGCTGGGCCACCCACGAAGACGATGAGGATTTGGCAACCGCACATCAGCGCGCTAATGGCGAGGAAGATTTTGTTCTTGAAGACACCTTCAAAGATGTTGAATTCGTTGTCCAGACGTCGATTGCTATTAGAAATATTGTTAGTATCTCGGATTCTTGAAGGGACCGTGAGGTGAATAGCCGAAAAAATAAAAAATTCACTTACTTCCACTGGTTAAAGATTTGCATCCAGACAAACGTGTTGAAAACCAGCGTTCCAATCGTCGCATCGTCGAGTACATATTTGCCTGTCTCGGGAAGAACTTTCTCGCGCCCAAAGTAGATGAGGAACGTAATCGCGAGCTGATACACAGCCTGACCAAGAATCATCTTCCACATCGTGACCGAGATGATCGATGCGTTTCGTGGCTCCGGCAGCCGGTTCAAGACGCTGTCGCGTGGCGGATCAGTGGCCAACGCGAGGGCCGCGAGCGTGTCCATGATCAAATTGACCCAGAGAAGCTGCACCGCCGTCAACACCGAGGACTCGTCTTTGTTCACCACCGCCGAGACAAAAGTAAGAATAACCGCTGTCACGTTAACCGTGAGCTGGAACTGGAGGAATCGCTTGACCGCATCGTTGACGGCCCGTCCCCACTTGAGAGCCTTGACAATCGAGTTGAAGTTGTCGTCCATGAGAATAATCGACGACGCCTCCTTGGCAACCTCTGTTCCTGCAATACCCATAGAGAAACCGACATCAGCCATCCTGAGGGCCGGCGCATCGTTCGTGCCGTCACCGGTGACGGCAACAATGTCACCCTTGTCCTTGAGCCGCTTGACCAGGATGCGCTTGTCCTCGGGGCTCGAACGTGCGAGCACGTGGAGTCGGGGGATGATTTTCATCTGCTCGTCCTTCGACAGGTTTCTAAACTCGGGCCCTTCCATGACGATACTGTTGTGCTGCATGATACCGCATTCGCGAGCAATGGCTTGGGCCGTGAGCTTGTTATCACCAGTAACCATCCGTACGACGACGCCGGCCTTCTGACATACGCGCACAGCCTCCGGCACACCGTCTCTCAAGGGATCCTGAATACCGACCATACCGACAAAGACCATCTCGTGGAACAATTCCTCAAAGGGAATCTCATTGCTGTTCTCGTCGCCGGTATTTCGTCGGAAGCGTCTAGGAGGCCACTGCTCGAAATCCCTGTAGGCAAGGCCAATAGTTCGGAGAGACCGGGAGGCGTAGTGATTGATGAGGTGTTCGACGGTGCGCGTATGGTCCGAGGTCATTCTGGTGAGACCCAAGTCGTGAGCGGGGTCCTGAATCATCTGCGTACACTTGCCGAGGACAATCTCGGACGCTCCCTTGATGTAGAGTCGCGCCTTGCCCTTCTCGCGAGCCACAACGATACCCATGCACTTGCGGCCAGAATCGAACGGAATTAGTTGCAAAGTAGTAGAGTTCTCCCGCTCAATGTTTACAGGACCCATGCCGAGGAACTGCTTGGCAAAAAGGAGAAGCGCAGTTTCGGTTTTGGAGCCGATAAATGTCAGCTCGCCGTCCACCGTACTTTCGAACGCGGTGGAGTTAAGGGCGATCGAGTCAACTAAAAGTTTCTTAACCGGAGCAGAGAGCACAGAAGCAAACTCGCTAGGCGAAACACCGCCGCTCGGATCCATCTCTACGGACTCGGCGTCGGATTCGCTTCCGTTAGACTCACCCGAGACTGTCGCCGGCCCGCTGGCTCCAAAGCGATGGCTCGTGCCGACTGTTCCAGCGACGACTTGCATCTTGTTTTGAGTCAAGGTACCTGTCTTGTCCGAGCAGATAGTCGTGGCGTTACCCATAACTTCGCAAGCCTTGAGATGCCTGACCAAGTTGTTGTCCTTGAGCATGCGGTTGGTGGCAAAGGCAAGGGCCAGTGTGACGGCGAGCGGAAGACCTTCAGGAACAGCAACGACGATGATGGTGACGACGACGATGAAAATCTCCAAGAAGTTCTGGCCCTTTTCTGCTGGTGTGGCGGTAGATTTGGGTAGGCCAGCTAGGAACTTGATGAAAAGGACAATGAAAAGTAGGAGACCAGCAGCACCACCAATCTTGGCAATGTAAGTCGCAATCACGTTCAGCTTCGACTGGAGAGGAGTAATCTCGGGGTCTTCGTTGAGCGCCATTAGGGTCCTGCCATAAGTCGAGTAGACACCAGTAGATGTGCACATAAAAGTGCCGACGCCCTCCATAACGCGAGCTCCGGATTGAATAAACGGATCGAGCTTCTTGACACTACCGTGGTTACGGATGGCGGCGTACACTTGATCGGCGGGTTGCTTCTTGATGATGTCCGATTCTCCGGTAGCTTGAGACTCGTCGCACTTCACGTTGAATCCTTCGATAAGAATGCCATCAACGGGCACAAGGTCACCGGGCTCGAGGTGGAGGACATCTCCAACAAGAATATCGAAAACCGAAATCTCCTGAGTCTTGCCGGACCGGATAACTTTGACTAGACGATCTTGCTTCTTGCGGTTGAGACGGGCAAATTGGCGTTCCTTCGAGTAATCATTCAGAGATCCGACAACAACAACGATGACAATGGCGGCGATGATAGCAACTCCTTCAACCCACTCGACCCTGGGCTCGTCTTCATGACCGGGGTTCGGGGCAAACGTCTGGTAGAGACCGATGGCGAGAGACACGACGGCAGCAGCAGAGAGTAGCATGAGGACCTTGTCGTTGTACGTGATCCACATAAGCTGGAGCAAGGTCTTTCCCTTCTTCTCGGGCAACCTATTGTCCTTGAAGACCCGTTTCCGGTCGACAAACAGATCGCCTCCGCTAGCATGGTGAGACTGGGCAGTAGATGGTCGCGTATCCCCGTCCTTCTCCTTGCTATCTACCACCAACCCCTCGGCAACAGAGATCGTGTCGGACGCAGGCTTAGCCCCATCTACGCTCTCTTCGGCGACCTTGATGGCTTCGGCGTACGAGACCTTGTTCGGAACGATCACTTCTTCGACGCTCAAACCGGCCTTGCAGTCGGTCTGAAGGCCCCTTTCCATTCCTCGGAGACCTCCAAGCTTGTAGAAGGCGGACAAACTCTTGGGGTTCAGCATTTTGTTCAGCTCACCAGGGGTGAATGCGAAGGGGTTGTCCTCGACCTGGAAATCCTCCTCGCGGCCCTGATCGGGCTTTAGGGCATCCGGATCGTTCATGATCTTTTCATTGGAGAACTCGTTGGACTGTCTCTTTTTCGTCGAAGAGATGACGGATGGGGTTATGGTCGCGGCGACAACTGTTTCGCCCTGCGATGATACAACTGACCGCGACGCGTCGTCCGACTCGAGTGAGTTTTGTCTCGACCGTAGATTGCTGGGTACCGAAAGAAATGTTGGCGCTCCTCCTGATCTATCGGCTCCTCTGGAAGGAAGCGTGCTTGACACATTGTGCGGGCTAGTGGGTCGGCTATCCTTGCTGTCGAAAGAGGTGGTATCACGTAGCTGGAGCCCGGATGTCGTCGCAGGGCTCCCGCCATCGTCCTGGGGAGATACCGGAGAAGCATCCGAGGCACAGGGAGCTGGCGCTTGGGTGCTGTCCGGGGGGTTTATCGCGGTATCGATTGTGATTGTAGGGCTATAAGATAGAGTTAGAGAAACCGGCTCGAGTTTCGGCAACGGAATCGGCGACACGTCGCGGGTAATGAAAGAAAAGCCCCCGGCAAGGCTCATATCGAGGGAGAAGAGGAAACCTACGCTCTTGGCCGCCTTACTGGTCCAGAGTCAGCCTCCGCCGGAGTACGGGTCTTGTCACCCATTTCTTCCCCTGGTCGGTTTCGTCTCAAGGCCGTCCAGGCGAGGTGACTTCGTTTCTCGTGGTAATAGTGTCGTCTGCGGTGTTGCCAATTCAGGAGGGTTCGCTAAGGAGTTGGGATTAGGGGAGACGAAGCAGACCCCAAGGAGATTTCAAGAGACAAGAGGGTTCCACGAGAAGAAGATGTCAAACAAGTGAAAGAGAGAGGGCAAAACTATGTTCCCATTCCCGATTTAAGAAGTGAAGAAGTCGGCGGAGTCAAGGCAGGACCTCGGTGTAAGTTGGATCAGCAAGGCCTCCTCCGATGCGAAGGATTCCTATAGAATAAGGCCAGGTCTTCAGCTGTCATGAGCATGGGCTAGGCCAACTTCATGCTAATGTCGACGCAGTCAACGACGAGTGTGTGGCTGTACCGAAGAGCGCGTGGTCGATCAACGGACTCGTTGACGTTAGTCGAGGCTGAAGGCGAAGTTTCGATCTATAAGAACATCGGTTGCCTCTCTTTAGTATTTGGAAGACACGCACTCTTGCGATAATACCAATTGCCAAACACAGAAACACGAAAAGTGAAAGGGAAGGTTAGGAAGGTCTCAACCTCAGAGGAAGTCCAGAGCGACCCGTCTCCAGAGCACCAGTGGAGGCCATTGAGGCTGTGCAAGCTGGGTGGACTTAATTGGCCGGGAGAAACAAACGGATGCAGAGCGGGACATCGCTAAATCACTATGCATACACCCCTGTCGCCTCAATACTAGCACCCGCTTCTGGCTAGGAAGATCCAGAAGTGGTAAACCAAACACAACCTCAAGTACCGCGGTACTTCAGTGCTAAGATATGTATGGGTCTCATCATGTACTCTGATAACAAAGACTGTGCTTGTATTGAGAATGAATTTGTAGCAAATACCTTCTTCTTTCATGGTTAGCTCACAAGAATTAGAAGTAACTAGTACCTCTCTATACGAGCGGGTCCAAGTTCCTGTGTTTATTACTTTGTTTGCAACGCTAGCGCAGGACCAAAGCAAAAGTAAAAAAGAAACAGGAAGGACAAAAAGGAAAGAAGTGAGAATAAGAAAAAACTTGAGATGTGATCTGCACTCTCCGCTTTGGGACTTACCTGCTACAATCGCACGGAACATTGGAGTAATGATATTTTCCTTGCTGTGATATACGAAGAAACACACAATTTCGTATGATCGTGGTCCACCTCAAAGTACACATTATTTATTCACTCCACTCTTGTTGTACTGGTAGCGCTCGCCCCTATTTTTTGACTCCTGGCTGGTCTCCCCGGTCCACTTCTTCGTACATAGCTTATATTGAGCAGGGTCACCTTCCACCTCACAAATGGAGTGGGCCTGGAGGAAATGGCACTTGCCAGTTCTGGACCTTGGCCGTGATCATGAAAGAGAGAGGGAAATATGTAGCAAGCGAGGCATAATGACGATGATTTCGTCACAAATGCTCGAATGGCGATTCGCGCCACCCTCCCACAGATTTTAAGCAAGACAAGGAAAGGGGACAAAACAGTCAGGTGCAGTGGCAAGTGAAGGACAAACATCCGAGGACAAATGTGGAAGGACGGGCAGAGCGATGACATGAAGTTACTTGCCACGGGTTTCAGCGCCTTCCTGACTTGAAAGTCAGTTTAATCCTCAACTGTCACTCGAGGGAAGAAGGGGGGCTTAGATTGAGTTGTTCTAGAGTCGGGCGGTAGTGGAGGGGTGCAAGGCACTTCTCTTGTGAGCCAGGCACGGACGGCGGCTGGTACTTGGTACTTCAGTTTTAATTGTTACGAGTACGAGAAAACGCCACAGCAATCAACCTCCTGTCAAAGACTAGTACTTTCCGGATTTGTCATTGAGGTAACCAAGGCGAAGCAAGGTGGAATAAAGTTCAGGGGAAAAGACAATGAACCAAGGACGAAGCAATCTTACGTCTTGAAAAGTGTTGGAAGGCCAGAATTGCAGAATGGCGAGAACATGCCAAGTACGAAGGTAAACCAGAAAGAAATAAAATAAATTATAGAAATTATTTGAGAATAAAAACAAAAAGATGGGATTTTCTGGGGAAATAATTGATGAACATCAACAAATCTCCAGTCAGGACAACAACCTTACTTCAATGTTATGCAATAAGCAGTCTGCCACTGTCAGGCAACTCGGGTACTGAACAAGGAGCATCAATGATTGGTGACCTGCTAAGGGTACCTGAGTACTTCGAAGTGGAAAGGGACATCAAATTGACGATCCCAGCACAACACCATAGACAAACAACAGTTGTCATCTCAATCAATTATACTGACGAAGTCGAACCTCCACTAAGCATGGCGATCTATCACAAGCACCAAGTCCCTTAACAGTTTTGCATATTCTCCACATCAGTGTTACAGACGGACGGCCAGCACAGCGGCATTGATTTACGTGTACCTGCTTGTCCCACAAGCCTCGTGCTCTTATCGATGGTATGACGGCGAGTCCGTTTCAAAAATCCATTCGCCTGGAGCGGCATCTGGAGACATCGCTGTCCGACCATCTTGTTCTGGGCATTCAAGCTGAAGTTTGCATGATGCAAGACATCACAACCAAGCAGGAGGTGGTCTGTCTCTACGAATAGTAAAGGCAAAGGCTTATGGGGGTTACCTCGTCGTGCCCTCCCGCTTGGTTAAGCCAAGACATAGATCCCACACCTCACCTCTACTATCGTACCTCCTAGTTCGGGAAGTTGGCACGATAGCAGCCTTCGTTTTTTTGTCAATACCGCGGTCGAAGTCCATGGCCACGGTTGTCGGGTCTTTGCCACATCGATTGGATAGAGGAAGCGCGATGCCATCCTTCGTACTCCATATTGCGAGGCATCCAATATCAGGGGACATAAAAACTGTTGAGGATTGTGACAGCGCACTGAGCACAGCTAGCAACGGGGCATTTTAGTCTTCGGGGCATTGGCTTCTATTGGTACCCACTTTGGTGGGATGTGTCCTCGGTGGCTGAAAAATCGGCGTCGCCACAGCTCGAGGTGGCTTGCGCCTCTCCGATTGGACCCAAGCGGCTGGTGAGCCCCTGTTTTCGGTCTTTGCTCCGTACGAGTCGGAGGGTCAGGTAACTTTACAACCTCGCATCAACGTTCACCTGCGCCCACGAGGACACGCATTCTTCATACGCAATCTGCCTAATCCACGTGTATTATAGGTCTTGAGGATTAATGTCTGCCGCCATTGACCGAGGACGCCTGAGCTGAGAACTCCGCTTCCCCACAAAGCTTGACGATGTTCATGGTAGCGGGTCACATGTCAGCAATAACACAATTGCGTACGAAGTACGAGTCCTCCTCTGCTCTCGTATCCTTCCGGGCCACTGAGGGCTCTTCTCGGCGACTTGCCTCCTACACCGAGTTGTGTTTTGACAAGAATATCGCAGAACGCCTTGCCTTCAGATCACCGTTTTCAAGCCAGAGTGGTCGAACCTCCTGACTGTGGCGCAGCCTTCTCGAAGACCTCACTAGTGGGGAACTTGTTTCGAACTGAAGAAAAAAGAAAAGCTTATTCCGTGCGATATGAACTAACGTGTACTCTCCTTGGCACTGCCAAGCTCGAGGCACCAACTTGGCATCTTTGACTTGACGTTTACGAAGTACGATACGCGTTCCATGTTTCGCAAAGTCGGGCGTGAGCTCTGCATGACTGGTCATTGAGGTCTTCGTCTTCCATTACCCCTTGCGATCGCTGCCCGATGTTGAGATAAAACCGATTACAAAAAGCTGAAGATGCAGTCTCCGCCACCTTTGTAAGACACTAAGACACGACAATTGCCATACATACCAGGATATATGGGAGAATATACAGAATCGTGCTTGGAGTGGAGATGTCATTCATGCTCGGTATCAACCAGCGTCGTAATCGCTCTGTGACTTTGTCGGCGTCTTGACTTAACATATTAATGTAAACGCTTAACCCGAGGATTGACCTCCCTCTTGGACTTGATTGTCGTTCTGTACGAGTACGAATGAACGAATCAACCTAAGTTAGCAAGAAAATAACGAAGCATACGAAGTAGATCAACCGTTGAATGACACCGACCATCTTACATGCAGCCTAGGTGCAACCAACGGCGCGGCTCCAACGCTTCCTCGGCCCGCCTCATCTTTCCATTGCTCGCCGACTTTAATTCGACAAAAGCTTCTTGGTTGGATCCAACATCCAATACAAGAGTCCGCCTCGCCTTTCCCCCCAAAGTTCCAAGCCCACGCACACCCCCTTCCACATCTTCGGTAACACGTCCAAAGTGGAATTACAAAAATATCTCTGGTCATTGCCCAAACCGTCCAACCCGATTGATTCCATGAAAAGTCATGCAGCAGCTCAGCCTTGCCTACTCCACGCCTAACGACATCGGTCGACAGCCAACCGATCTCGCACATTACACACAGCCGACATCTGCGGCCTGGGGAGAGACGAAAACTATAATCCGGGGAAAAGACTAAGTACATGTTATATCTATATTTCGATTCGATCAACGGCTTCCGTGCTGTGCCATTTTTGGGGGCCAAGATTTGAGTGTGCATTCCATCCGGTCTTGGGGCCAATATATTTTTAGCAATGCCACAATTGTGCACCCTTCCCCTTGCTCCAACCTTAATTTCCCATTGCAATTTTGGGGGAAAAGGAGGTGATATTCTAAAGGGGAAAAAAATATGTTTTAAGAGAAACAAGCAGGCAGCAGATGAGAGCAAATGTGCAGGGCAGAATTCTCTCCGTCCGACCTGACCCGTGATGATGATGAACAGGCGTTTTTTCTTGGAAATGGATCCATCAAAAATGGAACTTACATCAATCGTGCTGTGCTTCGCCTCAATCCAACTTCCAACTTCCCGTCAAGGTTAAGGTAATACAAGAAAAAAACGGCCGCCGCTCCCTGCAAACCGATCACCCATGCTGACCCGGTGCGAAGGAGTGCAATGATCAAGAGAGTTGCACTTCCAAATCCTCCTTTGGATAAATGTCCATGACGAGGAAGACTTGGAGCCTACGAAATTACATTGCCCGATCCAGCCTAAATCGAGCTGTACGTAGAGCTAGTTCTTCGGGAGATGAGCCGCACACACTAGGCGTGCATCATGGAAAGTTCGTGAATGGATCTTTTCGCCCCCAAACGGCTTGCCGCCGCATGGTCCTGGTCCTCTCGGGATTCATAAGCTCCGAGTTCCAGTCAAAAGTGCCAGGCGTTTTGGGGTGGGCCCGGCGGTACTATCGAACATTCCGGGTTATGCAAAAGCGAACTGGCACACCCTCTACGGCCGCAGGATCTCTCTTGAAAAATCGAGCTTCGCTCTCAGCGAATTGGAAATCTGTCGAACTGCAACTCGAGACATGCTAAGCCCCGTCAGAGTGGGCTTCAAACTTTGAGGCCAAATATGCCATGGGGTAGGATCAGCGGCTCACCGCTGGAAGGAGGGGCATCGACAAAAGGATCCTGGGGGCGTGGAAGTATGAAGAATCATTCTGCTCTTTCGGGAGGCTTTGACAAGCCTGGCTGTTTCCCAGAATTGAACCTCGTGAATGTTCGGTGACGTCGGGCGGGAACTATCCTCGACATGGGAGTTGAAGGAACACATCGTGAAAACATCCCGGGTGGGTCTCATCTTCCTTCTTCCTATATTGTCATATACTTATAAAGGCCCCGTCCAATATGTCCACAGTCGTGTAGTTTGAATATTCAGCGTTCGGTCTAAGCCACCACATCTCATCCTAATCCCACCTTGTCTCAGCCAAACGGGCCCGGTTCGCCCAATCTCCGCTCGAGGAGTTGTTACTCTGGCGTGTTCGGTGCCCGAACTATCAACGCCCTTTCCCCACAACCGATCATCCTCTATGATTCCATCGCGCAGCTTCGATGCAAGTCTTCGGGGTCATACTCAAATCACAACCTCTGTATCCGCTTCTCGAGGACTTTTGTAATAAGAAAACAAAAAACCTTAACTTCAAGATTAGATCTAGAAGGTGAGTTCATACTATGCGAGAACCTACTTTGTAAAGTCTGCTCCTCTGCTAGGATCCGTTTGATCTATCGTCTAAGCCCCCATGCGTCGTAACCCTACTAGTAAAACAAATGAGATTACACGTTCTTCCTTGGAATTAACCCATATCAAGATTTATTAGTGGCGATACTGGTGGCGATGAGAACTTCTGGGACATTGGGATATATCAACGATGTTAGAAGAAGACTGAATTGACGGGCAGAAAAATAAATACAAAATAGCCAAAAAAGCAGGCGATCCGTCTCGAACGGACGGGGAAGGACGTTTCATAGCATCTTCCATGGTTCAGATAGATAGATCTGGAGAACGTGTGATTCGTAAACTAAAAACGACCTTCCCCGACTCCCGCCGCCATCGAAGAAGATCGTCAACATGCATTAGTAGTCTCTTCGACCACCATCCACAACCCCCTCCTCCTTCGGATCAGATATGGTTTGCACTTCTGTCCATATCTCGAGTCATTCCAAGTCAAAACAAAAAGTCTCACAGTTGCAACAGACTTGCGGTAATTATCATGTCGAACCCCTCTTTTCCAAGACATCTAAGCCTCGCTGCTAGCTGGCTCCCTGCAGATAGCGTTTTCCTATAAGTCGCTAAGTGAGGACGAAGATGCAACTTGCCCATTCCAGGCAATTTCACGGGAGACAAGGTCGAGGGATTGGCTAACGGTGGGCAGATGTCTATTTGCACCCTCCTGTTTCTCAACGTATTAGCATCTCTTGTAAGTTGTGAATTTTCATCTCGCACACCACCCTTGCAAGAAGCAAACGCTTCTACGCGCCCTCTTTGATATACACTCGAAACCAATATTCAAGGCTTCTCACTGAGGTAGCTCAACCTTCTTCACAAGAACCATATCCTCCTCCTCTTCCCTCTTAGCGCCTTCCCTAGCCTCAACCCCGAAAAACGAACCAACAGAAATCCTCACAACCTCCTCCCAAAACCCAGCCACCACGCCCTTCAACTGCCCACCCGTCTGCTTAAAGTCAGGGAACGCATTCACCTCAAGCAGCCACGCAGTTCCCGCCTCATCAACGAGGAAATCCAACCCGTAAACCTCAAAGGCATTCGCGAGCGGCTGGAAATGCACAGTCATGCCCAGGGCTGCCGCCTCGAACAACTCGCCCACCACGTCGAAGATTTGCTTCTCGACGCTGCTCTTGACAATCTTGTCGAGGGGCAGGGCGCCGAAGAGCTGGACGGAGGCTGCATCGGGCGTAGATTGAAGACACGTGTTTGTCAGATGCTTCTCGAGATCGTCCTCCTCCCAGGGTGGGGAGTATTCCTTGGCCGCGAAGAGCGCTAGCATTTGCCTATAGACGTAGACGTTTAATCTGCCCATGCAGAACACGTAGGTTCGTATGTGGAACTTGCGCCCGCCGACGAGGAGGGGCGGGTGGATGTAGGGTTGCGCAACGAAGTGGCGGAGGTGAGACGTCGTAATGAAATCTCCTGCGGTTGCCTGGTCATCCTCAACATTGTCGGCCGCACCCGTCGAATGCGCATCGTCGTCCTCGCCATCAGAAGGCGGTTCCCACTCGTCAAAGATGGATTGAAGCTCCGCCGTCGTGCTGAATAGGCGGATTCCTTGGCCGCGATCGCTCATGGACGGCTTCAGTATCCACCACTCACGCTGGTGAGGTGGCTTTGCTGATAAGTCCACTTCGTCTTGCTCATCGTCATCACCATCCTTCTCTCTAATTTCCGACGCTTCCGCTTCAACTTCACCCGCACCGTCCTCGTTCTTCTCCATGCTCTCCCTCAAGTCCCAAGCCTCCACGAGCGCATCGTCCAGAAACTCTGCAAAGTCCACCTCGAACGCCTCGCTCCTCTTGACGTGGTCCCTGAGGACGCTCTCCGGTCGCTTCGCCACCCAAATGTCCACCGTCGTAGACAGGAAGTGTTTCCGTATAAGCGCCTTGCGTATCACGTAGCTGTTGATAAGGCACGTATCCCGGTGATCGTTCGCGAAACTAAAGTCGATGGACTCGTAGGACGTGATATTCAGGACTTTGACTCCTGGTGTCGGTAGGTAGCTTTTGAGGTTTGGCTCGCCGTCGTTCGTCGTCGGCGGTAACGTGGATAGGACGTTGATGTCTGGGTAGAGTTTTGATATCGCCTCTAGGATCAGGGGCTGAACATATGGATCTTCGTAGGCCACGACGGCGTATATTGTTTCCTTCGCGCCCGTCTTCCCGGTATGTTGCGAGGAGATAAGGTGAGCTGTGCCTGGGCTGTTGGCCACAGGTGCCGTTGGAGGACTGTTCGAAAGAGAAGAGAAAGTGTAAGATTATGATCTATTGTAAAAGCTTCATGGTAACTCTAATGTATGATAATGCACATTAGAGGGCTACGCATGTTGATGTCTTATGCATGCCCTATTACAGAATACCTGATAATATGCCTTTCTTGGTCTCTTCCGATGCCATCCCTATCAAAGTCTTCTCCTCGGGAGTTCGTAGTATGGTTGGCATCTGGCGAGACGGCGGTACTGAGAAACGGAGAGGAGAGGCGGGTATGTGAACGGATATGCGCGTGTGTTTTGTTACTTACAGTTCCAACTCTTTACCATGCAGACTCGTAGCGGCATGCCAAAAGTTTGCCTTCAACGGTGTAATGCTGTTCAAAAACGTGTTAGCAAGAGGTAAGTTCCAGACGGCGATATGGGCCAACGAAGAAACCCTGCGACGTACCTGGTGTTGCCCTCCTTGACTTCCCATCCATCACTCCCCGGTCCGGCATCCTCGACGCTCTTATACACATCTCCAAACTTGGGCGCCCACTTGAAATGCTTATGAACATGGCCCGGAACGGCACCGGCCTTCCCAACGACCTCTCCGAGTATACCCTCACGTATCCTCTCCTCTTCCTCATCCTCATCCCCAATACTTCCCTCGACCTCCTGGAAGCAGCTCCCCCCACCCCAGTAATTCTGCAACATCCCCGTCCACAAAGCCTTGCTCTTCTCGACCCCCTCCACCAGCGGCACGTTGACGCTGTAAAGGTCCACGCTCCCATCCTTCGGCCACTGCTTATATATAGCCTCCAGAACCCGGACACTATGCTTACACGCCCCCTTAATAATAATAGGATCATGATTCCTCGAGAAGAAAGCAAAGCTCAATGCCACAGCCTTCCACCCACAAACAGCCGCCTCAAGCGCCGCCCCCAACGTCCCCGAACTCAGCGCAAACACAGCCGTGGAATTCCGTCCATAATTGGGCCCCGAGACGACGAGGTCGATCGGTCCGCGATCCTGGAAGAAGTGGTGCAGGCCGATCTGCACGCACGACGCGGGCGTTCCGTCGACGAGGATCCATTCCTCCACGGAGCCGTCGGGGCTGGGGCGGTGGTGCGTGCTGCCCTGGGCGTCGTCGCCGTAGATGGATTCGCTGGGGCGGTAGTAGAGGGGCTTGACGGTCTGGCCGATCATGTGGGCTTTGCCGATCCAGGATCGTTGCGTGTGCGGGAGGCAGACGGAGACTGTGTGGCCGGCCTTTTGGAGGGTGTCTACGAGGCAGCGGATGTATGGGGATGAGTGGGGGGACGGAGGGCCGTCATCGTTGGTTAAGAGGATGTGCATTTTCTCTTTTCTCTCCTTTTAGCTGTTTCCTTTGAAATGTTGGGAGGAGTGAGTATGATCTTCGACAGTCGGGAAGGCTTTCGATCTTCAGATTGACTTTGGTCTCGGTGGGGTTTCTCTGGAGTCTACAAAGCTCCAACACAGATGGATAAACGAGGGTCTAAGGATGGACAAGGGTTATATATATGGCCCAAATATCTAAGGGTATAAACTTGCGAAAAATCTGCCAAGCGTTTCCGGCAAGATACGAGGTTCTGCCCGTCTCAATGCGTGACTGAAGCTTTTCAAAAAAAACGTTGGGTTTCGAACAAGAAGAGAGAGACCAGTGACGATGGTGGGGTTCCTGACGACTTAAAGGTGCCACTTTCCCCGAAGGCAATTATTACGTTACCATGGCGGGGCATGACAACAACCCACCATTTGACGAACAAAACCCGAGAACTCAACGAAATGTTTCTTTTTTTTTTACGAAGTATTTTTCTTCCAGAAGGGGGAGGGGATTCTTGGCTGGCCAGCGTTAACCTACATCGGGCCACAAACTGACCAAGTCTGCTTCCACTGGCTGGACTAAAGCATTGTTGGCAGTTGGGCACCGAGGCTAAATCCGATCTACGGAGGCGCATCATCTCGTACCACGGCGTGCCTGGCGTGTTCTTCGAATCGAAAAACAAGTTTGCCCCAGTCAGACTACATCGAGATAACAATCACAGCATCAGAGATTTTTACACTCCCACTAGCATCAGGGGCAACGGTTCATGTTACCTTTAACGGCGCACATTGCGGATCGTACCAAGTGCTGCTTAACTGGGCGGAATTATCCTCACCCTTTGCGCATTTTGAGTATCTGAATAACTAACTACGTTGCCCTCAAGTTAGGAGGGTCTTTTTTCGTCTGCCCGTGGCGACTCTGTGTAAAAAACAACCTGGGTTTCATTCCATCAATCCTCAAACGCCCGTTGTCCTTCCTGTGTAGACGTAATAAACCTTGTTCTCATCGATCCCATGCATAGTAGACGGGTGAGCCCTTCCTCTAGGCAGATCCCCGCTGATTTCGTTCCTCTTCTGGTAGAAAGTGAAAGAGAGAGTGGAAAAGAAAAACAAACCAATATACACAGGCAAAAGTCATAAACCGGAACCCCAATCCTAACGGGTTTCTAGCCTAGATAGAAGTGGCGCGAGAGCAGCGGCAAACAAAGAAACCCAGATAAAAAGACGAAAAAAAAAAGAATAAAAAAAGGAGAAAAAGAAATCGAGAACCTCGGCCCTTCTGTGGCTCGTCCATGAATCGGGAAAGAAAGGGCTGACATGATTACCGGCCCAATGCCTAGTCACGACTTGGCCTCGAAACCCAGATGGAATGCCAGAAATGGAAAAATCGTATCGCGACCGCACACGCCTAGGGGCGAGCCTTCTTGGCCGTGCTGGAGCTTAGGCTCGAACCGGGTCGTTTCGAGGGTAGACTGCTCTCCGACCTGCTCTTAACACGAGGCCACGAGTCGAACGGGCTAGTCCTGCCTTGACGTTGAACGGGGTTAGGCTCGTCGAACTTCTTATCTCGGGCTCGGGTGACTCGGCGCGTATCAGGAGGAGAAATCGGCGAGAAACGGGGAGCCTTGGGGGTCTCGGACTCCTCGACCACTTCCACAACAGTAGTAGGCCGAGGGTTCTTGCGGGGTTCGGTCGTCTTCTTTAAGTGCTCTATCTCAACGTCGGTATCGGCCTCTTCCTCCTCGAGGGCGCTCGGTTCTTGAGGCTGTGGGGGGAAGAGCAGACGAGGTTTAATGGAAGATCGCGTCATTCGTCGAACGGGGGAGCCGCTTCGTTCCTCGCCGTTATCTTCGGTATCGGCGGGGTCTGCCTCTGCGAACTTGCGGAAAAAGCGCTTTCCTCGGCTAGAAACAGAATTAGCTATTGTCGCAGTGTTGGGAAGCAGAAGGTCGTCAGGGTTAATCGAGTCAAACTCACAATACGTAAACTAGTCCATCCTCACGTTCCATGGCTTCCTCAATGGTCTGGCGACCTTCTCCGGGAACGTGAACCTTGTGACGCTTGCTCCTGCGCCTAGCAGGCTCCTGGACATCTCGACCAGCGTTTCCGTAGAAGGGGTTATCGGCGCTCACGACCTTTTGCGGGATACGCTCATTGGAGTCGGTGAAAATCTCAATTGGCGCTTCGTCGTCCTCAGCGGTAAAGCTCTCGAGCGAGATGCCCGTGTACTTCTTGGCGCGGGTCTTCTGGGGACTAGGCATGACTTCTTCTTCGGTCGCAAAAAGGTTTCGAGCGATGGCCTGGATTCCAGGATTCTTCTCTGTCGGAGCCTTCTTGGGCGTCTTGGCGGGGGTAGGAAGCATTCCGGTCCTACGAGAGATGGTCGTGGTCGAGGTTTGATGGGTAGAAGACTTGTCGTGATCGAATCCGAGCGACGAAGCGGCTTTGGAGGAAGACTCAACGGTTAGGCGACCGGTGGTGTAGGAAAGAGAGTTAGGATCCATGGCGGCGGACGTTCGAGGCTTTTTCTTGGGTGACTCGAATGGGGAAACTATGCCAGCGACGGAAGAGGCGTGGGTTCGTGACTTCCTGGTCGGGGTCGGGCCAAATGGATCTGAATTGGCGAGAGAAGAAGGTGGAGGAGGAGTTCGGTTTGCAGCGCGCTGGGCGGAAATGCGTGCGGATTTTCGAGGGGAGTAAGGTTCCCAGGGGTCGCTGAAGCCGTGTTTGGGTGTGGGAGGGGTCCGAATACTCGGAGGTGGAGACGGCGTCGAAGGCATCATGGCTCGAGGCATCTTGTCCTTGGTTGCAGGTCGGTCGGCTAAAGGTCGAGGGTGGTCAAGCAGGTTGTAGAAAGGTGATGAATGAGGAAGATGAGAAACTGTGTTTGAGAGAAACTAGGTTCACAGCTTCTCTCTGCACCGGTAGATTTATCCTCTTCGCACAGTTGGTCCTGCTCCCTTTGTCTCAATGTCCCCAAGCTACCAGAGCCTTTGCGATGGTGATGATTGGCTTTTGTGGGTTGCTGTGATGCTTCAATCCCGCAACTTGTTGGTGAGGAGAACAACAGTTTTTTTTCCCTATCGATGCCTCGAAACACATGAAACACACAACGAAGATGTCAACAAAGCGGTGAGAGAATCGACTGAGGGATATCTCCAGAGGGATAGTAAATAGAATGGAGGAGGTTAGGTCGTAACAGAAGAATAACTAGGGAAATGCAGGAGGATGGGGAGAGTCAATTTCCGAAGCATTAAGCATTACGAAGTGTACAACAATATGATGGAGTCGGCAGAGGCAGATAAGGAGGTTAATCGAGGAGGTGGGTGGCATCGACCTACAACTCTGCAACTCTGGTGGCTGGTGTTTGTTGGCATGGGTCGGGGTTACCTTGTTCCTTTGCAAGCCCTTTGGTTTGGGCGCAGGAATTTTGCAGCGGAGGCCCTGCAGACTGCACTTCCGGACAGCCTAGCCAGTCAACGCGTACGGTGCGCTCTCCGCGCCAATTTCGTGTTGGCAGGGCAAAAGTCGACCAATGGGAAGCAGCTGTTGCCCCTTCCAACCACAGCAACGCGTCTTTCCCAGTGGAGCAATAGCTAAATACAGTGCCTAAATGGCAAATAATAACACGGAGTACATACGAAGTGTCGAGCAGATTACCCCTCCCATCTCAGGCGGTCTTCAATGCTACCTGCAGCGAGACGTGGAATTCGTACAGTAGCCAGCAGGGCCTGACGGCAGTGGATGGTTCAATTGCCCCACAATCAGGTCCCAACTTGAACAGTGCATTCGACTGTGGCAGTATTCGATTTGGTCTGACTTCAATGTTGCTCCGTCGTCACACATTGACCCCACCAAGCGCAAACACCAAGTCTAGCTGTCAAAGTCCAACATCCATTCATTGCCTCAGCCTTAACGGCACTGCAAACACCCCGGCGCCAATATTGTTCCGTACATACAGCACAGACAGCCTCATCGCAACAGCGTCTGGTACAGCCTAACCCCAGATCCACCATGGCTGACCCCGCCGATGACTCGTTGACGGAGGATATTTGGGCCTCGCCTACGACCACAAAACCTACCCAGTCTCAACCCCTAGAAAGGCCCAAAACACCAAAGACGCCAACGAGGCCGGCCTCGCCCACGTATGACCATGAGGCTGCGCTGCGCAAGGAGCTCGAGGGAGTTAGGGGCGTGAATCATGCAATCGAGGGTCTCATTGGAACCCTTGAACGGGCCAAGGGCAACATGAATGTAAGTGGCCTTCGGGGTCTTGTGCTCTCATGCATACCCGGACCACTTTCGTCTTATCCCGCGATAGATCGTGACGCTAACTTGGCTTTTTGTCCTCCCCTGCTCGTAGACTGTATCCGGTACCGTGTCTAACGCATCCGCTCTCCTCAACACCTGGACCCGAATCCTATCCCAAACCGAACACAACCAACGCTTAATCCTAGACCCGAACTGGAAAGGCTCATCACAAGACCTCCTCGATATCGAGGCCGAGGCGATACAAAAACAGCAAGCCGCCGAGCGCAGAGCTGCCGAAGAAGAGAGGAGACGCGAGGAAGCGCGGCGGCGCGCAGAGGAAGAGGAGCGGAAGAGGCTGGCTGGCGCTACCGGCGCGCCTCGGGCGACCCGCGGAGTACGTGGTCGGGGACGTGGTATCGGTAGGGGGACGAGCTCATCGCTGGGCTACCACAGTGAAAGCAGCACGCGAGGCGCGGGCAGCAGTAGAGGGGCTTCGGGTATTGGTAGGGGGCGAGGTACGGGCTCTGTGAGAGGTGTGCGCGGGAGAGGGGTGAGATAGAGAAGGGGGCTTTAGGGGAAAAGAAAAAAAAAAAAAAAAGAAAAGAAAGGAGACAATCGTAGAGTAATGATATCATGATGCAACCCGGGGTTTCGGTGTATGATTATATCAGGTTGAAATTGAGGTCCCAATGGCCTAGAAATCCCCAAGACCCTTTTACGCCCTAACGCCGGCCCCGCTATCTAATACAAGATCCAATAAGCCAAGGAACCCTGTGAACTAATTCAACCACCCCCCCATTCACTTCTTCTTGAAGAACTCGCTGAGTTTCTTCATCCCCGAGGTATTAACCTTCCTGAGCTCGCGCACGCCCCTGCTCTCCATAGACTTCTTCTTCTTCTCCCCCTCCAACTTCCGCTTCTTCTCCTCCCGCGCCGCATCTTCATCCTCGTCCCTAGCATGTTTCCGACCATACTGACCCCCACCTCTCACGGCCACAGCCTCCGCACGGATCTTCGTTAACTCGGCGAGGTATTCCTCTAGAGGGGCAAAGTCGGTACCTGACAATTTCTTGTCCGCTAGCTGCTCACGGAGACGGGAGGTGAGCGCGGGAGGGATGTAGCTGGCGCAGATGAAATCGAACGAGACGCGTAGCCTTTGGAGGGCTTGGACTTCGGACGAGGCTTGCATTGCGGTGGTGATGGCGTCTTCGGTTATGGCGTCTGCGTCTTCGGGGATGGATGTGGCTGCTGTTGAGGCCTGGGAGGTGAGGGAGCTCGCGTTGCTTTCTGTGGTGGCCGTTGAGGTTTGTGAATCGACGGAGTCGGTGCTCGGGGTCGAAGTTCCTGAATCTGCTGAAGGCACATCGCGCCGGACACGTGCGACCATGGGCGCTTGGAGAGCCTTGGTGACAAATTTCTCTTCCATACTTCGCGGCAGTGATCCCTCCGCAAACCTCCTCGCCTTGGCTAGTATCTCCTGGAATAGTTTCTCCTCGTTGATCCGGAACATGGATTCGCTTCCAGCCTCCACCATGTCACATACGGCCTTCATCCTCTCCTCAAACAACTTGCGCGTCTTCTCCTCCCGTAGGATATCGTTCAAATGAGACGACTCCTCGGGCAGCTTGTCGAAGTGGTCATCGCTCGCGAGGAATAGGCGCTTGGCGTCGGTCTTGGGGGCTGTTTCAAGTAGGGCAGGTAAGACGAGGAAGAGGGGGTCGAACGGTGTCGCTATGAAGAGATCTGAGCTCTTCGTCATGTATCCATTGACTTTTTGCGCCTTGCTATCGGTGGTCTTGTCATCGTCGTCATTTGGAGCGTCCTTCGATTCGAAGAACCAACTCCGCGGTGTCGAGGTGGGCGCAGAGACATGGGTGAATTCATAGACGCCCGTTTCGGGACATACTAAGTATCGCGTAGGTTTTGAATAGCGCGGATTGGGAAGGGTTACGATCTGCGCGGCGGCCGTGGCTGCCCGAGGTAGTATGAAGGCGAGGGGAGGGTTGGGAATCTGAGGGGGAAGCGTGTAGATGGATTTCGAGTCTGTTACGGCGGGCGCCGAGTCTTTGGCGGCGGCCGATGGCTTTGAGGATCGAGTTCTCGCCATGAAGGGGAAATTGGCGGCGGCGACGGGGAGTAGGTTTGCAATTGAATGAAACGGGGCGGGAGACGAAGAAGATTGGAAGATGAAAATGGTTGTAAGTGGTGGTTGTTTGAAGCTGAAGGCAATGTCGCGGGGTGAGCTCGAAATTCTAAGACGCGTCTGGAGCCGGCACCATTGGTGTTAGTGTGTTAGTGCGCACCAGCGTATCAAATTGTAGACGGCAATTCCCTACGACAAAGTGCTGGCGTCTGTAACACTTATTTCCCAGTGTCTACCCTGTGTCCACCACAGGCTATGCCTCCCCTCTGAGATCTATGTTACTGCACGTGTGGTTTCGATTTGGCTGAAGGTACGAAGTACATACACGAGTAAATTCGATGTTCCCTACCTTCACATTACCCGCTTTGTAAGTGACCAAAGTGAGGATTCTTTTTCTGTTTGAACACATCTTTCTACTTGGATGCAGAAGAAGCCGTGGAGCTTAAACCCCAGCTGAGGGATAAGCTTGCGTTTAAGCGCCAATGGCAACTTGAAGGTCAAACTTTCTATCCATTGCTCTTCCTCGTTGTCAACCGAAAGGTATCAATGGTATTCCGATATCACCAGTTTCCCCCATCTCATCTTCGACAGTCGATATTATTGAAGAGACCTCGAATTGTGAATTGTGCTTGCTGGTCTTAGGTACAATTCTACAATTGTACAGTTGTAGCACAGTGTCCGATGTCTCTGCTGACTAAGATTCCAATTTAACCCAGCGCGACTTAAACGCGTCGTCGCGTTCTTCAAACGAAAGATCCACGCGTCGCCGTTGGAGAAATCTGGCAACCATTGGACCATCATCCATAACCCTGCAGTGATACAAGATGATTCTTGCATCACAGACTCTTTTCTAGAAAAAAGTGGTTTCCGCCAAAGTATCACGTGCCTACGAAGGGAGGTCGGTCCATTGCCGTCTTGTGTGGATCAGTGCTGCAACTGCAACTGTCAAGGCTTGGAAATTTTGAGATGCTGTGTCGAGTGGGACTTGGCAAGTGACACTTGGATAAATTTGATACTGCATGGCCAAGTCTGCTTTGTATGAAATATTCTTGACGGGTGTCAAACGCTTGTTCCTCAGTTCTCTTTTCCATCCTCACTGCTGCCAACGACTGGTAGAGCAAGTGACAGTCATCCCTGTCCTTGGTCTCCCCCTTCTTTTCAGAATATCTAGTTTCTGCTTTCTCTTTTATCGACGATTCTCGGGGTCGGATATTGCAGGGTCTGAGTTGTGTATCATGGCACCCTGCTATCATACCTCTTCTTTTTGATCCGGCTCTCAAGATTCGAATCTTTGCCTTGGAGGCGATTTCGGCCCAAAGGGCTTCGAAAGAGCCCGGTCTTTTCTCCTGCCAAATTCGCCGACACCTCCAAATCCCACCTTACTCACCGCCTTCGTCATGCCTCCACGTACGTTTTAAGCTGCGGGAGATTTTACCTTCGGTCTTTTCCACTGACTTGGACAGATCAACCCGCCGCCGAGCCGCAATGGCCTCCCCGATCTCCTCACGAAGCCCTCATAAGCACCCCCGGCGGTCGCGAAAAACTACGTCGGATGGCCGAGCGGACCTCACCCTCGCCGTCGCCCTTGCGAAAATCGAGAGCGATGAATAGTACAAGAACCTTATCGAATGCCTTATCGCTGGGGAACGAGATTGATGACGAAGGGGACGAAGACGAGGAGACTCTTCAGCTTAAATTACAGGAGATCCAGGCTCGGTTAAAGCTGAAGAAACTACAAAGGGATAAGTCGCAGGCCCGGTCGTCGGCAAGCGGGAGCACGGCGACGACGTCGAGCCTGGGTTCGGCGCCACCACTCGCGAAGGGCGATGCACCGGGGACCAAGGCAGGGCCGAAACCAGGCGACACCGATCAGCGACCATCCGTACCCACCGTTATACCTGCCTCTCCAGTTCGCAGAGTCCAGCCGCCATCCGCGCAAACATCACCGAGCCGAGTACTCTTAGGTATCGACAAGGGTCTCAGGGCGAAGGATGTTTCGTTGAAGCGGGCGCCGAGCTTGCGACGGCCTACCGAAAATCAAGCGGCTGGGAATAAATATCTGAGAACCTCGAAGACGAACCATCACGACTCTTCACAGTCTTCCGTTGAAGCGCCTCGTCCTATGAGCTTTAATGAAAGACTTGCTGCTGCAAGAGGAGAGGAGGAAGAACGCCGGGAACGTCAGGAGAGGATAAGGAATATTCGGACGAACGCTTTCGGGATATCGAAAGACGAAATGGACAAGTACAAGTCGGCCGCAGTGAGCATTCCCGACGAGGAATTACGTCCCCCGGAGTTCTCGCGCACCGATATCTTAGGTGCACAGTCTAACCTGGCCGGAGGCTTGAGGAGAAGCAACACTACATCAGGCGTCTCTTCACAGAGAGAGCAACAACTACAGTCTGGAGTGGCTAACGAGAACATGGCTGGAAACAAGCCAGAAGAACCCAAAGAATCCGAAAGCGCCTCGTTCGAAGTGTATTCGTCCTTTCACCTCTCCAAACGAATTGTACCCCACCCAACTCTCGCGCGGCACCTCAAAGGGAAGGCGATGTTTGGGATTAAGGACTTACTGAAGCAGGTCAAGTCTCCCGATTATGAGCTGCCGGATCTCGAAGAGGATATTGTCGTCTTCGCAATAGTTGCTAGCAAATCGGAACCTCGATCCCACAAAGCCCCGGAAAATGGTGGAACGAAGAACCCCGAGCGGACGAAATACATGGTCGTCACAGTCGTCGATCTCCAATGGGAACTTGAGCTATTCCTATTCAACTCGGGATTTACTCGGTTCTGGAAAATCCCTGAAGGAACCGTGATTGCCATACTAAACCCCACCATCATGCCACCGCCCGCGTCCCGAGCGCATTCGGGCAAATTCAGTCTCGTCATCAACTCGGACGCCGACACGATTATCGAGATCGGAACAGCGAGGGACTTGGGCTTTTGCAAATCTATGAAGAAGGACGGAAAGCTCTGCAACTCGTGGGTGAATAAGAAGCGGACGGAATTCTGCGAGTTTCACTCCAACGAGATTGTAAGGAAGGCTCGCTCGACGAGGATCGAGCTTAACCAGATGGGCTTTGGGAGCGAGTACAGGAAGAAACCGACGGCTAGGAAGAATTTCGATCCGATGGCGATGTCGAACGGGCGTGGAGCGTACGATCGCGAGACGCACAGTCATTGGTATGCGACCAAGTCGATGAGCGCAGCGGATCTTATCGATGGCGCGGCGGATAGGAAGGAGCGCGAGGAGGCGTTGAAGCGTAGGCTGATCGCTAGGGAGAAGGAACAGCAGATTATGAAGGCGCTTAGCAAGACCGGGAGTGGGACGGGCCAGGAATACATGCGCACCGCGGGACGTAAGGCTGGAGCTATATCGTCGTCATCGGCGGCGACCTCGGCGTGCTCGACCCAACAATCCGCACAAGAAACGAAACCCCCCGATGCGAGAGAGCTCGGCCTCCTCGCGCCAAAGGGCGCCGAGACGTCCATACGGCTAAGCCCCATAAAACGGAAGCGGACAGATAGTTCCCTGTCCTCGCGATCAGGTGGTGGGACTGTGTCGGCGCTCGGGTGGGGTACTTCGTTAAAGGACAAGCTGGCGCGGATGAAGGAAGGCGAGAAGCTCGTGCGGGAAGAGCCGCAATCCCCCGTGAAGAAGAAGACGCGTTTCATCACGGAGAAGGGGATACGCGAGGCGGGGAGGGAGAGTCTCGGGGAGGAGCTGATGAGTCGGCAGGTGGTCTTGGATGATGATGACGATGACGAGTTGGTGATCCTTAGGTGAAGAAGTGGTGAAGAAGAATACTCGGGCGTTTTCCTCAGCGCCCTCCTTGCTTTCTCTTTTGTTTTATTTTGTGTATACCTCGGTTTGGCTGGTGCATAGGGCTCGGTTTTTGCCTGTGTGAGTTTGTGTAGAAATACCCCTTGAGAAAGAATCGCTGATGAATTCAGAAGACAGGCAAGCAGACCTGCATTTTCACTTGTGTCTTGAACGATCATATATATATCAGTGCCTCATATCGACACAGAACTTGAGACGAGTATATTTCGCACAAGTGAAACTCATGAAACCAATACCTTTTTCCCATTCCCACCCCGATACTCCCAAATCAAAAGTCCTACCCGTCCTATATGCCTATCCCATGGCTCAGCCTTCTCTCTCTCTCTCTCTCTCTCTCTCCCCCTCCCCCTCCCCAACGCCCGAACCAACCATTCCACATCCATTTCTCAAGAAAGATAAACAGCCACATACTCCACCTCCAAAGCAGCCCCCGCCCCACCCCTTGTCCTCGAGTCAGGCGTCCTCCTCCCGGCAAGTGCATCAGGGAACGCTCCCCCCACAGCAACATTCACCAGCAAAAACTTGCTCTCATGCGCCAGCGCCGTCCAAGCCGCCAAATTCCCAACCCTATCCCCCGTGATCCTAAACGTCTCCTCACCATCCACGGCCCAGGAGATGGATTCCTCGCGCCAGGAAGTAGCGCGGCGGTCTACATCAACGGAAACGACGTGGAACTTGCCGTCCCTGGGAAAGGACGCGCGGGAGCCTATGCCGTCTGGTTCGTTGCAGGGGCCTTGGGGGTTCGTACCGCAGTGGACCGTGTGCCAGGTGGCATTGGCGCCGTTGGGGGATTCGAGGATGTCGATCTCCCCGACGGAGGGCCAGTTCGTGTAGACGTCACGATAGGCTGATCCGAGAGCCCAGAAGGCGGGCCAGATCCCCGACTGGAGCGCGGCAGGGTCGGCGCCGAGGCGGAGGTTGGCGGAGATGCGGAGGCGGGAGGAGGCGGGGCAGGAGATGTCGTGGCGGGGGTGGGTGCGGATGCGTGCGGAGGTCCAGGTTCGCGCGGTGGTTGTGCCGTTGGGCGGTAGGGGCGTTATGATGAGGGTGTTGTTCCGGATGGAGATGTTGGATGTGGAGTTTGTGTAGGTTTGGATTTCGTTGGTGCCCCATTGGGGAGGGCCCGAGGGGTAGGAGGTTCCGAGGTCGAGGATCCAGGAGGAGTTGGGGGCTGTGAGGGCTGTTGGGGAAGTGAAGTTGGAGTAGAAGAGGGTGGTTTGGTAGCCTTCGGGAGGAGATGGGATGGCGGCAGCGAGGATGCCCGGGAGGAGGAGGAGGGTGGGAAGGATCATCGTGGAGGATGTTAGTGATGCTGGATGAGTAGAAGCTAAGGAAGGAAGGTTGGAAACCAAATGGAAGGAGGATGAGAGTGTGCAAAGAGGATCTAATCGCTTTGGTATAAGAGGTGTAACGAGGGCTGATATCGTGGCGCTTGTCGATGCGATCTCAAGCTCACCACCAACGACGAAACGGATATATTTATATCCCGTTTGTATCCCGACTCTTGGAAACCAGCCTTTGTATATCCCAGCCGTGATGGATCAGAGCAAGAACACAATCAATATTGCCTCTTTGTGGCATCCCACTCGAACGACTTCAATGTCCCTCACGGCATGGACAAAGAAGACCAAGGACAATCCCCTTCAAACGAGGGTGGGGTCCTCGTTTCTTTTCAATCCTATTGATATATATATATACCGAGATATATACCACTTGGCCAGCTCATTGTCAAATATCCTCCTTCGTGCTCTCCCACGAGAACAGAAAGCGAACGAAACGCGACGTGGAGTCCGGAAAATGAGCAAACCAGCCCACCATTCTCACTCCCGGCGAAACGTATGGCAATATTCACAATTCAATGCCCTCATGCGGCACAGTGCTACTCATATAGCTGTCAAGCCATCCCCATTAACGGATATATTAAGATCGACCTGCACCCGGGAAAGGTTGGGCATTTCCAGCCCGCCTCCGCGCCGTCTGGTTTATAGGGACACTTTATATTTCATTATCCCGCTGACCATAATCTTCATGCCATTCCTGGTATCTCCATAAATGCAACAGGTGTTCGCCTTGCTGTCCTGCCACCCTTTGCTTTTCTGAAATTGAACGGATTATCCTCTGTCGTCCTAGTTCGCCGACCTCTTTTCGGATAAATAATGACTGAATCTGATGAAGAGAAACCTAGAGAGGAGCATGACATAACTTCGTAATCGCTTTCTCTCATGAGCGACGCTTGGTGTCGCCTAGAGAATAGGTACACGGTGGTAATACATGGAAGGTCCACGTAGGATCATCCGTATCCATATCACCAAGGCAGATCCGATCGTGAGAGGTTGTTCTCGTTTGGGAATGACAGAATCTGGGGCGACGCATGTAAGAAGGCGGACTGCAGCGAGCAAACTTCCCCCAGACGCAACACATTCGCTAAATCGGGCATTGGTATTGCGCAACGATGATGGGCAACCCTCAACGTTGGCCGTTTGTGGCGGGTTGAGAGGATTCTCTCGTCCCCAGCTGGTTGAAACCATCATGTTTCGGATCGTTCGACCAACGAAAAGAACAAACTAGAAATAAAGTTGATAAGTGAATACGATCCTTTTTCCTACCCAAAACCAACCATCATTGAGCCCGCTACTAAAAGAGAAACCCGAAAAGAAGAAGACGAGAAACAGAGCTGCTGCCGCCCAGGTCTATTCATGTTGGCATTGTAATGCAATGTCGAAAACCACATGCGGACATCAAAAGAAAAAAAAAATAACTCTCCTCTCCCTTGAAGGTGCCAGTCTGCCGTTCCAATCCCCCTATTCATTCGTAAATCCACTTCTTTTTTCCCAGGCATAACATCATAAACGTGCAGCGATGTAGAAAAAGAAAACATTCCATCGTAAAAGAAAAAGAATCTAGATAATCCATCCGCTCAGGGTATCATCCGCGTCGATCAACACCTGGATGTCCTACTCCTCTTCTTCCCCACCAATTAGAAGTGTAACGAGAGGATCCCTTATCCTCCCCTTTCCCCCGAGAACAGCCAGCCACCCAACGCAAGACCTCTTAAGCAACTCGCCATAGAAGCTTTTGTTGCTATTATCAAAAGTGCCAGCTCTAGGATGCTAATGACTCCAGCCCCGAATGTCATCCAGCAGTATTGTCGTACATATCATCGTCGCTGCTCTCGCTCTCACTTCTCGGGCTCACAGCCTCGCTCGCTTCAGTCGACGGGAGTCCGCTGAATCCCTCCGGAGAGAACCAGTCTCGAGGCCGGGACGGACCGCTCGTAGAAAGGGGCGCAATGCTATTGAGCCCCGCGATATCGGACACGCTGCCGCTCCGGCTTAGAGTTGGCTTCTCCGGAAGCTTCTTCAGCAACCCCGTGCTGATGTCTAACATGGTCATGGCGAACTCCGTCAAACCCCTAGACCCGCCTGGCTTGGAGCTCACGCTCAACGTCCACCTATATTCTCCAAGACGCCGCCGGTACCATTCTGCCTCCTCCTGACCGGGACTCGTGGCCCACAGGAGGGACCCAAACGTTCCTATCAGTGCAAAATTCGTCTTGGACGCGAAGTACCAGAACGCTCGGAGGTGGTTCGGCGAGAGACGGTTCACAAAGTCCATGGCTGAGATCAGTCGAGCCTTAGCTGCATTGCGGCAGATGTGCTGGAGATAAGGGTCAACCGTTCCGCCGGACTCTCCTGCCGAGAGCGACCGAATGATGCGCCGATGGAGTGTAATTTCCGTCGCAAAATACGCCAGGTGGAGATATCCCACGCTCGATAGCCGCCCGCTGGGGACTCCCTTGGCCGAGTAAGACGAGTCCATACGAAGCACCGGGGGCAGGGCCGAAAACCATTCCTTCAGCTTCAGCTGCACGGGTTTGGCGAGGGATAACACCATATGGGTACCTTGAGAACCCGCGTCGGCCACCGTCTGCATCGCCTGGATGGTGAAAAAGGTGTCGAGGATCTCCGCGAGAATCTGGGAAAGCCGTACCATACCAAGAAAAATCAGGCGGCCCGCTTCTACCTCACGCCTGTCCTCTATATCGTCCTCGTCCCAGTCAACATCCGGAAAATCGTGTTCTGTTAATTGCTGCACAGCCCAGTTCGATGGAAAGATATGAGACGGCCGTCCGTGAACCAAAGCGCCCCATTTATCCTGCATGTACAAGGCCCATGCCAACCGCTTCCGGAGACCCTTCTCCCACGGAGGAATCTTCCAGGTCGAGCAGTCGAGATGCAGTCCCAATTCCTGGGAGATGGCCACTAGCTGAGCCGTCGGTGCCCACTGATCGCCCTCCGGTCGTTGCGACAGCAGCAATCCCGCTTGAACAGTCGATAGCTTCGGTCGGTACATCGCGTCGGCAAGAGTAGATCGCATAAGCCTCTCGAGCGATCTTATGTCTGGTCGCGGGAACGGAGCCAATTCCACAGAATGGTGCCACCAGTTGACAGCAAGCAGATATACAGCAGCGAGAAGAGGCGGAGAAAACTCCCGGTAGGATCGTTCGTACTTTTCCAAAAACACGCCCTTCTGGATGATGGGAAACGCTGGATGGACGACCCTAAAGTAGAGATCAATAAGTTTCCTGCCGTTAGGTGCGACTATCTTCTCGATTTCGTCCACATCCTGGAGCATGTGTTCGTAGCCAGGAGTGCTGTGATCCGGCAGCATCAAAAAGGTATCATTTTCGCCGACTTTTCGCAGCGTTCCTCTCGAGAGAAGACTTTCGTCGTCGGGATTGAAGGGCGAGAGGTTGATGAGGGACGGTTCGAAGTCGGTCGTGGGCCCAATGTACTGACTATACCGGTCGTTCTGCATACCCAGCGTCCGCTTCAGCAGGGTGGGGCCTCCGACGTTGGCCATTTCTTCGATGAGTGAGGCGCTCGTGGATGGCGAAGATAGTGCGGAGGCCGTCTGCTGGCGCCTTCTCCTGCTGTCTTGAACCAGTGGCGAGCTGCATTGCAGACCGTTTGTTAGTTCTCGTCGTCGGGCGCCAGGAGCATGCTTTATGTCGGCAGCAGCACGACGATGGCGAGGGGAAGGAGGATCCAGCGTGGCAGGAGAGTGACAATGGTGACAGGTGGCAGTGGGGGATCGAGGAGGTATCTTCATGGCTGTTTACGCTCGTGAGGCATAAAACATGCCCGGTGGAATGGGGGATGCATACGATCGTGCGCGTGGGAGATGAGATTTGTATGAATTGTACATGTAGAATGATACATATATATGCAAGGAGACTGGAAAAGGGAAGAGCAAGCACGAGGTGGGACGTTTCGAATACTCATGATACGAAACAATGAGGGAAAGATAGGGAGCCGTTGTTCAGACTGATAGGCGATAAAGCCCCAAGACTCACCTGCGTCGCTGTGTCAGACCGTTCGGACCGACAGCTCCCTTCGTTAATTTACGTTTCCTAGGTCGCGGGCTAACGACCAGCGAGCACTCTGAACCGCTTCTCTGGCAGGGAATGCAACCGTCGTCTTCGTCACTAGCAGTGGTGCACTTGAGGCGAAGCCTTCGACAAGAGTCGCAAGGAATCGGAGGGGAGCTAGCGAGGGAGTGGGGCGCAGACGCGTCAAGCGATGACATGCTACTCTTAGCAACATCAAACTTGTTGTTTCCGTCTAGTTGATGTTTCTGGCGGCGCCCAGCGGACCCGGATAAGGGTGCGGAAGTAGATACGGCGGCGGCGGCGGTAACAGGGGCAGCCGGCTTGGGGGCGATGGCGATTGGAGCCGTCCTGGGGATGGCGGGGGAGTTGGACATGGTGGGCAAGGGCCCAATCTAAGGCAGGAGGGATATGCGACGATCCGACCGGGTCTAAGTCAAGAATATCGAAGGCTATTTGCTGGCCGTCCGGTAATGGGATGGTGAGGGGCCGAGCTTGCGGGCGCTGGAGCTCGACAGGTGCAGGAAGGGATAAGCAAAGAAACCTTGACCGGAGGTTGTAGGTAAGTAAATTTTGTCACCACCTTGTATAAAGATAGGGGACCAGATTGGTCCATGGGCTAATCAGCCCAAAACGGGCTATCTCTTACAAGATACAGACGTAGCAAGGAAGGTGACGAAAGACGTCTTCCCTTCCTTTGCTACTCAGAAAGAGCTGGCTATAATAAGTAGCGCGGAGTTTTGGCAGGAAATGCTACAACCACGGTGTAGGGTCCCCGAAAATGGTAATTAGAGATGTGCGCGTTAATCCCATGCCCATGGGGTATGGGTTTTTTTAAGAGGAGAGGGTATAGACGGGAAACCCAACCCTGTTGCTCGGAACAGAGAAGTCTGGTGGACCCACTAGTCCAACCGAGCGCGGCTCCCGAAAGAAGCTCTTCTTGTTTCCGGAGCTAGGGTGATGTAATTGTGTTGATATCTCAGTGGGAGAAAGGGAAAATGACAAGAGTCCCGTTCCCTACCTGGCCAGCTGATACAACAGAGAGGTAGGGTATAGGGCCAGGTGTAGTAGGAGAGTAGTGGGTTGGCTCGGAAGAGGAATGGGAGGTATACTCCACCAAAGGCAAGTTAGGGCCTTCTTTTCTCTCTTCCTCTCTTCTTCTGTTCTTCTTCCTCGTCTTCTTCGTCCTCTTCCTCTTTTGCAAATGCTGGCCCAATACACAGGTATGACCAGTCAACAGGCATCCCACGCCCGTCAATACTGATGGGGAAACGGGAAAAAGGATTCAAGTTTCCAATTCAAGTTTATTAAAATGGGGTCTTAACGACACAAGGTAGAGGTTCCCCCGTGAAGAGGGGTAGGCTGCCTTCCCAACTGTTAACGCAGGAACAAGGCGTTACACGCGCAGCGGAGGAAGACACGGCACCGAGGCTCTCCGAGGATGCGGAACGACTCGCGTCAGTTAGCGCAGACTCAATTCGAGATAAGAGCTTCAGGGGTGTCTGATAAGACCGAGGTGCTAGTTGGAGGGAGGAGGGAGGAGGGTGGTGTTAGGCCTGGGAAGAGCAGGCTATTGTGGACCGGTGATGTATATTCCCATGCGACGTGGTTACTCGTGATAGATGGTCGAGAAAAGCAAGCGCTCTTAGGCCCGTATCGATCCGAGGGGTGTGTGTGTGTGAAGATGATGGTGGTTTGGGCGTATCTAAGAGTCGCCTTATGCCGGTGTGTCCTGCGGGCCTATGAGACCAGGGGGGCCAGATCGGATCAACGAGACATTGGGGTCTCCAAAGGGATCGTCCAATATCGGAGAGAGAAAGGATCGATGATGGAGATGACGTGCGGATAGTTTGAGCAAGTGTTGGGGAAAAGACGAGAAAGGACAAAAGTCAAAAAGTTGATGGGAAGACGACAACGAAAGGGGGGCGTGTGTTTAAGTGATAACAACGGAAGAGTGAGAGATAAGATTGCCTTATCTCAGGGATGGCGGCTGGTGTTGAGATAAAAGAATGAGAAAATGGAAAACCGGCGCAGAGTGCAGATTCGGGAAAAAGTATTTGTACAAAGTTGAAAGAGGAATGAAGAGTCCCAGAAACGCTAGAGGGACCTTGGATTATTATTCAAACGCTTTCGACTGGCGGACCCCATTCAAGTGTCGAGAGAGAGTCAATGAGTCGAGGTTTGTACAGGTCAAGTTACTAAATCATAACCATTTGATCAAAATCCATCTAGTGCCGGCATTTACACTCCTTCATACGGGTGTGCCTGTCCGGATTAGGTAGTGGGATGGGAGAGCCAGGAGCAGGAAGAGGCATCTGCGAGAATGGGAGGAGGAGAGGGGGAAAGAAAAGGTGAGGCAAAAGAAAGAGTGATGTGGCTTCGAAGACTGAAGGAGAAAAGGAAGAAAATAAAAGTTAGTCTAGTGCAGTGTGCCGTGGAGCATGGAGCATCCAGGATGGCAGGGGGTGACACGCAAACGGCGCAAGGCAATCCGATCGAGTCTAGTGCGGTGTAGGTTTAAGGGCGCAAAATATAAAAATAAAATAAAATATAAAATAAAAATAAAAAAGCGACGGGATTTAGAAATCCGGGGTTCTGCGGCCTTCTCCAGTTTTGGTGAAGAAGCCAGCAAGAGTGAATGTGATGTGGTGTGCCAGGGAGTCTGAGAAGGAGAGTTGAGTGAGGTAAGGTGAGGTGTGGTGGTTGTCCCTGGGCTGGTTGGTGTGGGTGTACGAAGTACATGGCTAGTACCAGCCAGCCGGGATAATGTTCTTGGACTTCCATCGCAGATTATTGTATTCCTGTACTTGTACACTACACTGCTTCGTACGGAGTACACTATTGCACACTAATCCTCGGGGTTTGTGGGCCGGCAATGGGGAGACTTTTTGATCTTGGCCTTTGCTGGGTGGGTTTGGGATTTCAGTTACGGCATCAGAACGGCGAGTGGAGGGCTGGAGGATGGACAAGCCAAGAGGCTCCTCCCTCTTAAGGTTCAATGTTCCAATGTCCATCCATCTAGCCCATCATCAGTCATCTAAAGTCAGCGACTCGGCATCACCAATTCTGGCCATTAGGTCGGTCAATGAATTGATGAATGTACCAGTACACCTGGCTTCTCGAGGTTGTTTCCTTGCGCCTGGCCTGTAACTGGCGGCAGGAGCGCTTCATGAGTCTTTCCAAGGCAGTGTAAGTCGCTAACAAGTTAGATACAATTGTATGAACTACGAAGCAGGAGGATCAGAAACCACACTGCAGCGAACTCGAGACACGTGCCAAGCCATCAATCCGTCTTCCTCAGTACGAAGTACTTGGTGCAATTACGTAGTGGATGGGATCAGATTTGATTGATACAACCCGCACCTTCTTCCTTTGTGTGACCACTGACCAGCTCCAAGCTGTGAGCCTGTGTGATGTACGCGGGCAAAACATCCAATTTACAAATTTACATTGAGCTTTGCGGAAGGAGCAGGAAACCAGGTCGTCCTCGTTTCGTTCCTTCAGGTCAGGTTCATTCCTTCTCTGCTAATTGGTAGACTTCGGTCATCGACATCAACTGGAAGGTACGATCGTGTTAGTGGAGGCAGCCAGATTGGGTGTCTAGAACTGCCGTTAACAGTCTAGATTGGAGGCTAACGTGCGACACACGACACTAGTCCGCCGGATTTCTCGGTCGCCCGTATCAAATTGCGGCGGGGAAGCCTACGGCATGCGACAGTCCATAGCCCCACGATCGTCGAGGACAACATGACAATGACCTTATTACGGATCTGGCCAGACGCAGGGTCCCGGTAGGCTAATGAAAAATATCAGAGAGAGACGGGCTGACACGGACTGTGATACTTGGAAAAGCGTAGCAGGAAACCACCCAATCACGTCGTCACTTTTTTGATTGTAAATGGTTTATCTTTCTCCCCCTTAACATTTCCCCTCTTGCAGCCACACATACTTCGTAAAAATCGAAATTGAAGAATAAACCTGCATGTTGGGAGGAACATAAAAGTGGAGGGAGCGAAAAGAGCCAACGCACCCCAGCTTCCGATATTTCCCGAAATGTGTAACGATTGCACTGAATCCTGGGGTCCAAGGGAAAGAGATGAGAAAAAAAAAAGACGCTGTTACGGTAAAACGGGAAAAAAAAAAAAGAGGGTCTCCACCAAAAGAAGAACTCCAGGCACTATGAAGCACTCTAAGAGTAGGGAACCTTCTTATCTCTGGATATCTCCGCTTGTTTTCTGGAGATTAAAATACATAATGACTGAGATAGGAAAGCGGGAGACCTTGGAGCATGGCATTGAGCGCCAAGCACGACGCCGACATGCAAGCATTGGTGGAGTGTACAGGTGCAAAGGGCCGAGAACGGGCACGACGAAGTCGTACCCTCCGTCGCTTTGTGTGTTTGATGATATAAACTTGCTTGGCCGACTAATCAGAGTCGAATGCGTCGATGCGGGAGTTCAGCAGAGCCAATGACAGCCACCGACCAAGATACGAGTCTGTTCTTGAGAGGCAGGACAAAGACTGAGCTAATCTCGAAGTACACCGCTCAAGTGAATTGGCAAATTAGCGACTTCCGGTCGATGACAAGTTAACCTGACGAGACTACTGTGGAAGGACCTTGCACGGTTGATGACGTAGTTGCTTTTTTCTTAGGTAGGCGCAGGGCATGCGAGGACAACTACCCTCTTCAGACGGAGAAAACGTGCCTGATGGGGACGTTGGGGTATGGCGGGGTTGATTCCCGCCAGTTCAAAGTTGCAATTGATGCCACACCACACACCCGGTTTCTGGAAATCTCCAACAAGCAGCGATGAACATACTTCGTCGGAAGATGAGAACCCAAAGCATCATCTCCATTGACCTATATACCTACCGAGGCAGAGCCACCTACATTGCATTGCACCGCCATTCCAGTGGCTCGTTGCAGGAATCAAGATTGTCGATAATCTCAAGCGTTCGAGTCGCAGACCAGGGACGGCACAGGACTGAACAAATCAGAGCAAGGGTTACCTCAGCCCCGACATCATTGTCTTCATCAAGAGGGACGAGTTGTTTCGCCATGCTTGAGCGACCTCGGACCAAGCAATTGAAGCTAAGTTTACCTACTCAGGTAAGAGCTAGTTCCAGGACAAGATTACCACGACAGTACAAAGTACGGGGATTCGGTCGAATAGCCCACCGAGCACACCTTGGGTTACGGATGTACCTTCCTTCAATGCCATCTTGATTTTTCCGCTTTCGGTCTCTGGGGGGACGACATACAAAGTAGGACGGCGCCTCGAAGCCTCAATCGAACACTTCACTTTTGCCCAGAGTTGTGCGACTCCTTCTGCCGCACCACATCACTCCGACGGGCGCTCTGAGATCTCTTGATCCTCTTCTTATGTCTGCTGATAACGGCGATAAAGAAAAATGCGTTTGTTCCAGAAGCAAGCAGATTATGATCCACGCACTGTCATCCTTTTCCCTTTTCGCTTATCCACCGCCTGTTAGTCGTACCCGCAAATGCTCGAGGCTGGTTACACGGCACCCTCACTATCAACGCCCGAGAGCCAATCCAGAATATCTTATTACGCGAAAAAGCTGGAGCTCGGGTCAAAGCCACCTATGGAGCCCCGTGGGGGAACCACACACCACTACCCCTCAAACTGACCTATCCCCTCCAGGGCCTCCATCTCTCCGACCATTTACCGTATACTACCTGCCGGTCTGTCGAAATTCTTCCCACCTTACCTGCAGCATCCGGGAACTTTAGGAAAGTAACCAAACCGGCAAGCTGGCGCGAGACCATTGCATGCGATTTGTGCTTCAAAGGGTCGTGGCGTTCTTAGCCACCGAAGTCGGGCCACGCTGGTCAGACTAAATTATAATCGTAGCTCGCCGTCGAGAATCTGTGAATTGGGTTTGCATTGGGCCGCCGAAATCTGAAGATATGGTGAACATGCTGTAAGTCTGTCGATTTTGACCGAACCATTTTGCTGCTAAGCCTCGAGTATTAGAATTCTTATGTCACGTAGCGGGGCTGCTCCTGGGCTAAACACCCCCCCAAACTTGAGCCGCGCATCACAATGGATCGTGCCGTTGAATCAACATTTCGGCGTTGTATATATTTGAGAGTAGTAGCTTGCTTCGTAGATGACCTGAGTAACGTCAATCCGTGAGGTCTAACTCTTCCCGCGTAAAACAAACGTCGAGATATCGATGCTATGATTCACATTATTACTCTAGTCCACGCTTTCGTTGAGCTTAGCTTGGTTCGACAGCATTGGACAATTGAAGAGGCCTCGGCAGAGCTGTTGGCATCTTTGCCGGGCGACCTCATCTCTATAACGTTATCATCGAGCCTCACAGTGAGGTTAAGCTGTTCTTCATATGAAATCAAATGCCTCATAGCGCCTATTGCCTCCTCGAAGGCATAGAGCAGCGGTAAGAGGCAAACCATGCCTGGAGCTTCACTACTATAGCCTCGCGGCATGTAGTGCGGCATTTTGGTATGTAGAGCAGGCGCCTCACGGAGTAAACTAGTAGGAACGAAGCGTGCGATATCTTTCGTCGCGGTTACCACGACTTCGTGTAGGGTAAGTTGAGCAGGAGGAAGGGATATTGCTGATCTTGGAAGTATTTCATCTTCAGAGGAAACGGGTAATGAAGCTAGCATGGCGGGAACATCAAACTTTTTGCTTCTTTCCTACGCTAGACGTCTGTGAACATACCGCCTCAGTTTAAATGAAATAAATGTTGTTGAAAAGCATGCCGTATGAGATGCGGTATCGCTTTACCCAAACCCCGTGCGTCCTTGTGCTATATATATATATATATATATATATATCAAAATTTAGCTCTGGATTCTCAACGACTCGTGGGAGCTCAGATGGTCGAGCGGTGACGCACTGCCTAGAAACTACTTTCGCAAGGCGCCGGCGTGGAACCCGGTCTGGTCGCGGAGGAAATGGGAATTGGGGAGGGAGAAGTGGGAAAGTGGGAATTCTTTTTTTTTTTTTTTTTTTTTTTTTTTTTTTTTGGCTAGATCATCTTCGTATATTTTCTTTTTCTTCTTCTCCTCGAGAGGCCTTCTCGTGGGGGCCTGTTCAAGTTGTGAGGCGTTTCGAGGCACTCGGTGATGCTTAGGGTGAAGCTGAGGAAGGAGAATGTTAGCGAGACTGTCTGTTCGAAACGAGGCCTGTGGGGAGGCACTTGTTTTCCTTCTGCAATATCACATGGGAGAACCAAACAATGCGACGCCTCTGCTCATCAAATATATTATTATCTGGGCCCATGACATGGGAGAATCGAACAGTAATATTAGGAAGGGATATCAGCAAAAAAGCAAAAAGCATCAAGATTTCCCCACTACAACCCAGGCAGCGCGACTCATCCATTTCTCTCGGACTCCCGTAGAAAAACCACCTACTCTCAGCCCCCGGTTCCACCACATCTCACACTCGGAGCTTAACGCCGGGGATATCCGCATATCGGTTTCGGCGTCCGCACTTCTTCCGGAGCGGCGCCGGCTTGGCGCGGACAGGCGTGTGACGGCTCTCGCCGTACTGGGGGAACACGTCGGGGCTGGAGTCGAGGGTGACGTCGATGTCGACGAGGTCGATTTCGAATTCGCTGTCGTACTGTTCGTAGGGGATGGCGGTTCCGTTGGGCTACAGAACACTAGGTTAGCTGTTTTCAACACTCTTACAGACACAGTGTGTATTTTCGACTTACGTGCAGGATCTCGACGTGGACGTTCTCTCCCAAGATAGAAACGGCCTGGATGCCCGTCTTCGCGATCGCACCAAGGCCAATGGCCTGGACAAGACCCTCGAGGGGAATCTCACCCTCGACGATTCCTCCGCCGTGGGGCGCCGTCAGGATATCGAAACTGCCGGCTACTTTTCCTCCGATGTAGACGTTGATCTCGCAGGGCGTTGGGATGTGGCTTCCGTTGACGCGAATATTGGCGAAGAATTCGACATCCAGGAGGTCGTTTACCAAGTCCACCTCGTCGTCGACAGCGTTTTCCACTGTGTCGACAACCTCGTCGACAATATCGTCTACGTACTCGAGGGCCCTGCGAGTCTTGGGCTTGGGGGCGGCAGGCCCATAGAGCTTGTTGACGGTGGCCTTCATGGCGTTACGGCGGGAGGTAGTGCTCTTGACGCCCTTGGGGATCTCGGGATAGGTGTAGCCGAAAGTAGAGATGTCTTGGACGTGCGCGCTGGTGTGTACTTTGTTGCCGGGGCCGTAGAAGGGGAGCATAGGGGAGGTGTTGGAGATGGTGGTGCCGCGGGGGATGGCGAAGGTGCCGCCGGATTTGTAGGGAGGGGAGAGGGCTTTCTGGTTGGGGTAGAGTTCTTCCCACATGGCCCAGAGGCGGTCGACGTTGGCGTGATGGAGCATGCTGTTGGAAGGGTTAGCAAGAGAGAATCCTATAGGGTTGACTAAGAAGGGGGAGAGGGGCGTACAAGAGAGGATCGAAGGCGGAATCCGAAGTGTAGGCAAAGTTGTTTCCACAAGCAGCTCGAACGTGGATGGAGTTATGGGGCTGCTCAAAGGACATTACTACGCCGTCACTTCCTACTGAGGCAACCTTGGCAAACGTATCGCTTCGAGTGAATGCGTCATACTAATGAGTTTTTCCAAACCATTAGCTCTGGGAAACTGCCCCCTCAGGAGAGAATAGGGTCGGTCCAAATACTTACGACGAGACCTTTAAAGTTCACGCCTGCCATGCGGGCATTCGCCTCTGCGGCGGAGCACCTCACTGTCTTGGTAGCGTCACGGTTACCAGTTATCGAACCATACTTTCCGTCGACAGCTTCCTTGGGGAAGTTGTAGCTGTACAGGGGATTCCGGATCGTCTTCTTGCCCTTGGGCGTGTCGACTTGGATCTGGGCCTGGCCGACGGACGGGGGAATAGTGGCATCATCGGCCCAGTCCCAGTAGGGAATGCGGAGGGTTTGGGCGGCAGAGCGGTATTTGGCCCTGACGTTGGCCGGGTACTCTTCGGCGAGGGTGAGGGCGTGTTGGACGAGTACTTGCTAATGGGGTTGTGAGTGGAAACGTTGGGAGTAGTCAGTTGAGAGCAGGAAGGGGCACCAACCTCGAAGAGTGCTAGGTATGAGCGATGCCACGGCAGGAAAAGGTTTTCCTATTTCTAACGTTAGATGAACCTCCTGTCAAGCGGCCGGGCCTGGGAGCTTTTCCGTACCGCGTGAGGGCAGTATCCATTGGGCCCAACAGATTTGCCGTCACCATCCCACGGTATCAAGGGGCGTCCATGAATACCTGTTCATGAGATATATCAGTAGCCGTGTTGGATGTTCTGCAAAGTTGTCTTACCGGCGATTTGGAAGTACGACGAAGCATCAGACGACTTCGCCTCTTGCATAGCGGCAAGGGCTCTCACGTAGAGTGTCCTACGAAGGGTGGTCAGTTCAGAACTTGAGCAGGGTTCCTTTCTTCTCTCATATAACCCAAAAGAGCATCTTACCATGCCGGACCTCCCTGCTTATGCAGAGTATTAATATTGAGCCTAGGAGGCGCCTCGCCGCTAGCGGAGTTGATGCCGGTAGTTGCGCCTGTGATAGAGATCCTCGCCGAGGTGAGAGACGCCAGGCAGAGCGTTAGAAGGGGAATGAGCTTTTGTGGAGACCACATGGTGACCCGCTAGCAGCTGATTTACCAAAAAAAAAAAAAAAAAAAAAAAAAGATGGACTGAAGAAAAGAAGAAAAAAGGACACGGAAACGACTGAATATAGATCGGCGATGGAGACAGAGTTCAAACGAATGGCAGGAGCGATAGCATTAACGCTAACACTAACACGCTCAACGAAAGGGAAAAAACAAAGAAGGACAGAAGCAGGACTCAAGTCCCGAGTCTATATATTACCGCTCTCACCACTGCCCCTTTGAGCTTCGAAGACATACGAAAAGAGATGGATGATACATCCCTCTAAGAGGCTCCTCCCAGGGAAACAGAATGCAACGCTCCAAATTTGATCTGGACCACCGGACTCCCGTCCAAATCAATAATAGGTTCGGACCCGTGTACCAATGACGTGGGCCCATCAGCCACCTCCTCTCATATGAGCAAGCCAGCCCTGCCGGGAGTCGAGAGAGAGGCCGAAAACCCGCTAGGCCATTGGGTGAGATTCCCCGGGGTTCCTGCGTCCGTGTCAACCCTTCCATCTCCGTTGGCCATGCAGAGCGCTAAACACGAGACGAAGAGACGGCTTTCCCCGGGCAGGATGGAGGACTCCTGTGAGCATTTCCCTCTTAGGATGATGTTAAAGTCAATTGGAGAGTGGATCCCCCGCATAGGCCCCTTTGTTCCAATGTAAATCATTACCCTATTTATAGGACGACGAAAATCCTGGTCGAAGCTTACTTCGTACTGCATGTCCCTCCGCGAATCTCCGGGTCGGCATGAAGCAGAGTTTGCCCTACCGGTGCTGCTACCCTATTCGGAGATTTGAGGAAGATCAGAGACAGCTGTCCGGGCTAGGCTACTCACCCTCCAAGTCACGAGCGGAAGAAATAGCATGCTGATCTCAAGAAGTAGAGCGTGCGCAAAGCTGTTTGGCCGTTTCGAGAACACGGATTATTTCCTTAAAGAGTAGTTGGTCGATGAAGAGGCACGAAATCGAAATCCATTGGCGAGGAAAGGACACTACCTGCTTGTGGTGCCAACGCAAGTGGGAGCTAGTCTAGGCTAGTTCTCCTGAATTTCAAGAAAGAAGCAAGATCGGCATCTGGTCGTGGACAGGGACATGGGGGTCGTTGGCAACGTCGTATCAATGCTCAACGTTCAGGGTCCAGTCTCGGCCCCTAGCCCCTTGCCCCTTGCCCCTTGTACGGTAAGCTGCAGGAACAGCTCCTCAGGGGCCTCGTGCTCCGGGAGGCAGCATTCAGCTCGTCTAGAATGATGGCTCTCTCCAAAGAAGTACAATTGATGGTTTGATTCGTCGGCGGAGGCAGTAATTAAGTTTAGGTGGTACCTAAGAGGCCAAGCCCAACGTTGTCTTGCCTGATGACCATTGGAGAGGGCAAATTCCGAGAAACGCCAATCATCAGCCCAGTCCAACGAGGTTCTCACCAAACTGGGAGAGAGTCATTTGTATATGAAAATCTAAGAAGAAACACAGAATCAAATTAAGCCAAAGCCCACTGCCGACAGCGACACGATTCGGATGAGGAAGGCATAATAGGTAATCTTATTATTAGGCTATTAAATATAGCAAACCAAGTAATACAACGATTTTCCTCCCAGGAAATCAACGACGTTTTTGATCCTCAAGAGATATCTCGGGTGGTGTGGTCACCTCTGCTGCGGCTCTGTATAACACACGATTGGAAGGGGAGTGCAGAGTGAATGCCTTAAGCTGTGTTATGTTGACACGGTGGGTTTTTGGTCTGCTGTACGAAGTAGCCTCAGAAACCGCTCTTCTCGTCATTAGAGTTATCTCCGTTCATCTCGGTTCGCTGCGTTGATGACCCATCCTCTCCTTCAAGTTTGAGAATGCCATCGACCACCCGTTCGACAGTCAACGTAGCATCGTCGCGGCGCTAAGATTCGTCCATCAGCGATTTCCAACTCACGGCTAGGAAAGGGGGCATGAGGCGAACGTAACTGCCGAGGTCACGAAGAAGCAGTAGCATAGCAAACGCTGATGCCCGGCCGCGGCTGGCGGGCGCGCCCGATGGGCTGCGTGAATCGGATGAGGCTCGGGCGATGGGCGGGGGGTTCCGGGATAAGGGCATTACTCCTGCTTTTGACACGCCTGCTTTAGAAGAAGGGTTCGTGGATGTGGATGATGAAGAGTTTGCCCACTACCAAGAAGTCACAGCTGGAGCATCCCCAAAGAAAAGGGAACCCTCATATATCAACATGTGGATCGATGACACCTAAAGGGTCCGCGGGCCGACCCGAGCCTGAATGGATTTGTGCGAGTCAAATCTACGATAGAGGTGTTAACCAGTTAACATGTCCTGGAGGCGGCAACGGTCTGTTCTACCATATCCCAGTTTTGGAGATCGGGTTAGAAACTGCCTCGCACATTCGCAGACTCCTTAATTAGACACTCAGGGTATACGAAGTACAACCAGCTCATCTTTCTGGTGCTTGCTCTCGGTCATGCTAGGCTTGTTCCTCGCCATAGCTTACCATCCGGCTCCTCGAGGGTAACCACGGCTGCTCTCCGATCCATTACTACCCATCGAGGACGAGCTCCAGTTACTGCTGCCCTCTCCATCATCCGATTTTCCTGTTATGGGACCTCTTAGTCACGAGAGGATGACATGCATCTCGTGTGGGAGGCCCGGCGAACGCTCCTCGAGCCCCACGTCGCGGTTCTAGCTCGAGACGCACTTCCGGTTCCACGATATTTCGTGTGCTCGTGTTGCTGTTCTAGGGAATGTGTCCGAGAAATGGATTCCCGCGCCTTGGAACTCGTCCCACCAGGCACCGGAAAGCTTCGGAACTGCGCCGTGGATTGAGTGCCCCAAAAGATCCTATTGACCGACGTGTCTACTGCTCAGTTACGTTCTCCTCTGAAGCTCAATTCGCAGCCGCGCGGGTCATTTCAAAAGAATTCGACATCGTTCTCAGTAACAAACTATTGGAAGCGGACTGGAAGCTAAATGCTTGTCGTTGCTATGTCCTTTGGTGAGGCTGCATGAGCGGGTGGGTGGCTGCCGTCCAGTCTGAGGCGCACCGCCTGCCAGCCTGGCCGTGGATACCTTACGGCATTTCACCCCGCAATCAGGCCGCCTCATTTCCGATCAGCAACTTCGCCGCATATTCTTTCCCAGAAAGGCCGACCTTGAAACCAGTGTCTTCTTGGTAGTGCCTTTAGTCCTGTGGGCCCCGAATCCGGCTTACATCCGTCAAGCACTACCGGAATTTTCTATCTCTTCTCCTTGGCACTCCGATTGATCCAAGGTGATTGATCAAAGGTACCTCCAATGATAAAGAAACCCGGGTCTATCTCGCGGTTTTTCGGGAGGTGGTGGGAGACTACGCCGGGAGCCGATCAACCGGGAGGAACAAGCGACGGCCACCTTACCCTCCCGAATCTGGAATCACAATCCGAGACAGAGTACCCACCAAAGTCTCCGGGGTGCCCTCCGCCGGTCCTCTTCCCCGACGGTATTAAAGTGCTGCACGACCCTCCAGATGCCACGGTTGACATCTGTTTTGTCCACGGCCTGACAGGTGGCCGGGATAGCACCTGGACCGCCTATGGAGAGTCCACGCCCTGGCCAAAGAAGCTACTCCCGCCGAGGCTTAGCACCGCTCGCGTGCTTACTTATGGGTACGATGCATACGGAGTACGAACCTCGGTTGCATCATCAAATCGGCTGATAAATCATGCCGCGAACTTTCTAGCCGACTTGACGACGGACAGAGCGTCCGTGAATGCGTCATCTCGTCCTCTCATCTTCGTCGCACACAGCCTGGGCGGCATCGTCTGCAAGGAGGCCATCCTGCTCTCGCGAAACGACCCTGAAGCTCATATTCGAGATGTATTCAACTGCACCAAAGGCATCGTGTTCATGGGTACTCCTCACAAGGGGTCCTGGATGGCTGACTGGGCCAAGATGCCGGCTTCGGCTCTGGGGCTCATAATATCGACAAACAGGCCACTGTTGGAGATCTTAGAGACAGATAGCCAGTTCCTAGAGTCCATTCAAACGAGGTTTTGGTCGATGGTACGGGAACTCCGAGAAGCCGGAAGGCCTTTCGAGGTTACCTGCTTCTTTGAAGAACTACCTCTGCCCGTGGTCGGGGCAGTCGTGTCTAGGCAATCAGCCACTCTCGAGGGTTATAGATCACTCAGTATCCACGCCAACCATAGAGACATGGTCAGGTTTAGCTCCGCAGAAGATAATGGATTCAAACGGCTACTTGGCGAGCTGATTAGATGGACATCACAAATCAGGGATTCGGCCGCAAGTCAGGCTATACCATCTATTATAGGAGAAGTCAATAAGCCAGTCAACCCACCCCCCCACAACCACGATCTTGGGCCCCAATTCAACTGTTTTGGGGGCACCCAAAACAACAATACAGGCAGTGGTAACCAATTCTTGGGGGCAACTTTCACTGGAAATGTGTACTTTGGCAAGAGTCCGCCTTAGGCAGCAGGACTGGCCTTTTGTATGTTTCATCATAGTATTGGAAGAAAAGCTGGAGCGGAAGAGGAAGACCGACTCGCGACCATATGTCTCGTTCTCTGCTACTCTTCAACGTCGGGGAATACATTAAGTAACCTGAAGCACAAGGTAATGGGGCAAGAACCGTTCTAACCAAAAGACACAGACCCGGTAAAAGTGGTCCCAAGGAATTGGTTGCCACTGCCTGTATTGTTGTTTTGAGTACCCCCACGAGTGATGAATTGGTTGCCAGAGCCATGATTAACGTAAGAGCCGCCCCCATGCTCATTCGGCACGGACGGTTCCATCGCTGACAACCTGTCAATCGCATCGCGCAATCCCTTGACTTGATCTCTCATTGCTGCTCCGACCACGCCGTCCCTGGCCAGGTCACTCACATCCTTCATCATCCCCTGCACCAAGACCTCCACCTTGATTTCTTCGCCCTCTCGTCGCACGGCCGCTTTATAACGCTCGAACCTCGAAGCCTCTGCTGCTTGAGC